ACTCACTCACTCACTCACTCACCCACTCAATCGAAGTCAGCTGGATTCCATAACTTGTAAACATATTTTCACTCACTCACTCACTCACTCACTCACTCACTCACTCACTCACTCACTCACTCACTCACTCACTCACTCACTCACTCACCCACTCAATCACCCACTCAATCGAAGTCACCCACTCAATCGAAGTCAGCTGGATTCCATAACTTGTAAACATATTTTCACTCACTCACTCACTCACCCACTCAATTGAAGTCAGCTGGATTCCATAACTTGTAAACATATTTTCACTCACTCACTCACTCACTAACCCACTCAATCGAAGTCAGCTGGATTCCATAACTTGTAAACATATTTTCACTCACTCACTCACTCACTCACTCACTCACTCACTCACTCACTCACTCACTCACTCACTCACTCACCCACTCACCCACTCAATCACCCACTCAATCGAAGTCAGCTGGATTCCATAACTTGTAAACATATTTTCACTCACTCACTCACTCACTAACCCACTCAATCGAAGTCAGCTGGATTCCATAACTTGTAAACATTTTCACTTACTCACTCACTCACTCACTCACTCAATCGAAGTCAGCTGGATTCCATAACTTGTAAACATATTTTCACTCACTCACTCACTCACCCACTTAATCGAAGTCAGCTGGATTCCATAACTTGTCAACATATTTTCACTCACTCACTCACTCACTCACTCACTCAATCGAAGTCAGCTGGATTCCATAACTTGTAAACATATTTTCACTCTCACTCACTCACTCACTCACTCACTCACTCACTCACTCACTCACTCACTCACTCACTCACTCACACTCAAAGTCATCTAGGTTACATGGCTTTATGCAAGAGATCTTAACCATATTTTCATTCCACGTCCTATGGGACTGGACCAGCATTCCTGCCTTGTGATCCGCGACCCATGGACCCTGACACATACATTATTGATGTGAGAGTTACTGAGTTCATCGGAGCGACATGTTAAACATCCTCAGTGACCGATGAAGTGTCTATCTATAGCCAGGGCGTGTGACTGAAATATGTGCTGAGTCATTTGACATAGTAAACAAGATATGTGCTGTGTCATGTATAGTATGTCCTTCACTGGTAGGCCTTGATAACATATATATATATGAATGATATGCTGAAAGTCGCAGACTGATAACAGTGATAAATAGTTTTGTTCATCGAACCAGAGCTCCTGATAAGCTGGGTATTTGTGTCAAATATGCTAATAGATCCCCCTTACCCAATCGATATTGAATTGATTGTGTATCAATACGAATCACAAAATATGAAATTACATTCATATAAGGACGTTGTAATAACCCACTAGAAGCTACAGGGATCAATATATAACATGCACCGATGGAAACTATTATTGAAAAGCGCAACCTACCGTATTCGACGTAATAAGCGCCCCGCTCTAATAAACGCCCACAGCGATATTTGCTAATATATTGTCTAGTGAACAGTCCCAATTAGCACCCCTTCCGACTGATCAATGTACACAAGACTTATTTATTTGCATATAATACGCACTCGTGTGTTATATGCACCCTTAATTATGGGCAATTAAATTCTGGAAAAGGTATATCTGTAGTATATAAACATTTCAGGCTGTCAGCATAAACCAAGAAATTTATCCTTGACCTCTGTTTTTTCCACCAAAATAATATTCTAATAAGAGCCCCCTATTTCTAATTTTGAGAGCACCCTGGGTGCTTATTACATCGAATACGGTAATATTTATGTCCACATGCACAAAGTGCATGGCCAGAAATTTCACATTTGCGTCTTGACTTCCCCTTTATTGTCCTCACAACACCGACCCTTGAACACTCTCCAAGCTTTATTACCATACTACATCACTAATCCCTGTGTTCGGTGTAATTTGTCATACTCTCTTCCAGGGCTTAATGTCATCCTATTGTAGGTTCTTAAAGATTGTGTCCTGTCCTGTAGCTACATCCATTGCTGAAGCTGACCACTGTATCACAATATGACACCAACATAATCCAACTGATGATAATCATGATGCATAATGTGCTGGTTGCCATTGGTGACAATGCCACGTTAGTACTGCAGCAGTAAGTACTGACAGTAATAACAATCATGATTGACATCAAAGAAATCAGACATCAGAGATCTTATGTATTTAAATCAGTTGCAACCTGATTTTGTCTGGTGCAACTGGTTTTTGTTTGGTGCAACTGGGTTCTGTCAGGCTCAACCTGATTTTGTCTGGTGCAACTGGTTTTTGTTTGGTGCAACTGGGTTCTGTCAGGCTCAACCTGATTTTGTCTGGTGCAACTGGTTTTTGTTTGGTGCAACTGGGTTCTGTCAGGCTCAACCTGATTTTGTCTGGTGCAACTGGTTTTTGTTTGGTGCAACTGGGTTCTGTCAGGCTCAACCTGATTTTGTCTGGTGCAACTGGTTTTTGTTTGGTGCAACTGGGTTCTGTCAGGCTCAACCTGATTTTGTCTGGTGCAACTGGTTTTCGTGTCAACATGCACTGTATGACATATAATTTTATGACTCTTTATGCATTCAGTTTTATTATAACTCCTTGTAGTTTCTCAAGAGATTGTTTGCGATGTTTCAACTAAATCAAAACATGATTTATTTTTTTGCGATTTTTCAATATGCATAATACCTGAATGCGGGCAGGTAACTTTGAAGATGGGCAGGTAACTCTCATGGGTCACCTGCCCGACTGTCTTGTTGGGTTTTAAAAATATGACCTGAAATTGTTTGCTCCAGTACTATGCCAAGCTTCACCAGGACACCGAGCAGTATGTGCCATGTTCCCATGTTCATGCTAGAAAATTGTTAACATTCCTGTCACGTCATAAAACATCCACACTGAAAGTAGAGAAGCTGAAATTGTATATATTTCTCTTCCTACCAACCCTATATTCATACAAAACGACCCGTGAAGATCCGGGTTAGAATAGATCTACAGCAAACCCTGCTTGCCGTAAAAGGCGACTATGCTTGTCGTAAGAGGCGACTAACATGATCGGGTGGTCAGGCTTGCTGACTTGGTTGATGCATGTCATCGTATCCTAATTGCTTAGATCGATGCTCATGATGTCAATCACTGGATTGTCTTGTCCAGACTCTTTTACTTACAGACAGCCATCATATAGCTGGAATATTGCTTAGTACAGGGTTAAACAACAAACAAACAAATAAACAAACAGTCATACACAACAAAAGTAATTGGAAAGTCTAATGTATTTATATTATCACAGGCTTAGGTTTTTGAGAAAAATAATCAGTACACTAACTCATAAAAGTTGAATGGCCTTAGTGTGTACTGATAGATTTAACTACCGATACATCATATTTATCTGTGGCCTGTTGGCAATGCATTAATGACAGGTGAAGCTGTCAAGAGTAAGCTTCAGTGCAACCCCTCCTAAACTGTGAATAGAGTCGATAGACATCAATAAAATATATACACAAGATACACTTAGTCAATTACTTTCTCATGCCTGTTGATTCACAATACACCATGCTTGAAGAGACATCACTCGTGTACTCAAGCAGAAAACAATGTGTAGCTATATATCCCTGGTTATTTTATATAGGCAAATTAATCGTTTACCAAGAAAGGAAATTTAATGCATACGTTCCGGTAATGGACGAGGAAACTACCATCTCTGATAAGTGGCAAGCTGGGTCAGATATTGTCTTAACTAGGTCAGGGGTTTATCAGGGGGTCATGTTTTTGTTACATGTCTGGATTTTTGAGTCTTTCAAATGTCTTACTTTTTTAAATTCAGAAGTATTTTATCATGGTATAACATTTATACTAAGTTTTCCTATAATAATCACATCCACATCAAGTGCTTTATGAGTTATCATGATAGTATGTCTAGGAGATGCGCTCCCATTACTTTAGGCTAGCATCTATCTAAAAAGCTGTAACTGAAACTACTGATATTTTATGTGTGCATTTTACCTGATGATAAGTATTACTTGCTAAACTATTTTATATGAAATGATGTATAAATATTACACCATGATAACTCATAAAAGCACTTGATGTGGATCTAATTATTATAGGAAAACTTAGTATAAATGTTATATCATGATAACTTTATCAAAGCAACAATGTAGGACTATGTATTAAAGCCTGTTCCTCTTCACTGGTCCTGTTGTGAACAACTCACTTCTACAAAGCTATAACATTAGTTCTTACCATAGTATGAAGGATTTTATTCCAATTTGGGAAGTTTTACTGACTTGTTGCTGAAACTTGGGGCTGAATATCGGCTTCTGAACATTTTGAGATAAAACACTGAAGATCCCTGTATTTGAGACTTAACAAGCGTTACCTGTATGTGATTCTCAGGACCATTAAACCACAAAAAGTTTGGGGATTACTGTAGTCGACATAATAAGCGCCCAGGGTGCTCTCAAAATTAGAAATAGGGGGCTCTTATTAGAATATTATTTTGTCGAAAGAAAACAGAGTTGAAAGATAAATTTCGTGGTTTATGCTGACAGCCTGAAATGTTTATATACGAGAGATATATTTTTCCAGAATTTAATTGCCCATAATTAAGGGTGCATATAACACACGAGTGCATATTATATGCGAATAAATAAGTATTGTGTACATTGATCAATCGGAAAGGGTGCGAATTGGGATTGTTCACGAGCCAATATATTAGCAAATATCGCTGTGGGCGCTTATTAGAGCGGGGCGCTTATTACGTTGAATGCGGTATGTCATGTTGTAACTAATGCTGGTTCTAACTCTGAATATTTACATGCATAATCAACTCTCTCAGTGATTGTTGATTAAGAAATACAGTTTTCCTAACTACTACAGTAAAACACTTGAGTACAGTTAGGTCAGGACCTTGCTGCAATATTATTTCTTTTCATGAAATGATTATATGACAAACTCAAGCAGTACTGATGACAATTGTTTTCTGATAATTTTTCATTTTAACTTGCAGCATCAACGGTAACAACACCCACTGCACCATCTAGTCAGGCACCAACAAGAGGGACATATCTGGTTACAGAAGAGAACGGGTCAAGGTCATCACCACAGCAACCAAAGTCACAAACCAAGATGGCAGCTAATGATGTGTTTGTCTGTAACCAAGGCGATCTGAAAGATGGAGAGTAAGTGACCAATCCAAAACTTGATTGCTTTCAGAAATATACATAACTTATTCAAAGTAAAAGGAATCCTTGGCACTAAGAAAACTGACAAGGAAAGGAGGCCGCTTATTAAAATCGTACGCAACACATTAAATTTGTTTTCAGAATTAGAGCGGTAGTGAAATAACTTGGTTCAAACGTCAGTCCAACAAAAATGTTTTTGATAATAGTTAATATTACAGACTGGCTCTGTGTAGTTGAAATTAATTACCAATTACATGTGTAACACTGACACAAATATAGGTGACCCACCACTGGAGTCTATTTGAAGGTATTATTCACAGTATCACCTGTATGTATTTGTGACAGGACTTTCATAAAGATGTTAAGATGTGTCAGAGGAATGTTGTGTACTGAATAAAAGAAATATTTTCATCCATCACCGAACATTTCATGTTCTAAGGCAAGATAAATGAAACTTAAAGGTGTAGAATTTGCACTCAGTGTTTGAAAGTAAGGATGAAATTCGGGAGTCCTGTCATAAACATGCTGGCATATAACAACATACGGATGGGTTCCTGGGTTTACATAATACTGCAGCATACCTAAATGACCCCAGGAAACTCCTGACATTTCAAATGCTGATATACTTACTCACTACCCCGCTCTCTCACCACCCACTCACTCTGTCACTCAACAACCCACCCACTCACTCACTCACCCAACCACCCAGCTGCCTGCCCACTCACTCACTCAGTCACTCACCAACACACCCACCCAACCATCCACCAACCCACCCATCCAACCACTCAACCACCCACCCACTCACTCACTCAGTCACTCACCAACACACCCACCCAACCAACCACCAACCCACCCATCCAACCACTCAACCACCCACCCACTCACTCACTCAGTCACTCACCAACACACCCACCACACCAACCACCAACCCACCCATCCACCCACTCAACCACCCACCCACTCACTCACTCACCCAACCAAAATCCACCCACCCACCCAACCAAAATCCAAGCACTCAGTCACTCACTCACTCACTCACTCACCCACCCACCCACCCACCCACTCACTCACTCACTCACTCACTCACTCACTCACTCACTCACTCACTCACTCACTCACTCACTCACTCACTGTTGTAGGATGAGGGAGGTAGAAGTGGCCGGGGGCAAGGTGCTGCTGACCAGAGACAAGGGGGAGTATTACGCCGTGGGGCCAAAATGTACCCACTATGGAGCACCTCTGGCCAATGGTAAGTTAGACCGACCTGACCGATACACAATATTTACAACCTATTGTATATATTTCATAACCTGTGACAGCACTTCATTGGACATGCTCACTTCCTTCCTGAGTGCTCGCCGCCTTGGTTGATGCATGTCATCGTATCCCATTTGCATGGATCGATGCTCATGATGTCAATCACTGGATTGTCTGGTCCAAACTCAATTATTTACAGACCGCCGTCATATAGCTGGAATATTGCTGAGTAGCGGCGTTAAACAACAAACAAACAAACAAACAAACATTCCTGAGTGTGCAGTTAAATTTTAACAGTTAATTTTTAATTTAAACTTTAGCTGACTACATATGTTATTCATGATTGTATAATGAATGGAGGTGAGTGCTGTAATCTGATTGGTTGAATAGGGATGGATCCCGCAAACCTTTTGGACTGTTCACTGTGTAAGATTAATTTTCTTGACAAGTAATTACTTTTTTCTATCCCAAATTTGACAATACTTGTGACTTGTAACTTGGTGACATGGATACCACAGTAATTAAATGTTAAACTTGATCAATATTTATCAGAACAGTTTTGATGAAGATGTCATGGATGCGTCATGACGTCACGGCACTGCAGCGTGTTCCAGAGTGACATCATGGCTACCTCACAACTGTGACAGAAAGTGCTATGGAAAATTACTGAAAACTTTTGTACAATGTTGATAGAATCATATGACAATCTGAAAACTCACAACACTGATCTTATAAATAAATTGCTAGATTATCATCTGCTTGTGTTCCCAAAGAGGTTAGGGAGGCTTTTTATTTATTTTAAAAAATTTCCTATTAAAGTCATCAAGTTGAAGACTGGACACCTTGGTAGGAACAATAGATGACTTAAATCACAAAGATAATAAATAAACATTGATTTCAACTGTAGTAGTCAGATCTGTCTCTGTCAAACCTATTTTCGTTTTCCCTGCCCCAACTTTTACTCGTGCGATTTATGAATTTATTGTCAATTGATGCTAACTTGTCAGGCACATACCAAGTGTCAGTTGTAGGTCAGTTTACTGAATGTTGTAAACATGAATGGCCGTTTGACATTTCAATCTGGACAAATTATATTAATTTGTAGGGGGGTTTAGTCATGAGTCGGGCGGGGATGATAATCTAGCAATTAATATATTATGGTCTAATCTCTTGAATGATTTCTGCATCGCCGGCCATTGCATCCGATGTGGTCATTGCTAATGTCCAGTTATCTCTGTCAGGTGTGTTGTGTAATGGCCGGGTGCGTTGTCCATGGCATGGAGCTTGCTTCAACGTCAAAACAGGGGACATCGAAGACTTCCCAGGTCTCAACTCACTGCCAACATTTGAGGTAAATGTGAGAACGATGTGTTACTTGATGGGGTCAAGGTCGTATACACAATGTTCCTCCATCACCCACGAAAACATGGCCGCTGGCCAATGCACAGTCGGTAACCAACGAATCAAGCCTTGGCCTGACCCCATTAGGTGTACCGTATTCGACGTAATAAGCGCCCAGGGTGCTATCAAAATTAGAAATAGGGGGCTCTTATTAGTATATTATCTTGCCGAAAAAACACAGAGTTGAAAGATAAATTTCTTGGTTTATGCTGACAGCCTGAAATGTTTATATACGAGAGATATATTTTTCCAGAATTTAATTGCCCATAATTAAGGGTGCATATAACACCCGAGTGCATATTATACGCGAATAAATAAGTATTGTGTTCATTTATCAATCAGAAAGGGTGCTAATTGGGATTGTTCACGAGCCAATATATTAGCAAATATCGCCGTGGGCGCTTATTAGAGCAGGGCGCTTATTACGTCGAATACGGTATATAGTACCCATGTGGTGGCAACCATGTTTGTTTACAGAGGCTTTTGCACTTCAGGAAACTCCCATCTAAACTGACAGGGAATGTCAGGCATCAGCAGTGTTCCTGTTTACCAGTAAAATTAGGCTTGGACCTGTAATTCATGTGACTGCCAGTCCCTGTGGATCGGCAAATAAAGTACCTTTTGACTTTGTTGTTGAACAAAACATCAGCGATATTCATATAAGTATATTTTTCGAACAAAGTCGGCTTGTCTTTTACTATCAGGGTTTCCCCTTGTCTATTTTTAGTGCAAGGAAATAACATTTCGATTTGCTTCAAGGTTAAATATATATTTGTAGCAACTTAGTCTCGAAATATTCCCCAAAAAGAGAGAGAGAAATGTGCATTGAACATGTTGTTGAAAGAATTAAAACCAGGTAAATTTCATACGTTTTTTTACTTGTTGAAGACCCGTGAAGATTCCGGGGTAGAATAGGTCTTCAGCAACCCATGCTTGCCATAAAAGGTGACTGCTTATCGTAAAAGGCGACTAACGGGATTGGGTGGTCAGGCTCGCTGACTTGGTTGATGCATGTCATCGATCCCAATTGCGTGGATCGATGCTCATGATATTGATCCCTGGATTGTCTGGTCCAGACTCGATTATTTACAGACCGCTGTCATATAGCTGGAATATTGCTGAGTGCGGCGTTAAACAACAAACCAACCAACTAAAAAAATTTACTTGTTGAAAGTTAGGACTGACAAAAATTACAGGGGATCTGGTAATTTTTAGAGTTGCCAGGCAACCAGGACTGGTTGTTTCAAAAGCCGGTGAGAACACTGAGTAGTAGTGGAGCATGCAAGCCTCACATCAGTAAACTGTAGCTGATGAAAGTAGTTCCTGATAGATTACTCATTTGCATATTCATAGTGATACCAAGTTTTTCAGACATGTTTGTCACATGGTGCTACAATCTGTTATATCATTCAGTCTCTTGCGTATGACATGGCTGCCTCAATACGCACATTTATTCAACCCCGATTTCTTCCACGCTTATTTCTTACAATATTCCTGTGATGAACTTATAAGGAGTAAATTGGCTGCGTCCATGAGATAATGTTTCAAAACCAAAAATGACTTTGTATGCAAAAAAAAGACATTTAAAAGGCAGCACCTTTCAGTTGCTGATTGAGAATACATATTTTGTATTTTAGCATAAAATTGTTTAAAATAATTTAAGCTATTCTGATAGATAAATTGAAAATTTAGTTTAGATAGGGAGCTAATAATTTAGGTGAAATGTCCTTGAGATTTGTTTAGTACTAAAGCTTGTGCACATTGCAACATGGCAGGTGTCGGTGCGAGACAGTAAGGTGTACGTGAAGGCCGATGCGGAGACTGTGAAGAAAGCGTCCCGTGTGAAGTCCATGGTGAAGCATGTGGCAGACAACAAGCAGACATTCGTCTTGGTGGGTGGAGGTGAGTGATTGCGTCATCAGTAGCTCACAGTGATACCTTCAAGTCCGGCAGCTGCATCCTGATGATAAGGATGACTAAAGGTCCTCAGCAACCAATTCTCCAGTGCAAGAAGAGATTCGCCCCTTGCTTGTCTCCCTGTGTGGATTCTGTAGTAAAGTAGGCTCCAGTACCCCATGCTTGTCTCCCTGTGTGGATTCCGGGGCAATGTCGGCCCTAGTACCCCATGCTTGTCTCCCTGTGAGGATTCTGGGGCGGAGTCGGCTCAAGTACCCCCATGCTTGTCTCCCTGTGAGGATTCTGGGGTAAGGTAGGCTCCAGTACCCCATGCTTGTCTCCCTGTGAGGATTCTGGGGTAAGGTAGGCCCCAGTACCCCATGCTTTTCTCCAAAGTATCCATGTTAAACTGCCGCAAAATATCTCAGTTGGCTAGCACTATAAAACCGGCATAAGTCTGCACTATAGTCTACTTGCGCAGCCACAAACACATGTGCATATTGTGATGTGTATGTGTGAGAGTAAATATGTTGCCCTGAACATTTCTTCTGGTGGAATTGATATACCAGGAGTTTTGTTCCTGTGCAATATAAGTGCAACAATCTTGAATGTGACGTTAAACCCCATCCCACCTCGCCCTTTCAGTGCATGACAATTCTGTTCTTCCAGGACCTGCGACAGTTGAATGTGCCGAGACGTTGCGGCAGGAAGGTTTCACTGGCAAGGTTGTCATAGTAACAAGAGAGAAACATTTGCCGTATGACAGACCAAAGTTGAGCAAGGTCAGTTACACGAAATGCATTTTAACGACACTCTGACAGAAGCTGGTCCCGATTCGCAAAGTATTTGTACCGCTACGAACATTGTAAAACCTGTCGTAACTTTATGACAAAAATTTTAAGAGAAAAAAATTGAATGGTTGGTACCTATCGTAAATAATAACTTCTGTCGTATCTTTTGCATCAAGATTGCGGCATATTTTCTTTTTTTACTCTTACGATCTGTGTAAGTTACGACCACTTTGTGGATCTGGACCCTGATCACGAATACACAAAGCTTCAGACTTGGAGCAATGTCAGTCAGAGCTCTTGATCAGCTTCCTATTTATGTAAAATGCACAAACGAAATCCCTATTACCCATCTTATTTGAGTTACTTGCACACAAATATGCATGAAACATTTCAAAACCCAACAGTATTCCAACACGGTGCAATATCTCAATGTATCTGTTTCAACTGGTGTACCTGTGTGTCGCTACATGTCTTCATCACTGACTGAATGCGGCCATCACACCGACATAAACTCCATTGCAGCGAATAATGCCACAAAAGGTACAACATCCTGCTTATTGTCATGGATATATGTATTTCTCTGGTGTGAGTTAGGAGGCGTGTTACACACTTGGGGCAGCACATGAACAGGTACAAACTAGAAATCCCCGATACAGCACTTTCAGAGAATTATTTTTAGAAATGTCCACCAGTTCTCATTGGTGTAAAAAAAACCCTGATAGACTGGACCCGTGTGAGTAAAAATATGTTGAATACCCAATATCTAATGTGAATGATAACTTGTTGATGTGTCCAGACATGATTATTTACAGGCATCTGTCATACTCTTGGAATATTGCTGAGTGCAGTGTTAAACAACAAACACACACAAACAAACAAACAAACAAACAAAAAAACAAAAAAACAAAAACTCCTCTAGCTTGCTCTTGTTAATCCAGTAAGGTGTAGTGGATGGAAATCAACATTGCTTTGGAAATATGTGCATTGAAAATAACGCCAGCCGTCCTCATTAATATCCTGGGTTTTGTGATACGACTAAAACAATGGAGTATGTGTGACAGCTGGTGATGAAATTGTCAGAGTGTGTCTGTGTGTGGAATAGAAGTGTGATCAGAATATCAGTCATTATCATACCGCCATGTCAGAATGATGAGATCTGATTGGTCCATCTGATCTTGACAAAAATACAATGTATCCCGCCTTGGAGGGAAATATATTTCTGAGGCAGAAAAAATCCCTTTTGCCTCGCTTTAAAGCAAAAAGCCACACACTTTTTCCGAGTCAATGTCAGTCACATGACATAGCTGAAGTGACCCTCACCTCTATCGAATAGCTTAAAGCCCCATGTACTCCTCGTGATTTTGCTACAGCTTATATTGTATTATATATATTGTATATTGTATGTACTGTTTGATGATCTTTACATCCATTATTTATTTTCAAAATGTAATGAAATTGATATTTGTTTAGTTTCAACACAAATATTCCTTATTTTGCAAAATTTAAATTTTGTGCTTGTTTTTACCTAGGATGTTACTTTCTCATTCGAAGAATCTCCAGGGGGAATAAATATCTATTACATTAATACCATCACCTTAAAAGAGGTTTATAATGGGTTTCTATTAATTTACTAGATAACTATGTATTTTGAATTTGTACAAAAATATAGACCTTGGCGGTATAGCAGTCGAGTGTTGGCTCAGTGGTCAGTGCGGTCACTCATGATGGTCAGCTCTGGGTTTACTCCCACGTGGCCACAGCTAAATATACAGGATGTATTCTTGGTGTTGTTGCCTAGAGTCAGAGTTCATTCTCTTTTATTCTTTGAGCACATCTGGCATTCTTCAAGAAGTCTGAATCAGTTGTGTCCCTTGGGCACGCCAGAAACCTATGATCATGGGTTTGAATCCCCGTTTGCCCTGATTATGTTTCTAGGTTTGTCAGCACCATACCCGTGCTCGTGGGTTTCACCAAAGTGGTAAACGTCTGAGACCTGCATCACTTTGAGTTTTCCTCCCACATCAAGCTGACATGCCGTGATATAATTGGAATACTGTTCCAAGTTTGACCCAACTCACTCACTCACTCTTTGCAGGCTATGGACATAAAACCGGAGGCCATTGCTCTGCGGGATGCTGACTTCTACAAGTCACATGACATCGAGATACAAATGGAGAAGGAGGTAGGTACATCGTCGACTAGAGATTAGGGAGACTTCAGTCAACTATTAACCAGAGTGGAGATCACCACACCCCAACAATCAGGGGGCATTAGTGGCCCATTGATATGTGTAGGCGGAAACACGCAGAGGGCGACCCTCGGTTTTATCCCTTGGATTCAGGTTTTAAACCTCCTGAAACCCAAGGGGAGTGTTTTTTCTAGCTGAAAAAAAACAAAATAAATCTGAAGCATTCATCAACAATTTTATGTTTCAGACATATTTTCCATGAATCATGGGAAACAATTGAAAAATATCTCAGGCTGCGGTATATGCACTTAGAGATTCTTAAACGCATTGTTTTTTATGGTGACGATAAATATGTTTGGACCATCGTGGCCCATGTCTAAGGTGCAACAATTTGCTGTGCAGAGCTGTGTTTGTTCACTGGTGGTTGGTTCGAAGGTCTAATCTACTCTGAACATGGTCCTTGGTATGACACCCCGGCTCCTCAATGTCTGTCCCCTAATTTCAACGCCACACCCTGCCTCGTCAATGTCTGTGGGGGCGGGTAGCCTAGCGGTTAAAGCATTTGCTCATCACGCCGAAGACCCGGGTTCGATTCCCGACATGGGTACATTGTGTGAAGCCCATTTCTGGTGTTCCCCGCCGTGATATTGCTGGAATATTGCTAAAAGTGGCGTAAAACAATACTCACTCACTCACTCTTCAATGTCCATCCTCTAACATGGCCTGTACTAATATAACACAACTGCTATACAGAGCAGCATTTAACCAAATTTGATCACTCACTTACTGAAACTAGGCTGTAATAAAATGTATATTTCTTGTCAGGTTGTTAGTGTAGACAGCAGCGGCAAATCTGTGAAGTTGAGCGATGGTGGTTCCGTCCAGTTTGATAAACTTCTCATTGCAACAGGAGGAAAGTGAGTAGAATAGAGCGTTGAAGAAAGTGATTGATGTCACCAACACTTGGAGAGTCAGTTGTTTGTTGTTTATCTTAAATCAGCAGTATTCCAGCTGTAAGACTACCTGTAAGTAATCATGTCTGGATCAGACATACCAGTGATTGAGGTTGTGAGCAATGATCCTACCACCGTTGTATGACGATCACCAGGTCAGTCAAGCTGACACTTTGGACCAACATATAGGTTGCCGGGGACCAATTTAACCCAGAATCTCCACAGGTTTAGGAGAGTGAAGATAGTTGAAGTAAATTGTGGCGAGGAAGGAAAGTTTTATGATGAATATCCTGACAAAGGTCATCATAGACCTTCATTATATTTTATAAAAAAGGTTCAGTGAAGAATTTAGTCAAGTTTTTTTAATGATGAAGATCCCGATAAAGAATTTAATAAAAGGTTTTAATGATGAAGATCCCGATAAAGAATTTAATAAGGTTTTAATGATGAAGATTCCGATAAAGAATTTAATAGGTTTTAATGATGAAGATCCCGATAAAGAATTTAATAGGTTTTAATGATGAAGATCCCGATAAAGAATTTAATAGGTTTTAATGATGAAGATCCCGATAAAGAGTTTAATAAGGTTTTAATGCAGAAGATCCTGATAAAGAATTTAATAACGTTTTAATGATGAAGATCCTGATAAAGAATTTGATAAGGTTTTAATGATGAAGATCCTGATAAAGTATTTAATAAGGTTTTAATGATGAAGATCCTGATAAAGTATTTAATAAGGTTTTAATGATGAAGATCCCGATAAAGAATTTAATAAGGTTTTAATGATGAAGATCCTGATAAAGAATTTAATAAGGTTTTAATGATGAAGATCCCGATAAAGAATTTAATAAGGTTTTAATGATGAGCATCCCAATAAAGAATTTAATAAGGTTTTAATGATGAGCATCCCATTAAAGTATTTAATAAGGTTTTTAATGTTGAAGATGTAATGTTGATGAAGATCAACATAATTATGGGATAGTGGGGTAGCCTAGTGGTTAAAACGTTCGCTCATTACTCCGATAACCTGAGTTTGATTCCCAACACGGGTACAATGTGAGAAGCCCATTTCTGGTGTCCCCCATCGTGATATTGCTGGAATATTGCTAAAGCGGCATAAAAGAAACCATTTTATCAACATCTTATATTTAAAATGTATCTCTGTCTACGTCTTCCTCACCCAGAACGCAAGCAACATCTTTATCTTCACATGTGTCATGATTGTTTTCACTTGGTGAGTATTGTTTTTGCCATTTGGGTAAATATCTGCCATAATGTTCTGACATTGAAATAATTCCTCTGTAGACCCCGAACATTGCCTATCCCTGGCCTTGACCTTCAGAACGTGTGTCAACTCCGCACACCGGGGGATGCTAACTACATCGCCAGTGCTGCCCAAGGCAAGAAGGTTGTCATCATCGGGTCATCCTTCATTGGTGAGTATCTTTGTATTTTTTCCTGGTATTCACAATATTTGTTCTAGAAATATTAAATTAGTACGTTTTTCTGAGGAGTAAAAATCCTTGAGATATTGCCGATGTGATGTAAAGTTTGACTTATTAATATTAAATACTAAGCCAGCCTTTCATATTTGACAAAGAGGGGTGCTTTAAAGGTTTAATGCATTAAAACGTATCATGTTGTACACCTGATGTAGTTATTCATGATATAGTTCAGTGAGTGAGTATGGTTTAACGTTGCTTTTAGCAATATTCCAGCAATATCATGGCAGGGGACACCAGAAATGGACTTCACACATTGTACCCATGTCGAGAATCGAACCCAGGCCTTCGTCATGACGAGCAAATGCTTTAATCACTAGGCTACCCCACCGCCCCTTGAAGTTAAGCATTGCGGAGTGTTTGATGTTCATGACTTTCATTTGCTGCCTTCGGTCAGGTGAATTTACAAACATCTGACTCGATCACATTTATAAAACTGATGTTCACTGATGCACTCCTTGGAGGCACAAGTGGGCCAGTTGTCTAGGGCACCACAATTACAGAGTTGCCTCCCTTGGGTATGCCAGAATCCTATGATCGTTGGCTTGAATCCTGGTTTCCCCAGATTATGTTCGTCAGCACCATACCCGTGCTCGTGGATTTCACCGAAGTGGTAAACGTCTGAGACCTGCATCACTTCGGGCTTTCCTCCCACATTAAGCCTGACATGCCGTGATATAACTGGAATACTGTTCAAAGCCACGTTATACCAATCTCACTCACTCACACTGTGTTTTATTATGAAAAGTACCGATGTAATAAGCGCCCAGGGCGCTCTCAAAATTAGAAATAGGGGGCTCTTGTTAGAATGTTATTGTGGTGAAAAAAACAGAGTTGAAAGATACATTTCGTGGTTTATGCTGACAGCCTGAAATGTTTATGTACGACAGATATATTTGTCCAGAATTAAATGCTCATAATTAAGGGTGCATATAACACACGAGTGCGTTTTATACGCGAATAAATAAGTGTTGTGTACATTGATCAATCGAAAGGGGGGCTAATTGGGATTGTTCATGAACCAATATCTTAGCAAATGTCGCCGTGGGCGCTTATTAGAGCGGGGCGCTTATTACGTCGAATACAGTATGGTAGAATTGAAGTATTCTTGTTGTATGCATAATCTGAGTGTTTTATTGATGCTGCTGAACCCAGAGGTGTTCACTGTTACTAACATCTGTGTCTTTTTTTCTGCAACTTTCTAGCTTCACTATTTACACCTTACACAAACAGAACTGGATGCAGGAAATAGTTTTAGCGTGGTTTAAGGACACATACTTTTTGGGGCACGGAAGTTCTTTCTTTTCTGTCTGTAATCCATAGGTCACAGTGTAGGGCTTTACACTAGTGCACATATATATAATCTCATTGCATTGACGACAAATACCAGCAGGTTGTAGCTGTAGAATAGTGGTTTCAAGAAAGTATTTAGATTGTATTTATTGTTCTCTTTTCACCAACGGTGCACACCTAGTTTCTCTGTTGATGTCACAGTTCCTTGATGATCAGCACTTCGTGTTTCTTCCCATTCTTGGATACCTCGTCATGCACTTTGTCCTCGGTGTGGAGTTTCGGTTCCGAACAGGACCCCAGCACTCGAAACTTGTGGCCAGAGCCAACTACAATAAGACATGTATGATCTGGCTGAACGTGTGATTTCGTATGTAGATAGCAGCAATAGTTGCTCATGCTGTCCACCACTGGTTTGCCTGGCCCAAATGTGACTATTCACATCCTGGTTTGATATAGCTGGAAAACTGCTGTCATAAAACAACATTCAATCACTCTAGCACATTGATACATTTTTCAAGGGGAGTAATATTTTCATAAATTCACTCACTCACTCACTCACTCACTGTTGACTCTTCAGGGATGGAGGTAGCGTCCTGTCTGGCGGAGAAAGCCGAGAGTGTGTCTGTTGTAGATCTCATTAAAGTGCCCTTCCAGCTGACGTTGGGGGACAAAGTAGGGGCTGCATTGCAGAAGGTAGAGTCAGGGTTTGCACGTGTCCTCCTAGATATACCCTCCTAGATATACCCTTCTAGATATACCCTCCGAGATATACCCTCCTGCTTTTCCGTTAACCCTTCCTGGGAGTGGCTGCTTGAGATATCCCTGAGTTTGCTTTCAGTCTGTTGCATGGTATGTCCTGTAGCTTCAAGCCTAAACAAAGATTGGAGGACATCCCATTACTGGTCACGTCAGAACAACCTTTCATCCAACCAATCAGAGCGTCGCTTACCAGATCAGGGAAGTGACAGTTGGAATGTGTTATCATGAAACCTTGGAAATGTTAACACAGAGTATTCCGAACCTCAGTTACAGGCCGTACGACAAATTCTGTCAAAATCCTCATCAATCTCTCGCTTCTATGGCATCAACATTTGAACGGAAGAGACTTTGTATGGCCTGTGGGAAGTACTGCCACACAATCTTGGATGTCGATTAAACATCCCAGAATGTCCTTTTGTTCAGGTTTCAAATTTTGAACCGAGACCTGTGTCACTATATTTTTCAAAGTGTTACGTCACCAATTTGAAACCATTGCCATAAAACTCGAGAAAGCTGCTTTCTGATTGGCTAATGTTGACTTCTTGTCAGTCATTTTATTGGTTGGTTAAAGTTTGTGAAAGGTTGTTCTGACGTGACCTGTGATGGGATGTCCTCAGGTCTTTGTTTAGCACTAGCGAGCACTAAAATCTGATTTCTATGAGATTGGTTGCTTTGAGCCTGTTAATTTATATCTGTTGCTTTGAGCCTGTTGTTAGACTGTTGTTAGACTGTTGTTAGACTGTTTGATTGGCATTTTAGGCGAGGTTTAGTGATGGCATCTGTTTTGTGATTGGGGATAGGGGCATGGATGGTTCTGTCAGCTTTGCAGAGTTGTTTCCATAAGGCTTGCCAGAAACCTATGATCATGGGTTTGAATCCCAGATTTGACACTGATGGTCCAGTCAGCGAAGCAGAGTTGTGTCCCTTGGACATGACAGAAACCTATGACCGTGGTTTGAATCCAAGATTCACCCCGATTGTTTCCAGGTTTTTGTCAGCACCATACCTGTGCTCATGGGCTTCACAAAAGTAGTAAACGTCAGAGACCTACATTGCTTCAGCTTTCCTCCCATATGAAACCGGCAAGTACAGTGTAAACCCAGCTTATACGAACCCACGGACGATATTTATGTGAAACGAAATAAATACTACATAAAAATCTTTTAGAAATGCAGAAATTTGTTTACATACTATTGCGTCCAACGTACAAGACAGCGGCCACACTGACCCTGACATTTGGGACCCATGATGTAACAAACAAATGTCATCACTAATCTCTGCCACTGAAGCTGGTTAGCCATCTTCCCGCATCTTCCCGAAGCAAGAGAGTTCACTGACTTTAAAAGTCCAGTTTCCACCCTTGCCGAACTAGGCTGGAATTACTGGGCTCGATCGTAGCGCCACCAGTGGCTATTACCATTTATGTCCCCTCTAAGCCTCTCCTGTGGACCAATGAGATTCCACCTCTCGTATCACTTGCGTTTGCATCACCCAAAATGGTAGCACGGTCAGGACGATCTGATCGATAATCAAGATCAATATTGTGATAAAGTGGGTCTTACATCGCGAAATGCATCAAATCACGTGAGCACCTTGATTAAAAACATGAAAAGATTTGGAAAATAACTGTTGACAACAAGTTGGCGGTGCACATGCTTTGCAAATCCTGCAATCGACTAAAATCTGCATGACAGTTTATGAACCGGATTTCAATTTTGTTGCACGATTTTGATTGTACTATGCATGGACTCGTTAGCCAAAATATAATTCCATAATACCAGCCATGTTCAGTAAGGGTGGAAAGTGGACTTTTTTCGGGAAGATGGTGGTTAGCTGAACTTTTCACACTCAAGACACTGGTTATTACTGTTTACAAGCTGAAAAAGTTGGAAGTTTGATTATTTATGATAATAGAATCTCACCCTTGTGTCTTTTGATATCAAATATATCAACACTTGTCAATAAAGTATTGAACTCCTTGGCAAGCCTCAAAAACTTAAACTTTGTCTACTTGTGTTAATATTTTTTAAGACAATCAGGTGAGATTCTCTAACGACTAAATTACAAGGCTTGCCATGACAATTTCTGTAGCCCTTGCACTGCACATCCTCAGGACTACATCCCCCCTCTAAAGCAAACCCCCCATAATACACACTAATGCTTTTCTGTTGAACTCTTACAGCCTGTTCTTGGTACTCCAGCATCTTGATGCAATGTTGCTATGGTTACCGGTGCATGTGTAAACCCTCTGTTTCTGATAACAGTTAGTTGATTGTTTTGTTTGATGTTTTAACAAAGCAAGTGTTTTGCTGCTTCTAACTATAGGTATGGAAGTCGCTGGCTTTTTGAGTGATAAGGCCAAGTCTGTTCATGTTATTGGACGAAGCACTACTCCCCTAGCCAATATATTTGGGACGAAAATAGGAGCTGTTTTTCAAAAGGTAGTCACTCTGCATTCAAGTATATTGAAGCAGGTTTTTTTTGCACAATCTCTCAATCTTAGAGTAATATTTGTTATGATTCTTTGAAACTTCATGATATTTATGTCTTCCTGCAGTGGTTTCGTCACAATATGGCTGAAATATTGCTGATGTGACGTTAAACTTTAACTCACTCACTCCTGCAGTGGTATTGCTAAAAAGCTGCATAAAACAATACTCACTCATAGTCTTAACTTCTCTAAACATTGTATGATGATTTAAATTTCTTCTATTTTCTTGAGTCTCTTGTAAAAAATAAAATGGCCGTGCTGAGCCATACTTGTGCTTTGAATGTTTGCCCTAATTTGTTTATGTGGTTTAATTTTCAACAAATCATTAAAGTTAACGTAATAAATGATTATTTGGAATAACAGTCTTGTAAAAGTCGTATATGACATCATGTGAAATAGAATGTTTGTCTCTTCAGTCAGTATAACCGTTATAACATGAGTCTACATAAATGAGGGGGAAAAGTGTTAATTTGATAGTGATTCAGAAACACATGCTCATGATATGGTCGGAATCGTACAATTGACTCAGCTTTTAGCCGAAATTTCTTATGACAATGGAAAGAATATGTCGCTTTTATTAAGAAGTTCTAATGATGGATTTACTCACAAGTTTAAGCAAGGTATAAACTATATGAGTTATATCAACACTTTTGTCAAAAACACGACAGACACATCCTTATCCTTTATTCCAATATTAATTTCCTCAAAGAACCATTGTGACCTTCAGAGAGACCTTCAGAGAGACCTGAGACCTTGTAGCATTCGTACAATCTGAATCCTATCATTTTGTTACAGTAGGCCCAATGATATTTTTCCATACATTGTTAAAGGAGCAAGTTGATTGCAAGTAGTTGATTGGTCAGTATGCTTTCTTTTATGATTTTAGATGCATGAAGACAAAGGCGTCAAGTTCTACTTCGAGAGAAGCGTCAAGGAGTTTGTAGGGGAAGATGGGAAGGTGACGGAGGCCATCTTGTCCGATGGAACCAAGCTGGAAGCAGATCTCTGTGTTCTCGGAATCGGTAGGCCAGGAAGTGGAATATCTCCACTAAATTTGGATAGTGCCAGGTCTTTCTGTAGTACTTGTCTCTGTGTTCTTGGAATCGGTAGGCCAGGAAGTGGAATATCTCCACTATTTATGTAGATAGTACCAGGTCTTTCTGTAGTGCCACTCTGCGGATTTCTATTAAAGTGGTATTAAAAGCTTGGTGCAAAAAATATTCTGTGACTTGGTCTTATATTGAAGTTGCAAAACTTATTGAACGCCCCTCGTACATTGGTGAATCTATTATTCAAACCTGTAATCACAAGTTTTTGCCATGACTGAAGGACTCTTTCCGTGACAAGGGTGTTAACTGACAATAAATGTCCATTTTCCACAATTGCCGAACTAGGCTTCAATTGCGTGCCTCGATTGTAGCGCCACCAGTGTTCATTAAGAGTCACGTCCCTTCTATGTTTCTCCTATTGACCAATCAGATTCCACCTGGCTTCAATTGCGTGCCTCGATTGTAGCCCTACCAGTGTTCATTAAGCGTCACTTCTATGTCTCTCCTATTGACCAATCGGATTCAACCTCTCATATCACTTGCATTTGCTTCAAACAAAATGGCCACGCCCAGTCAAAGATGATCTGATCGATAGTCAAGATCTCTTTTGTAATAAAACGAGTCTCACCTCGGGAAGTGCATCAAATCACTACAGCACCTTCATAAAAAACATGAAAAGATTTTGGAAATATCTGTTGACGCCCAGTTGACGTACCCACACTTTGCAAATCAAGCAGTCAACGGAAATCTGCACATTAAAATCCATGTTTAGAACTGGATGTCTAGTTCGTAACGTGATTTTGATTGGACTATGCATAGACTCGTTAGTCCAGCCAAAATGTTACTCAGTATTTCCAGCCTAGTTTGGCGAGGATGGAAACTGGACTTATTATACTCAGTTAACTCCCTTGCCTCAGGAGGATGAAGGGATGCATTCCTGCTTGCATCAGTGTAGATGACCATGTGCCCCGGCAAGAGAGCACACTTTACCGTCATCTCTGTGTTCATTTGTCCTGCAATTGTGCATCTTTCCAGGGGTCGTGCCTGCAACAGACTTCTTGAAGGATTCCGGTATCACCATGACAACCAGAGGATTCATTACTGTGGATAAGGTGAGATATAACTCTTGTTACCCATAAGGTGAGTGAGTGAGGTTTTACGCCGCTTTTAGCAATATTCCAGCAATATCACGGCGGGGGACACCAGAAATGGGCTTCACACATTGTACCCATGTCGGGAATCGAACCCGGGTCTTCGGAGTGACGAGCGAACGCTTTAACCACTAGGCTACCCGACCACCCCTTACCCATAAGGGAAGCCTGTTAGAGGGTATTAAGTGTTCTGTAATGCTATAAGGAATTAAGGTTTTTCTATAAATAACTCAGCTTTTCATTTGTCATTGTATTTTTCATTCGGTCGTTCTTCCTGTCAATCATTCACATGCTGATATGGAATTCAGACGTCACATAATTCTGGATTTTGATTCCAAATACATAACTGCAACATGCTAAATATTCTATATCCATCCGTCATCCAGTGGTGGTATACATGGCTGGCATCAACTTGTTCATGATCGAAAACTAAGAGAACTCTGGATTTACATTTCGAATAACTTACTGCAGCTTATGAATTATCACATCCATCCATGCCTCGTCCAGGGTTACCAGCATGCATGGCTGGGGTTGTTTAGTGTTTGAAAGCTTTTGAACTGGCTACTGAGCCTGCTGTGACGTAACGTCAGAACTTGTAACCCACTTCAACTGACATTCATACACTCCCCGATGTTGACTTCTAAAATCACTAACTTGCACCGAGTTAATGTATTGAATGCAACATGTTGCATGTTTTGCTTGCTGTTTTTGTATAAGTGTAATTTAATTTTTCAGGGAATTTTTCATGCATACAATTGATTTTTACTGGATGGTCACTATTGGTGTTGTCATTTGAAACTGAATCAAATATGCAAATATGGTTGTGAATGATTTAAAGGTATCTATTATCCCCCGCCATGAATTGGAAGGGGAATATAGGTATGGGTGCTGTCCTTCCGTCTTTCCATCTTTCCATCCATCCATCTGTCTGCTATGTTTCGTTTCCTGGGCAGAAATAAAAAAAACCATGAGAGATATCTTAACCAAACTTCGCAAAAAGATAGGTCTAATGGTGAACTGGTGCCTTTTGAAAGTTTGGGATTTTTTACAAATGTATTTTTCGAGTTTAAATGGCAACAACTTTGACTTAAACCTGAAAATGACAGTAGTGCTCCTTTCCGGAGCAGATCTTGAAAGCTGTACAATATTTCTTCACCAACTTTGGCACATAGATAGGTCTAGTGGTAAACTTGTACCTTTTGATAGTTTGGGATTATTGAAAAAAATATTTTTCGACTTTCTATAGCAACGACTTTGACTCAGACTGAAAATGTAGTGCTTGTTTCCGGAGGGCTAATGCCTTGCACACAACCAGACATGTCATATTGGCGGGGGATATGAGTATGTTTTGCTTGTTATATTTGAGAGATACAGTGCACTGATCAGTGAGAGTGGACTGAGAAGGCCGGACACTCTCAGTGTTATGTAGTCGGGGATTGAAAGGAGGCCGTGTATCATGAAAGTCAAATGAGTCTTACTCTGTGTATGCACGTTGCCTTCCCGTTCCCTGATATTGTGGAGATGTGTGGAATGGATGTCTGCAGAGATGTGTCCATCTTCCCGAGGCAAGGGAGTTAACTGACTAAAAGTCCAGTTTCCACCCTTGTGGAACTAGGCTGGAATTACGGAGTTATATTTTGGCTGGACTAACGAGTCTATGCATCGTCCAATGAAAATCGCGTAACGCAACTGACGTCTGGTTTGTAAACTGCCATGTAGAATTTGGTATACTGATGATGAAGTATTGAGGACAAAGTATTGATGACGAAGTATTGATGATGAAGTACTGATGATGAAGTACTGATGACGATGTGAGTATCTTGGTTCATGGTTGACAGAGCCTCCAGACCAACATGGCCGACATCTACGCTGCTGGGGACATCGTGGAGTTCCCTCTCTTCACAGCAGGGGACCAGCAAGCCAACATCCAGCACTGGCAGATGGCGCACCAACATGGTGAGGGAGTCCGATGTGTATTTCATTACCTTCAAAACATAAGTGAAAATAAGTCCATTTTCTTGGTAGTTGCAGGAAATGAAACCTAATTCTTTAACATCTAAATGTTGCCTAGCTACATACAGATCCTAAAGATCCGACTCACTGGGATGTGAATTAAAAACGTTTGAGAACTTTGTTCTTGTCATAAGTTGGAGAATGGATCACAATGGTTGCTGAATATAACAAATACTTAGTTTTGCGGACACCAACTAAAAAGAATGTGTCTTTGTGTCAGCCACTGGTTTGTCTGGTCAAGCTTTGTTTAATGGCAGGCTGTTGTGATCATAATGTGATATTGCTGCTGATAATGTAGACACTATTCTCTTTCTGATCCACAACAGAAGCACTCTGTGGAAATGAGATGTAATTCCCCAGTATACAGTGAATACAAGACATAACTCTCCGGCATACCATGAATAAATATGAAATATAATTCCACAGTAGACAGTGAATATGAGATACAATGCTCGAGCAGACAGTGAATATGAGATATAATTCCCCAGCAGACAATGAACATGAGATATATTTCCCTAGCAGACAGTGAATATGAGATATAATTCCCCAGCAGACAGTGAACATGAGATATAATTCCCCAGCAGACAGTGAATATTTGATATAATTCCCCAGCAGAAAGTGAATACAAGATATAATTCCCAAGCAGACAGTGAATATGAGACATAATTCCCAAGCAGACAATGAATATGAGATATAATTTCCCAGCAGACAATGAATATGAGACATAATTCCCCAGCAGACAGTGAATATGAGACATAATTCCCCAGCAGACAATGAATATGAGATATAATTTCCCAGCAGACAGTAAATATGAGACATAATTCTCCAGCAGACAGTGTATATGAGACATAATTCCCCAGCAGATAGTGAATATGAGACATAATTCCCCAGGAGACAGTAAATATTTGATATAATTCCCCAGCAGAAAGTGAATACAAGATATAATTCCCAAGCAGACAGTGAATATGAGACATAATTCCCCAGCAGACAATGAATATGAGATATAATTTTCCAGCAGACAATGAATATGAGACATAATTTCCCAGCAGACAATGAATATGAGATATAATTTCCCAGCAGACAATGAATATGAGATATAATTTCCCAGCAGACAATGAATATGAGATATAATTTCCCAGCAGACAGTAAATATGAGACATAATTCTCCAGCAGACAGTGTATATGAGACATAATTCCCCAGCAGATAGTGATGGTGTTAACTGTTAACTCCAGGTCACACAGCAGCCCTCAATATGCTGGGGAAGACGACCGAGGTGCACAGCGTCCCCTTCTTCTGGACGGTGCAGTACGGCAAGAGTGTCCGCTATACGGGTGAGTCATCCTTGTCAGGTCACCTGTGCTTGTGTTAAGAAGGGTAGGATGTGTGTTTTGCAGTGGAATAAAAATAAATGCTTAAGTTTTCTATTCACCTTTTAATATCCCACAATTACATTTTTACATATTTACATACAAAACCAAAACAATTAAAGGCAGAACATTCACGAAATTAGTAGTATTTCCTCTATGTCACCACTATGGTTAAAGCTAGACTCCTTTAAAGATACATGCTTATATAACACAAACATTCAGGCAAAGCAAGTGCATTTAAATGGGTTGTTTTTTGCAACGCTGAATGCGTTTGCGTCACAGTTCATTTCCTGAAAACAAATATATAAAGAAACAGTCACTGAACAGTTATCCTAAGCGTTCCCCCGATACAGACTGAAATCGTGTGTACCGTAAAGTTCAATCTGCGAGTAGATTACATTGTTGTTGTATTTGAACTACACACCAGACAAGAACAGTTCTTCAGTCCGGTGTGATTGAACAGATAATCATCATTCTTGTGAGAAATTAACATCATAAATCAATTTTTTCTCTGTTGGGAACTGATATATACTCACTGCCAAAAGAAACGCAAACCATTGAAACATATAGAGAAGTATGTATGTTAAGAAGAGATGTTTCCAATGTGTACCTTTATTCTTATCACAATATACTGCATGTGATTTCGAAACTTTACACGCTGATCCTGCACGAGACAAATGGTACATCACGAGTCATGGATCAATGACATCATATGTGATGCGATCATGAGTATCAGTTCACACAACATAACAGTTTGTTCGTCTGTGGATCAAACCAATCTAATATCTCTTGAATATGAGAAATTCTTCATATATTAACCAACATGAATGATATTCATGTTTCTTTTGGCGGTGAGCGTATGCATTCAGAAATGATGTGATAACTAAACACTGACTGTAACCGTTCTCCACAATACTGCATGTGACCTGCGTGTGACCTGCATGTGACCTGTGGGTGTCCTGATCACAGGGCAACCGCTCCTGGGAAATGCCCTTGGGGTGAGGGCAGTTGCCTTGATACTACTGACATTGATGGGTGTGACTGACATTGATGGGTGTGACTGACATTGATGGGTGTGACTGACATTGATGGGTGTGACTGTGACTGACATTGATGGGTGTGACTGTGACTGACATTGATGGGTGTGACTGTGACTGACATTGATGGGTGTGACTGTGACTGACATTGATGGGTGTGACTGACTGACATTGATGGGTGTGACTGTGACTGACATTGATGGGTGTGACTGACATTGATGGGTGTGACTGTGACTGACATTGATGGGTGTGACTGTGACTGACATTGATGGGTGTGACTGTGACTGACATTGATGGGTGTGACTGTGACTGACATTGATGGGTGTGACTGTGACTGACATTGATGGGTGTGACTGTGACTGACATTGATGGATGTGACTGACTGACATTGATGGGTGTGACTGTGACTGACATTGATGGGTGTGACTGTGACTGACATTGATGGGTGTGACTGTGACTGACATTGATGGGTGTGACTGTGACTGACATTGATGGGTGTGACTGTGACTGACATTGATGGGTGTGACTGTGACTGACATTGATGGGTGTGACTGTGACTGACATTGATGGGTGTGACTGTGACTGACATTGATGGGTGTGACTGTGACTGACATTGATGGGTGTGACTGACATTGATGGGTGTGACTGTGACTGACATTGATGGGTGTGAATGTGACTGATATTGATGGGTGTGACTGACTGACATTGATGGGTGTGACTGACATTGATGGGTGTGACTGTGACTGACATTGATGGGTGTGACTGTGACTGACATTGAGGGGTGTGACTGTGACTGACATTGATGGGTGTGACTGTGACTGACATTGATGGGTGTGACTGACATTGATGGGTGTGACTGTGACTGACATTGATGGGTGTGACTGTGACTGACATTGATGGGTGTGACTGTGACTGACATTGATGGGTGTGACTGACATTGATGGGTGTGACTGTGACTGACATTGATGGGTGTGACTGTGACTGACATTGAGGGGTGTGACTGTGACTGACATTGATGGGTGTGACTGACTGACATTGATGGGTGTGACTGTGACTGACATTGATGGGTGTGACTGACATTGATGGGTGTGACTGTGACTGACATTGATGGGTGTGACTGTGACTGACATTGATGGGTGTGACTGTGACTGACATTGATGGGTGTGACTGACATTGATGGGTGTGACTGTGACTGACATTGATGGGTGTGACTAACTGACATTGATGGGTGTGACTGTGACTGACATTGATGGGTGTGACTAACTGACATTGATGGGTGTGACTTGATGGACATTGTGTATCTTCAGGATATGGACCTGGCTATGACGATGTCGTTGTCCATGGAGATCTGGAAGCACCAAAATTTGTTGCTTTCTACACAAAGTAAGTACTGCAACAACATTCTACCCTAAATTTCGGACCGCCTTTGTAGTGTAGCAGATTGAGCGTCTCCTCGGAGAGCAGAAGGTCTCTGGTTTGATCCCCAGCCCTGTCATACCAAAAGATGTTTAAATATGGTACTTGTTGTTTCACTGCCTGGCTTGGATAGCCAATCAAATACCAAGGAATCATCTGCAATTGTTTTGCATTTTTCTGTCTATGATGCAGCTGCATCATCGGAATACACACACTCTGTCTCGGCTGTGAAGGTTTTGTGACCCATGGAGATTAAGGGTAGAACCCATGCTTGCCGTAAAAGGTGTCTATGCTTGTCATATGAGGCAACTAACAAGATCGGGTTGTCAGGCTTGCTGATTTGGTTGATGCATGTCATCGTATCCCAATTGCGTGGATTGATGTTCATGATGTCAACACTGGATTGTCTGCTCCAGACTCGATTATTTACACACCGCCGTCATATAGCTGGAATATTGCTGAGTGCGGCGTTAAACAACAAACAAACAAAAAACTATGAAGGTTTTGTATTCTGACCAGTGTTGTATTCTTGAGATAGTGCTCATATTGCCGCAAAGTGTGGTCTGCGTGATAGTGGGTTTGGGATCACCAAAATTACAGCTCATGCATCACATGTTCTGCGGTAAACCCAGCTGAAGGCTCCATTGTATAGCTCCTAGTACCTGTCATGCACAGGCAACTTTCCCCATGCTAGTTGTAAAGCTAGTTAGTACTGACTGCTTTCTTTCTTCAGAGGAGAGACTGTGGTGGCAGTGGCAAGCCTGGCCTTTGACCCCATCGTGTCCCAGGCGGCCCAGCTGATGCTGAATGGGGGAACCATCACCAAGGAGGAGATCAAGTGAGGAACTGTTTGTTTACCGTCATGTCACACACAGATCATGTGGCAGAAATACCATGTAGATCAGTAAAACTCGCATGTCATAGAGGATATTTTATGTGTCAAGTGAATATCATGTTTCTCTCATCTGGTGATGGGGCGGTCGGGTAGCCTAGTGGTTAAAGCGTTCGCTCGTCACGCCGAAGACCCAGATTCGATTCCCGACATGGGTATAATGTGTGAAGCCCATTTCTGGTGTCCCCCGCTGAGATATTGCTGGAATATTGCTAAAAGCGGTGTTAAACCATACTCACTCACTCACTCACTCATCTGGTGATGAGGGAAAGGAAATATTTTCCTTCACCCTGTCACTTGATGAAAGAAATGTATTTCACTTGACACATGAAATATCCTATTTATTATGTACTTTTTGTGTAGTAGCCTACCGGAGATTCTATTTTTTTCATTACAAATGTAAAACCTTGTAACGTAAATTCTCCCTACCTAACAAGGAGGGACATTGCACCAATTGCAACTCAAAAAGTAGTTTAAAAAAATAAACAAAAGTGATAAAAAACGTTTGAGGTCACTAAAATTGATACACTCGATATGATGATATACAAACTCAACTTCAACAAAAATATTCTTGAAATCTACGAGAGCTGTTTGTGTGAGACCTGCATCACTTAGGGCTTACCTCTTAAATCAAGCTGACACACCGTGATATAACTGGAATACTGTTAAAAGCGGTGTTAAAATCCAACTTCCTCACTCCATGCACTATAAGACCGCCTCCGTGGTCTAGTGGCCCGGAGAACGGAAGGTCCAGGGTTCGATCCCCGGCCACGTCATACCAAAAGACGTTAAAAGATGGTACTTGTTGTTACCCTGTCTGGCGCTCGGCATTAAAGGGCTAAAACAAGGACTGGTCGGTATACTGTGTCTGAGTGTTGGTATTCATGTTAAACTGCGGCATGGTATCTCAGTGTGCTAGCACTATAAATCAGCATCAGTCCGGACTAGTACAAGCAGCCACACACACACGTGCATGCATGTCGCTGTATAAGTGCAATAATCGACGCGACGTTAAATCCAACCTCCTCACTCCATGCACTATAATGAAGCACAGAGATAATGAGGCTAAGTGGAGGATACCGGTACATGTATTTACACATACACAGAAGGTAGTCACAGGTGATACCAGTAAGAAGCCCCGACTGTATTGTGTGGGTGATTTACCTTGACCTCACCACGGACTTGATAGGTCCGTGACCTCACATGTCACCCAGGAGAGAAAGTACTTTTGGTATTCCTGTCTCACACAATCTGGACAGATCATATAGACCTTTTGAGTGAAAGAGAAGCTTATGAGAAAAGTTTTAAATTTGGAGTAGAGACACATGGGTCCAGGTGGTAGCGTCTTCCACTCTGCTGCTTCTGCTGCTACTGTTGTGACTGTTGTTGCTGCTGCTGCTGCTGATGATGCTGCTGATGCTGCTGCTGCTGCTGCTGCTGCTGCTCCTGATGCGTAGACCTATGGGGATGTAGTGATTGTTGGGATGACTAATAATTGCTGATTCTCATATCCCAGTGGTCAGGTTCGTTGGTACAAGGCTGGCAATATGCCAGTATGCATGGAGAGGTTAAGCACAGGGTCTTGTATGTGATTCTATGAGGATTATTTCTGAGTGTTTAAGAACCAAAATGTTGAAGGAAATCATTGCGACAGAGACTGAATGACCTAAGAAGGCCAGTCAGAAATACCAGAGGAAATCAACGTAACCATGGTAACTGGATATAAAGTTTATAACGGCATATTCTGTTTCTTTTTTTCAGGGATGACCCTAAATCATGGACAAGTCGACTTCAGAAGTTCTGACCATCTTTTCATTCAAAATCAAACTTGTAAAAATCATGACGTAATGTATATTTCAGTTCTATACGAATGTACAATGTTACATTTGACCAGACATGCACGTGCTATGATGAGGATTGATTGAGGTGAATATTCTTATTACTGCTGAGAGATGACACTGAAAGGATTACCCAGTAGTATTGAATAACTGACTATTATTTCTTACACCTGTATTTATGTGTGAATATATGAATGTGCTATCAAGAAATAAACAGTTGAAATGTTCCTTGTGATTATTTGTTGTCTGGCAGCACACTCAGCAATATTTCAGCAGTTTGACGGCAGTCTGTAAACAAGAGGCCCATAGGGTCTGTATCGCTCACCCGGATATTTTCGCGATCATGAAAAAATGTACATGTATATAATATTAATACTGCAAATATTTCGTAATTTTGACTGTCAGCATTTAAAATGGGTGGATGGCAAATCTGACAGCATGAACATGTACTTCTCTAGATACAAATGAAGCATAAAGATTGGAACCGTTTCCATGATCTTAGCGCTACAATTGTTGTAAGTCAGTGTTAAAGAATGGGAGTTATGATCGACTTAGCGCTAAGATCAGTTTGTGGAACGGGGCCCTGGATCTTAGGCATTGGCATAAATGTATTATACTCTTCATAACAAACAAATGTATACAATGTATCTGTTTATTACCAGGTGGGGATAATATGGGTTTGCATGTTATGGTCTAGGTTCTAACTCCTTTGAGAGTGCCGGACAGATGAACAGAAGGGTTCAGTCCCTCCATTTCTCCATTTTGAATTCCCACCATTGGAGAATGCTTCCAACCAGATATGGTTGATATCTATCTCTTAGTTCCAGAGAAGAAGACGTTTAAAGCAATAACGGCCCTCCATTTGTACAATATTTAATCCCCACCACCTAGGGATATTTCCAGTCAAATTTCGTTAATTTCTAATTAGTGGTTCAGAAGCAGAAGTCGTTGGAAAAAATTGTTGACATACAGACAATGGTGAGCGAATAATCGAGTCTGGACCAGACATTCCAGGGACTGACATCATGAGCATCGATCTATGCAATTGGGATGTGATGACATGCCTCAACCAAGTCAGCGAGTCGATCCCGATCCCGTGAGTCGCCTCTTACAACAAGCATAGTCGCCTTTAATGGCAAGCATGGGTTGCTTGGGGCTGGACCAGACAATCCAGTGATTGATATGACAACTCGCAATCAACCAAGTCCCCAAGTCTGACCATCTGATCCATTAATCTTCTCTTATGACCAGCATACATTGCTTGGGACATTTCTAACCCAGTGATATTGTGTTGTGATTGAATCATGGTAACTCAGATAGAGTCATGGTGTATTGGAACAGTATATCATGTATGTCAAGTAAGCTCAGCGGATCCTGGAAGCTAAGGGACACAACTCTTGGGTCCAAGGAGATGGTGTGTGCTTTCTTGGGATTTCTGCCTCAGATAAAGTGCTCACTGATGAAATGGCAAACTGGGTATCACAGTGCTCCTATTATATATGATTTGAATGACAGGACATATTGTTGTCTGTGATCTGCTGATGTTTCTCAATCATGGACAGACCCGTGAAGATCCGGGGTAGAATAGGTCTTCAGCAACCCATGCTTGCCGTAAAAGGCGACTGCTTGTCGTAAGAGGTGACTAACGGGATTGGGTGGTCAGGCTTGCTGACTTGGTTGATGCATGTCATCAATCCCAATTATTTTCTTATCTTGTTCCTGCTATTCTTCCCGTGAAATTTCTGCATTTGATAACTAAATCTGTTTTCACGTTCCTTATGGAAACACAATAACAAAGAACATTTTCATATTAACTTTAATTGCAAGACCAAGCTAAGTGCAAGTTTTCACCAGCCTTCGATGCAATCTCATGCATAAGATACAAACATTCTGCATCAGCATCATACTACTCAAAAGAAGTTGAATGGTCATGACAGATGAACTATAATCAATAAAAATCGGACGATTAACCGTAGTCATATGAAAAGAAAGGGTGTTCTTTAACTTCTTTTGAGTAGTATAAGACAAATGTAGCCATTGTACATGATGTAAATATCAATATATCACATAGTATTCATGAGACATACCGGGGTAACGTTTGAAATGAGTTGAAATTATATCACTGTGACAGAGATATTTACCTTACCTTCAAGCATGTAGACACAATAATCACTCACTCACTCACTAACAAGTATACTGAACAAAGAAGTTTAGAATTTTTTAAATTGTATGCTCAGTCTTCACTACAAAAAAATATTCCCCCAAATATTGATGATCCTCAACTTTTTTGTTCAGTATGTATCCAACTCTGGCCCACCCCATAGCAACATGCTGTTTCTGTGCACATCAGGACATCTGACATACTTGTGCAATCCAATGCAGCCGTTTCATGCAACATACATGTATCTAAAACAGTAAGTAAACATTGTTCAACAGGGCATCATCTATTTTGACTATTATATGAACATTGCCTTGGCAAAGTAGACTTTCATATGTACATTTCCTTAGCAATTATGTGAAATGATATAACTTCTTTTGGTAGATCATGTGTGAAAATGACAGAAACCTGATTAATGAACATGAGCAGGTGTTTGTGATCTAAGCCTTCATACACAATGTCATGCTAATCACTCCTAACAATACACTGTATAATGTTTTCTTGTTCAATGTAGAGATTCACACATGTGAGGCTATCCTCATCTCTTGCCCTGGTACTATAGGGCAGCACTGTCCAGGCTAGCCTCCTCTCTTGCCCTGGGACTGTAAGACATCATTGTCAAGGCTAGCCTCATCTCTTGCTCTGGGACTGTTGAGGTGGTTCTCATCTCTTGCCCTGGGACTGTAAGACATCACTGTCAAGGCTAGCCTCATCTCTTGCCCGCGGACTGTCGAGGCTAGCCTCATCTCTTGCCCTGGGACTGTCGAGGCTAGCCTCATCTCTTGCCCTGGGACTGTTGAGGCTAGCCTCATCTCTTGCCCTGGGACTGTTGAGGTGAGCCTCATCTCTTGCCCTGGGACTGTAAGACATCACTGTCAAGGCTAGCCTCATCTCTTGCCCGCGGACTGTCGAGGCTAGCCTCATCTCTTGCCCTGGGACTGTCGAGGCTAGCCTCATCTCTTGCCCTGGGACTGTTGAGGTGAGTCTCATCTCTTGCCCTGGGACTGTTGAGGCTAGCCTCATCTCTTGCCCTGGGACTGTCGAGGCTAGCCTGATATCTTGCCCTGGGACTGTTGAGGTGAGTCTCATCTCTTGCCCTGAGACTGTAGGGGCAGCACTGTCGAGGCTAGCCTCATCTCTTGCCCTGGGACTGTTGAGGTGAGTCTCATCTCTTGCCCTGAGACTGTAGGGGCAGCACTGTCGAGGCTACCCTCATCTCTTGCCCTGGGACTGTTGAGGTGAGCCTCATCTCTTGCCCTGGGACTGTAAGACATCATTGTCAAGGCTAGCCTCATCTCTTGCCCTGGGACTGTTGAGGTGAGTCTCATCTCTTGCCCTGAGACTGTAAGACATCATTGTCAAGGCTAGCCTCATCTCTTGCCCTGGGACTGTCGAGGCTAGCCTCATCTCTTGCCCTGGGACTGTAGGGGCAGCACTGTCGAGGCTAGCCTCATCTCTTGCCCTGGGACTGTTGAGGTGAGCCTCATCTCTTGCCCTGGGACTGTAAGACATCATTGTCAAGGCTAGTCTCATCTCTTGCCCTGGGACTGTCGAGGCTAGCCTCATCTCTTGCCCTGGGACTGTTGAGGTGAGCCTCATCTCTTGCCCTGGGACTGCAGGGGCAGCACCAGACTGTCTAGTTCCTTCTTGTGACCCATCTCTGATAACCACACCTGTAAGGTCAACACAATCAGTTAGCAGGGAGTAGTTCTACTCAGGCAGCCATGACTGCTGTCTCACCTCCTATGGAAGGGCCATGAGTGATCCAGGCATTTTAGGCACCTCACTTCCCTGTGCAGAGTTTTGTCCCTTTGATGCCAGAAATTATGATAGTGGGTTCGAATCGCGGTTCGCCCCGATTATGTTTCTAGGATTGTCAGCACCATACCTGTGCCCGTGGGTTTCACCGAAGTGGTAAATGTCTGAGACCTGGATCACTTCGGGCTTTCCTCCCACATTAAGTTGACATGCCGTGATAAAAATGGAATACTGTTCAAAGGGGTGTTAAACCCAACACACTCATTCACTCATTTACTTGGTATAACTCCTGGTTGATGGAGGAACGTAGTGATTACAAAATATTGATGATGCTGACTGTATTGATGACACATGACAACGCACACGGAGGATCTGTGTAGAATAGGTCTTTAGCAACCCATGCTTGCCGTAAAAGGCAACTAGGCTTGTCATAAGATTGGGTGCTCAGGCTCGCTGACTTGGTTGGTGCATGTTATCGCATCCCAATTGTGAGACTGATGCTCATGATGTCAATCTCTGGATTGTCTGGCCCAGACTTGATTATCTACAGATCACAATCATATAGCTGGAAAAAAGCTGAGTGCCTCGTTAAACAACAAACAAACAAACAAAACTTACATGGAACCTGGTCTCAACCAAGCCCTGAAACTCCTTCCTCTGGTCCCGAGTCAATCCCGCGTCTTTCACCATCTTCTGCCAGCGGTCAATCTCCTTGTGCCGCTGGCCGACTGCCTTCTGGTGCCGGCTGGGCAGACCTCCAGGAATGGACTACATGCGATAACAAAAACAATTCCAGTATGGTTTTATGCCGAGATCCAGTGTCATGTGACCTGGAGGACCTGCCCCTGATGCTGAAACAGAGATGCCGACCCACAACTCCTTCCACTCTGTACAATCGTCGACCTTTGTCCTCCAAGAATCAATGAATACTTTTCAAAGAATTTTTGCTTGAAGACAACTTTCATATAATTTGGACTTTTCAGATGCGAATTCATCCACATATGCCACTGTTTTGCTACCAGTTTCATTTAGCATGTTCAGCTTTTGTTACTTAAAAAGTTTGGAGTAAATATACAAGTTTCATATTTCATAAGGATAATGCTTCCAAATGCTACAGAGGCACATATACAGTAATCCAGTCACAAAATACTGAAACAAAACAGAATGAACAACGAAACAAACTGCTTTCCTTGCAACAAGAGTAACATGGTGTACAGTGAAGTGGGTAGGGAGTATAATCATGTCTCAGGTTGTAGCGTACAAAATGTGCAAAATTTGTACAAGTAGGAAACTCTGCTGATATCATTACCATATAGCCTTGTGGTTCCAGAGGAAATGACAAACTGTGAAAGTTTACGAGGGATACTGTGCCATACACTCACATTGTCAACCTTCTGTGATGGTGGGCTAAATGGTCGGCAGTTGTTGAATTATTATCTAAATTGAGTGAGTGAATGTTGTTTTATGTCAGACAGCAATATTCCAGCTGCATCATTACAATCTATGGTGATGGTCCAGGCAGTCTAAAAATATGTCTTATAAAAGATTAGTCCAGAGGATTATTGTAAACTTATTTCACTAATCCTCAGAGTGTGTAGGTAGTCCTGCTTGAACAGGACAAAAATGTTTACTATGGTTTTCATTTTCAGTTTTATTAAGTTCAAATTTGCAGCAAAACTGTAGTATTGAGATTTGAATACTAGGTCAGCTACTAGTCAATGAGGACTACCATCACAGATTCTTATTAGTCCTCAGCACAGTTTAGTGGTCTGTGTCAACTGGGAACCTATACCCTGAGTGTAACTTCTTTGATAGGTATTTAGAAGTTGGAGTACTAGTGAGTGAGTGAGTTGGGTTTAACGCCGCTTTGAACAGTATTCCAGTTATAACGCAGCGTGTCAGCTTATTGTGGGAGGAAAGCCCGAAGTGATACAGGTCTCAGACGTTTACCATTTCGGTGAAACCCACGAGCACGGGTATGGTGCTGACAAACCTAGAAACCTAATCGGGGCGAACCGGGATTCGAACCCACAATCATAGGTTTCTGGCGTGTCCAATGGACGCAACTCTGCACAGAGAATCGCAGCGCCTTAGAGGACTGGGCCACCCAGAAGTTGCAGTACTAAGTACGGATAACCGTGACCAAGGTTATTACATCTTACCATCAACTCAAATCATCAAACACCCACTCAGTCATAATCCTTTTGTGTACATAACAGGCCTCTCCACTCCAATGTAACTACATCTGATATCTACTCTAATGTATAAACACTGCCTCCTACCTCTATATATATATACTTGTCAACCACACTCTGTACATCTCTTGTCTCAGCAACCCATGCTTGTCGTAAGAGGCGACTAACGGGATCGGTTGGTCAGGCTCGCTGACTTGGTTGATGAATGTCATAGATCCCAATTGTGTGGATCGATACTCATGATGTCAATCATTGGATTGTCTGGTCCAGATTTGATTATTTGCTCACCGTCGTCCGTACGTTTCAAACGACTTCTTCTGAACCACTAATTGACACATGACAACTTACACAAAATATCCGGGGTAGAATAGGTCTTCAGAAAACCATGCTTGCCGTAAAAGGCAATTATGCTTGTCGTAAGATCAGGATCTCAGGCTCGCTGACTTGGTTGATGGATGTCATCCCATCCCAGTTGCGAGATTGATGCTCATGATGTCAATCACTGGATTGTCTTGTCGAGACTCGATTATTTACAAACCGTCATCACATAGCTGGAATATTGCTGAGTGTGACGTTTAACAACAAACCAAACAACCAAAACTGTACATCACTTGCTTGATAACGATGTTAGAACTTACACCGAAACATCGCTCCTAACTGTAATAAAGAAGTTGCTCATCCATAAATCCTATCCTTACTCTGAGTGTAGTCAACTGACCTTGGTTGGTCCTTCCATGTCAAAGGGCACAGTGAAAGTGAAGAACTCGTGGACTGGCATTATTTCCCAAATGGGTGTCTCGTCTCGGTGATCAGGCCCTGCAATACAAGATTGGTCATCTTCATATATGCCTTACACTACAAGGCTTAAAAAAATAAAAGAATTGGTTCTCAGGCAATGTTTTTTGAAAATATAGTGCGGGCGGGCGGAGTTTGTTTTTTTCCTCTTTTTTTTTATACTAGTTTGTAACCAAATAAACAAAGAATAATCAACCTGGGAAAGGGCCTCCCTACATAAATGTATTCCTTGATGAGTAAAATACGGGAATACAGTATTTGACTACCGTTGTATTTGGAATATTAAAGGATAATTTTTTTTTCAAAATCGTAATAAAAACGAAACGTGCAGCGAACTTTATAATGATGCGGGCAGAGCCTGAGAACCAAGACTATTATTTTTTTTAGCCCTAGAAAACAAAGTCCTGGTCTGATTTTTTAGATAAGTAACTGTGATAAAGAAGGGTACTCACCCACACACAGTGGCTGGTCCCAGAAGTTGAGTGATGCGGAGATGCTGACGAGGGACATGTGTTCCTCCAGCTGGGGGTAGAATGTGTGGTACGGAGCCAGGAGGATGGTGTCGTTCCCGCTGAGCAGCACAGGGCGTGTGGGGGTCAGCAGATGCAGGGTACACAGAGTACACCCACTGGAACAAGGACCATGTGTTCATCACGCCGCCAGCTTGGCATCACATCATTAAGGTCATCAAAGTTTTTTGTTTGTCTGTTGTTGAACGACACACTCAGCAATATTCCAGCTATATGACTGTGGTCTGTAAATAATCAAGTCTGGACCAGATAATCCAGTGATTGACATCACGAGCATCGATCCATGCAATTAGGATACGATGACATGCATCAACAAAGTCAGTGAGCTTGACCACCCGATCCCGTTAGTGGCCTCTTACCCCAAGAATAGTCACCTTTTACGGCAAGCATGGGTTGCTGAAGACCTATTCTACCCCGGATCTTCACGGTTGATGTCATCAAAGGATGCAGGAATAATGACTGATTTGTTAACCATGGCTAAACTAATACCAATTCCGGTATCATCCGCACATTGTATATGGGAGGTAACTCTTGTAGCAGTGTTGGAAACAAAGCTCAACAAGAGTTTGCCACTAACGTGGCTATATCCCCCGCCCCTGTTGCAGAATTTATGACATAATTAAATCTAAACAAATCCTAACCTTTTTTAACCGAGGTGGAACTTGTCATGGAAATTGTAAAAAAAAGAAGAGTTTGGAACCTAAGTCAATCTTGCTGTCATGGAAACGTAAAAAAATAAAAATTTCCAAAATTTCTAAATAGCAAAAGGCACCAGTTCAGCATGTACCTGACAGACCTACAAAGTTTGATGAATAAATATTGAACGGTTTATGAGTTATGCTCCGGAAATGAACCCTACCCTCACAGAACCTAAGTCCATCTTGTTGCCATGGAAACGTAAAAAATAATAATTTCTAAAATTTCTAAATAGCAAAAGGCACCAGTTCAGCATGTACCTGACAGACCTTCAAAGTTTGATGAAAAAATATTGAACGGTTTATGAGTTATGCTCCGGAAACGAAACGTGACGGACGGACGGACAGAGCCCGTTTCTATATAAATAACAAACATGGATGTCGATGACCCATTCTGCCTCGGTATTCCCACAGCGTTGGTCTAGATAATATTCCAGCCGTATGAGTCGATAAGGATTTTGTCATAATATTCACAGGTGAAGTGACAAAGCTTATAATGGCAATCAAAGGCACTAGGTCAATGTTTGAACTGCCCGAGTGACCGAATGTTGGTGGTAATTTGATTCACTGCAGATGCCTCTGTAGATGCAAGATTTCCTAATGTTTCAAAGTATGAACTGTTAGTGAAATGACATGAAATCAAGTTAAAATTGTTACAATTGATTTAACTTATTATCCATGGAGGTCCAATGATTAAGACACTTTATTATTACACTAATATTCTAAAGTTCAATTTCCACGTAATATTTATCAATTCTAAGATACATGTATAAAATGTTTACATGTTCTCAGTAACTTTCCACTACCTCGTGACCTTAACCTTCATGTGCAATGTCAAAGCTCACAGGTCATGTCGCGACCTCTTCAAAGCTCATGCATTTGGAAGCACATGCTCACCAGTGTGTATTGGACCTCCATGCTGCCAGGTTCTCACCTTACTGCCTGCTATATTTGAACTTTGTAAAGACACATGTGAGTACCTTTCCCTTTCATTGTAAGGTTTTATGTTTATTTCTGAACACCCTGAAATTGTATATATGCCAAAATATTAATTTAATGCAAAATTGTTTAGATATTTCACACAACTGTTACATTATGCAAATGTGTGCTTGGTAATTTTGCATAAATTCAATGTAGTCAATGTATTTATTGCTTCATTTGGATGTAATTTCGAATGTGTTAAATACTAGGAAAATTGGTAAATGTTTCTGAATTTACAAAAAGCTATTGTTTATTGTAGTTTTCTGAACCTCATCAACTTGTCGACGCTTCAATTTGTCACCAACTCGTCACCAACTGTCACCAATTATTCCTAAAGCCATGGCTCTAACTATAAACTGTACTACGTTAAATGTCACGAAATAAACCCTGTTGATGCAAGTGTTAGTTTTGTCGTCTTGCATCCACATTAGTTCAGAAAAATATACAGACAGTGGGGTGTAATTGTTGGTAAAATGGCAGAATATTGAACGTCTTACCGTAATGGAGGCCAGTACACACTCATCTTAGACTGTTCAAAACGGTTATCAGTTACAGTCCGGGATACATTTGAAGTTGATTTTGAACTGTTTATTGCTTAACAGTACAGGGATTTAACGTTTAACTGTAAAGCAATTTATCGCACAACAGGTGTTAATTGTTGAAAAGTGACATCTGTAGTTAAAGAGTCATGGCTACAAGAGACATGCGGGATTACTCGGACGTTTCCAATCCTGTAGAAGAGGACGAACACTGGGACATGCTGGGAGTCGAAGAGAATAAGGACACTTCACAACGTCCAGTACGACAGAATTCTTACGGAGAAAGGCAAAAGTGAACATCTGCTAACGTCTGCTAAGGAACAAGAGTATTGCTGCTCTTTCTGCGTTGACTCAGTGCAAAAATGAACTTGTTTCTCTTATGAACAATCGTGATAATTTGCATTTAGTTAAATCTTTTCTTGATAATTTTGCTGCTTTGTTTTCCAGTTACGAAAAAAGCTCTAAGCTCTATTCCAGTGAACTTGACACTCCTGAGGAGAAAGTGAAGTCTATTCAGCATGCTGCGGTTAAGCTGAATGAAGCTCATGGTTTCAGGGATTTGGTCGTGAGTTGGATCCAACATGTTGAACGTGAGTTGTCTGATCAAGTTAACAGAAAATCCATTTCAAAACAAAATTCTGTAATCAGTGGGCTATCTAAGCGTTCAGTTAATTCTAAAAAGTCTACCATAAGCTCTACTAGGTCTGCTCATATTTTTGAGAAAGCGAAACTTGCTGAGCTTCGTGCAGAAAAGGCCATACTGCATTCAATGACACAGGCCCTGACATCCATGCATGAGCTCGAGCTCGACATGGAGATCGCCAAGACCATCAGATATTTGCCGATGCTGAGGTAAAGTCTACAACCGAGATGAAGGTAAAGATACGAGGTACAGACCACGATGAGATAAATCAGATCTTTCCTTTTACATCCGAAATTAAACCTGATATGCACGATGAGCAAATGATTTCCAATCCTGCGAATCACTGCACTGACCGGCCTTCTTGGCAACTATCGAATCCTTGTTCCAATCCTGTACATTACAACACTGGTCAGTCCTGGCATCCAAGGTTAGATCCTAATGCAAATGACTTTCTGCCAGAAAATAGGAATATTTCAAATAACTTTGCTCAAGATCATGAATGTGTATCTGATAACCAACTTCATTCATCAAACCATGTTTTCCTGGAGACTCAAAGACAGATGGCCAACACCATGTTTTGTAGAATTTTCCTATTCGGAATATTCTATAAGTAATACGTTACCACTGTTATACCCACAACTGCTGCTATAGCGAAATCTACCACAGAGATCTCAATTACCTCATGCAGCACGTGCGTAGCCACCTAGCTGCCATGTGACACCCTTCACTCTTGTCTCCTGCGAGAGCAAGTGCTCGGGGGTGGACGGGCGGGCAGCAGTCCAGTGGTAATGTATTACTTATAGAATATTCCGAATAGGAAAATTCTACAAATTACATTAAGTAATACGTTACCACTGTTATACCGAGGCTGACTACCACAGTAGGCGGTGGGGAGCACCTACAACCCGAATCCTGACTGCTAGCGTTCCTTCCGACCAGCAGAATTAAACATCAAGGCGGAAGCACTCGATGCGCATGCACCTAGCTAGGCGTTACCCTATAGGACTACCAAAGCACGGTCAAGCGCATACCGTAAGGCTCAATCGTCATTGCCAAAACGATTGGTGACTCCAAACGGCCCCACTCGATAGGTATTTCATCGCCGCAGCGGATGAGAACACTGTATCCGCGTGAGCTAAATCTTAGATCAGGTTAAACAGTCGAAAGAGGGAAATTAATTTCATTCCGACCGTATATCCCCGAGCAAGCCTACTTAAAGTATGTAATAGGCGCGTGACCTAATTCCAGTATTCGTAAGCATGTATCACAAGGTTGGAATACACGACAATTAAATGCATAATTGTCAAAATACAAATAAGGACAAAACACACAAAAAGCTGCCTCACCTGTGGTGTGAGTGCGCTGGTTTGTGGGAACATTGGAGACGACCCAGATTGACCACCGTGCAAGGACTGACGACTGCGGAGTTTGGAATTGCGCTGGACACACCCCCTAGATGACCGCTTGTGCCGCGATCAGCGGCCCAAGACGGTGCACCCCCTCCACGTCTTCATCAGAAACCTTTCTGAGGTAATGATTGGCAAAAACCGAGTCAGAACGCCAGTAACAACCTCGTAATATTCTGTGAACAGAGATATTTGAGTGTAGGGCAAATGTTGCCGCTAGCGCCCTGATCTCGTGCGGGTTTGACCCCGCTACCGGTTACCCCCGAGACCGGTACGCCAGATTGATGACAGAACGAAGCCACAACGCAATCGAGTTGCGAGTTATGTCAACCGTGTGATTAGGGTTACACGATATGAACAGACGGTCACGCCCTTGTCTACGTTCATTCGAAGCCTTAAGATAATACTTAAGGGCCCTAACCGGACACAGCGCTCTGTCCTCAGTATCAGCAGGATGTAAGATTTCCTTGAGTGATCTTACAGTGAATTCTCTCTCCGTTTGCCAGATTCTCTGATTCTTGGCGAGGAAGCCCATGAGCAGGCCCAGGCGGACCGCTCCTTCGTCACCCCTATCGAATCGTACCTTGGCGACATCGAGTGCATGAATTTCGGATACACGTGCCGCCGTGGCAAAGGAGAGGAGAAATGCTGTTTTCCAAGTCACATGCCGGAACGAAGCACTATGCAAGGGTTCATACAGAGCTTCCGTAAGTGATTTCAACACTAGGGAAAGATCCCAGGCCGGTGCCCGAAGGCGGCCCTTCTAAAGATCGTGCTGTTTGAAACCCTTGATAATACCCCGTATCACCGGCTCTTTGGAGAGACTGGTACCCATAGCAACGTCCCGTACCGTAGCAACGGACGAGACATAGTTGGCAATGGAACCCCCAGAGAGTTTCCGGGTCTCTCGCAAGTGAGACATGAAACGAGCAATATCCTGCACAGATACCTTATCTGGCGAATGAATGTGATGTTTACAACACCACTTCGTGAAAATAACCCAACGTGCATTATACACCTTCTGGGTAGAATCACGATGCATACTAACGTATGCCCGAGACGCCCGGCGAGAAAAACCTTTACTCCTCAGACGCTCGGTGACAACATCCACGCGTATCTGGCATGGGACACTGTCCACCAGAGCGTAAAACTCGAACGTGAGATCGAGTAGCGAGTGACTGTGGGTTCCCCCTAGTTTGTTCACATAGGACACTACCGTCGTGTTGTCGGTCGCCAGCATAAGACGTCGGCATCGACGAGACGATGCTTCCAGTGATTGACTGCGTTGATCACTGCCTTGAACTCGAGACAATTGATGTGAAGACCTAGTTCGTCTACGCACCACAGCCCCGAGCTCACCTCCCCCTCTAGATGGGCGCCCCAGCCCACTAGAGAGGCGTCTGTATATAGGTGCAACGCGTCCCGGTAGGGCCGCATAGAGACTCCTGATAAGACATTGTAAGGGAGCGTCCACCACTCCAGATAAGGTCGGAGCCGATCCGGGAGGGCGACGGTCGCACTGTTCACCTCCGTTGCTAACAACTGGATTAAAAACCGTTGCAGCGGGCGGAGTTGGAGACGACCCCGTTCGGTGCAGTCCTGGGCTGATACAAGTAGCCCTAACAGCTGTTCCCAAAAGTGAACAGTCTGTTGCACCGCTAAGACTTTGGCAATCATCGCCTGAATTTTGTGCCACCGGTCTGGGGGGACAAATAGGCGATGGGACACCGTGTTGAACCGACCTCTGATGAACTGCAAGTTCTGAGAAGGGGTTAACTCGCTCTTGGGGAGATTGACAATCCACCCCAATTGCTCCAAGAGCCGATGTGCGAAAACGAGATGGCGTGACAGGGTGTCCGTCATTCGATTTGCTACTAGCGAGTCGTCCAGGTACGCGATATGTACAGGTATGTTGGCATACGAACCCCTCCAATGAGAGTCACCTGGAGGGGCCCTTGCCGTCCTTAGACGACTTGGGCTTCCCCCAGTTCCCCTTCTTCCCGCGAAAGGGCTGCTGAGAACCCTTACCGGAGCCCTCAGAGCGGGGCTTCTTCCCGGAGGAAGGACCCGACCCCTTAGGCCTGCCAGACGCAGCATGCTGGGGCGCACTCCGCTTCGGAGCGGCACCCAGGCGCCTATGCAAGGACCCCACAAGATCCATTGTGTGCCGAGAGGCCTCGGTAGACACAGCGGCCTGTTGTTCCTTCAGAACCCCAGGGATCTTGTTATTAAACAGGGTCCGAGCAGACCAAGGCTGCGAAAGGAGCACCTCCTGATTAGCAGCGTCCAACCCTGAAGCAACCAGATACGACTGGCGCCGAAGAAAATGGCACGTGCCGGAAACAAAGGCCGAAGCCCCGGCAACGTACTCCAGGGAAGCATTCAAACCGAGCAAGCAGTTGTAAATGCGCTGGTCTCGGTCCGTGGGAGAACCTTCGACCAGACTGGCCGCTGCAGCCAGGTATGTGTCTCCGTGAGACGTTGGCAGCATGGAGTGTCGAGCGAGGGTGTCCAGCTGTTGCAAGGTACCTTGTGGTACCGTGGCAACCGGTGGGGCACGGACCCCCAAACGCTCCACATGGGCTTCCGCAGAAGGACCAGCCTCGGGAAAGGCAAGGTCATGTACTGGGAAAGACCCTTTTCTCCACGACGGGGGAGGTAACGGGAGACCCCGACCGGAGGCAGCCGTGAAGGCCTTCTCCAAAGAAGGCTTAATCCCGCGCAGCAAGGTTGATGCCGGGAAAGCCTTGTTGGACGTCTCGTCGTATACCTCAGAGGAACCCACGGAACCGTGGATTCCCCGCAGTATCGGCAGGGGCTTTGGCATGTCCTCAAAGAGGTCATACACCATGGCAACGCGGTCCTTAACCGATAGCGGAAGCAACGGTTCGGGGGAAGGACCGGTAACCACGGCAGCCGCCGCCGTAGCGGTGGACCCCGCGTCCGAACCCGCGGCCACCGAAGAGGCCGGGGACGGAACAGCCAGCGGCCTATCTTGCGATAAGGCCGCCAGCTTGGAGTCCACAAGTTTCGACAACAATGCGGCGACGGAATCCCCAGACAGCCCCAGGGCCGCAAGGGGATCCGCCGCAGCCGAGGAGGTGGTACCCGCACGGGGACCCGGACCGGACGAACCGGCCACCACAGGGGTGGAGACGGACTGTACGTACAGCCGGTACCGCTCACACTCCGCAGGCCCCAGACCTTCACACAGGGTGCACCGGGTGTCCCCGCAAGGAACCCTGCACCGCGGGCAACGATCGTGGGGATCCCGGGACGACAAAAACTTTCTGCACACCCCACAACTCCGAGGAGCAGGGGTAGAGGGGGTGGATACTGGGGACATATCCATGTCAGACATTGATTGTTTGCTATAAACAAAGAACAAAACATGGTTACAACGCACGCACCACAATGATTCACAAACGAGCATTTTCACAAGAAAATAAACGAGCAATGTGAACATATAACATACACATATAACTTTTATTAAAGAAATAAGTTATGTTAACCCCCAAAACATACAAGAACAGGGGAAACGTAAAACACAACGTGCATACGCGAACCCCGCAAGTATATAGAAAAAAGGGCGGGAAAAATTTTCCGTTTGACGGGAAAATTATAATAACCAAGCGTAGCTACCGCAACGCCCCATAAAAGCACAGTTTATTAGAGAATAAACTATAATAAATATCACCAAATCTTCAAGGAACGCTTCAGCAGGAGAAAACACGTCTTGCTAAGCAGATGAAGGAGACAAGAGTGAAGGGTGTCACATGGCAGCTAGGTGGCTACGCACGTGCTGCATGAGGTAATTGAGATCTCTGTGGTAGATTTCGCTATAGCAGCAGTTGGGGGGGACAACAGCCTTGGTATAACAGTGGTAACGTATTACTTAATGTAATTTCGGCACACCCCGCAACTCCGAGGAGCAGGGGTAGAGGGGGTGGAGACTGGGGACATATCCATGTCAGACATTGTTTGTTTGCTATAAACAAAGAACAAAACATGGTTACAACGCACGCACCACAATGATTCACAAACGAGCATTTTCACAAGAAAATAAACGAGCAATGTGAACATATAACATACAAATATAACTTTTATTAAAGAAATAAGTTATGTTAACCCCCAAAACATACAAGAACAGGGGAAACGTAACACACAACGTGCATACGCAAACCCCGCAAGTATATATAAAAAAGGGCGGGAAAATTTTTCCGTTTGGCGGGAAAATTATAACCAAGCGTAGCGACCGTAACGCCCCATAAAAGCAGTTTATTAGAGAATAGACTATAATAGATATCACCAAATAGTCAAGGAACGCTTCAGCAGGAGGTATACACGTCTTGCTACGCAGACGAAAGAGACAAGAGTGAAGGGTGTCACATGGCAGCTACGCACGTGCTGCATGAGGTAATTGAGATCTCTGTGGTAGATTTCGCTATAGCAGCAGTTGTGGGAAACAACAGCCTCGGTATAACAGTGGTAACGTATTACTTAATGTAATGTTTAGATATTTCACACAACTGTTACATTATATTTGCAAATGTGTGCTTGGTAATTTTGCTTAATTTCAATGTAGTCAATGTATTTATTGCTTCATTTGGATGTAATTTTGAATGTGTTAAATTCTAGGAAAATTGGTAAATGTTTCTGAATTACAGGAAGCTATTGTTTATTGTAGTTTTCTGAACCTCATCAACTTGTCGACGTTGTCATCAACTGTCACCAATTGTTCCTAAAGCCATGGCTCTAACTATAAACTGTACTACGTTAAACGTCACGAAATAAACCCTGTTGATGCGAGTGTTAGTTTTGTCGTCTTGCATCCACAGCCTACTTGCTTTAACTGTCTTAAAAATCTTTAATTTGTTACGTTTTCAAACATCTAACCTGACCATGACAGAGCGACACACGGCAATGACTGTCACATTCTCACCTGACCATGATAGAGCGACACACGGCAATGACTGTGACGTTCTCACAGTTACTCAGGTGAACACACGACTCTACCGGCCCCAACACAACGGTAGTATTCCGACACTTCTCTATCGTCACTGATCTGTAACAGAAAATGCTGATTAAATCCTTGAAACCGAGGAGTACATGTTCCATTTAATACATGCTTCATCCAAACCCCTGGTGAGTAATATCTCAAAATAAGCCACAAAGCTCTGTAGCTCACCTGAATTGTGAATAAATAATGTCTTAAGTCATATTGGAATTCTGCAAGCAATTTCAGAGACGCTACAGCTGGGATCATTCATACAGAGCATTATATGGAAATATAATTCATTATAAAACAATGATTGTAACTGTATTACATTGTTTCTGTTAAGATTCAGTTGAAGTTCATTGCATTGTATTTGGACAATGATTAGTTGTCAGGAATGTAGTACTATTTAATGTAAGCACTGGTGAGGAAGTAATCATATTGAGATGCACGATTTACCTGCTAACCTCTGGCCATGGAATAGCATGGATGGATGTCAAGCGTTATAGAAACATGTAGAATATTCTGTGATGTTCTTGTGACACTGGACTGGTCAAGCACTGTGTGGAAAGTGCTGGAAGCTAGTTAGACTATATAAGTGGAGCGGGTGCATGCCTGTGTCATCTCACATTTCATCTGACCTTACATTGAGACCAACTTTCATGTGAAGATCACTTATCACTCCTGATTCCCAGCCTAGGCCTATCTCGGAGGCTTGATCACTGTTGCAGCGAGGTGATTATTAATCCTGTCATTATCATTTCCACTGCCCTAACATTGAATATTGTATTACACTCCATTGTGTACTGCCATTCCAACTGCTGTGAAATAATATGTACTGATTTGTAAACCTAGTGATTTTTGTAATAAAATTGTTGGTGGTATACCATTGGTTGGTTAAATTTGCCCACAGAATTCGGACTTTAAACATGGCCACACTGGCAGACATATTTGTCTATTTTCTAAAACCATTCCTTACCTGGGAAGCTCAAACTAAAATTGCACGACTTTTCCAGGATTCCAAGACTTGGGGGAACCATGATACTTGTGTTATCATGGTTACTTACCTTAAGGGTGACAGCAGATAAAGATAGGAGTGGTGACTGCGATGGATCTTCATGCTGCTCAACTCCAGGGTTTTGGAGCTCTGTCAGAAATACACACAGCTTTAGACACTTGAATAGTGAACTGGGTTCAACAGCACATTAGTCATGTCAATGTCATATCAGCTCAAACACAGCTTTTGTCTGGAAGATCCACTTACATGCAATCTGTTGCTGATGTTGATTGTTGTTAAACATGCTTAAACCAGTAAATAATCCAGTTTGGAACAGACAATCCAATGATTGACTTTATGAGCATCGATCTAGGCAATTGGGATACTATGACATGCATTAGCCAAGTCAGCCAACCTGACCACCTAATCCCTTTGTCGCCTTTTTTAGGACAAGTATGGTTGCCTTTCACGGCAAGCATGGGTTGCTGAAGACCTATTCCGCGCCAGATCTTCATGTTCAAAATTATTTCACTTGTGCATGTGGAATTGCATGCACTGGTCCGAATTCAATAGTGCTGGCAAGCATGGGTTCCTGAAGACCTATTCTAACGCGGATCATCACGAGCCAAAATGTGATCTGGATAACTTCAGACCCATGAAGATCTGGGGTAGAATAGGTCTTCAGCAACCCATGCTTGCCATAAAAGGCGACAATGTTTGTCGTAAGAGGCCACTAACGGGATCGGGTGGTCAGGCGCGCTGACTTGGTTGATGCATGTCATCTCTCCCAATTACGTGGATCGATGCTCATGATATCAATCACTGGATTGTCTGGTCCAGACTCGATTATTTACAGACCGCCGTCATATATCTGGAATATTGCTGAGTGCAGCCTTAAACAAACAAACAAACAAACTTCACAATGGCATTCCCAGTTTTAATAACTACCAGTTGGGACTAAGGCGAAATAAACCCTGTGATATGAAAGTCCGCCTCACTATGGGATAAGCAGCGTTTGGAATAACTGCTCCATGGTTACTTCTAATGATGAGGAAAACTAAAAGTGATGCAGATCTTGGACATTTACCAAGGGTTTGTCGGATCTTGATGGTGACAGAGGTATCGAGTCGGTATTCAAGATCAGGGCCCTGTTTCACAAAGCTATCTTAGCGCTATTGTGATCGTAACTCCCATACTTTAACCATGGCTTTCGACAGTTGTAGCGTTAAGATCGTTTTGTTCAACGGACCCTTGATCTTAATGAGATTGGCGTGACCCTTGCAATTATAACCCGATGACGTTCAAAGCACTTTGTTGACAACTTACCCTTGCTATGGTCTCCTTACTGACTTGACTCATTATGATCATCTTGTTGCTGAAACAATTAGTCAAAATTAATAGATGACCAAATGTACACAGAATAGATAATAAATTTAAATAACATTTTCCCTAAGTATTATCATACATAATCCTTTTCTTTAACTTCTGATCAAACAGTAATATTGCCACAACCTACTTCCTGAAAGTCTACCTACCCTTTCATATGTTCTTTAGGAATAATGTTGGCGTTGGTTGCAATCTTGCCGCGTTTGCTCCGTGCAGGGACGTCTCCCTTGCCCTCCTCGCCTGGGAACAAACAGACTGTGTTACGCTGACGTTAGACCAGTGGTCATATATTCGTTCAACAGATAAATAATTTTCATTGCTCTTGATTGGTCTGGAGGTTGTCACATGACAACCAATGGTACACTTCACTACCACCCTGAATTAGGACAACCATTTGTCAACTACAAGCATAAGTTGCTATACCCAAGGACAGCCATGGAGAACTTGCCTCTACACCTAGCTATGTTGTATGTTGTATTTACCTGCAAATGGCCGGGACAGCCATGGAAAACTTGTCTCTATACCAAGCTATGTTGTATGTTGTATTTACCTGCAAATGGCCAGGACAGCTATGGAAAACTTGTCTCTACACCTAGCTATGTTGTATGTTGTATTTACCTGCAAATGGCCGGGACAGCCATGGAGAACTTGTCTCTATACCAAGCTATGTTGTATGTTGTATTTACCTGCAAATGGCCAGGACAGCCATGGAAAACTTGTCTCTACACCTAGCTATGTTGTATGTTGTATTTACCTGCAAATGGCCGGGACAGCTATGGAAAACTTGTCTCTACACCTAGCTATGTTGTATGTTGTATTTACCTGCAAATGGCCAGGACAGCTATGGAAAACTTGTCTCTACACCTAGCTATGTTGTATGTTGTATTTACCTGCAAATGGCCGGGACAGCCATGGAGAACTTGTCTCTATACCAAGCTATGTTGTATGTTGTATTTACCTGCAAATGGCCAGGACAGCCATGGAAAACTTGTCTCTACACCTAGCTATGTTGTATGTTGTATTTACCTGCAAATGGCCGGGACAGCCATGGAGAACTTGTCTCTATACCAAGCTATGTTGTATGTTGTATTTACCTGCAAATGGCCAGGACAGCCATGGAAAACTTGTCTCTACACCTAGCTATGTTGTATGTTGTATTTACCTGCAAATGGCCAGGACAGCTATGGAAAACTTGTCTCTACACCTAGCTATGTTGTATGTTGTATTTACCTGCAAATGGCCGGGACAGCCATGGAGAACTTGTCTCTATACCAAGCTATGTTGTATGTTGTATTTACCTGCAAATGGCCAGGACAGCCATGGAAAACTTGTCTCTACACCTAGCTATGTTGTATGTTGTATTTACCTGCAAATGGCCGGGACAGCCATGGAGAACTTGTCTTTACACCTAGCTATGTTGTATGTTGTATTTACCTGCAAATGGCCAGGACAGCCTCATCCCTGTGGCGATACAGGCTGAGATTCCGAATGGGTTCTGGACAAGACAGTCCTTGATCCAGGTCTGGAAGAGACGCACCGTGAAGGCTCGGGTCATCTGAAACAGTTATTTATCATCCAAAACTGGCTCCCACAGGACATATTGCCTGGATGGGATCTCCTAGGAGATATTGCTGCAATGAAAATTGCAGCATAATGTTTTGCAGACCATTGTGACGTCATCAGTTACCATGCCATCAACAATCTCCCAGCTACTGAAGCTGATTAGCTGTACTTTTGACACTCTAGACACTAGTTATAACTGAAAGAGTTAAAAATTATATCTGAGTGTCTTTTGATATCAAATATATTAACACTCGTTAAAAAAGCTTAAAACATCTTGATGAGCCTTTGACATTCAAACTTCTATCGACTCAAGCCGGGTGATATTGCTGATTGTAAGACACTTTTAGAAAGTGTATTACACAAATCAAACCATCAAATGTTTAAGTGTAGAATTGCCTTAGAGTATCCACTGCTTGACTGGACTGTCTGTAGCGATGCTATGTCCTTCAGTGGAGAGAGAGTTCTGGAACCACAAACACATATGTTCTACCAAACAATCATAATCATATTAATTTGATACATAGGGATGAAACAATCCCGTTATTGATAGTGTGAGTAATGACCAACGTCAGTTGGATACGCTGACATGCACCAATCAAGTCACAGAGCCTGATAACCTGATCCACTTGGTCATCTATTACAATCGGCACAGGTTGCTGGGGACCTACTGAGTAGTATAGACGATGGGGACTCTTACCACAACCCACCTTCCTGAGGCAAGAGAGTTAACTGACTTAAAAAGTCCAGTTTCCACCCTTGCCGAACTAGGCAGGAATTACTGGGCTCGATTGTTGCACCATCAGTGGCTATTACCAATTATGTCCCTTCTAAGCCTCTCCTATGGACCAATCAGATTCCACCTCTCGCATCACTTGCGTTTGTTTCAAACAAAATGGTGGCGCTGAGTCAGGACGATCTGATCGATAATCAAGATCTATATTGTGATAAAACGGGTCTTACATCGCGAAATGCATCAAATCACGTGAGCACCTTGATTAAAAACATGAAAAGATTTGGAAATTATCTGCTGACAACGAGTTAGCGGTGCACATGCTTTGCAAATCCTGCAATCGACTGAAATCTGCATGACAGTTTACGAACCGAATTTCGATTTCGGTGCACGATTTTGATTGGACTATGCATAGACTCATTAGTCCAGCCAAAATGTAACTCCATAATACCAGCCTAGTTCGGCAAGGGTGGAAACTGGACTTTTATAGTCAGTTAACTCACTTGTCTCGGGAAGATGACCACAACCCACCCTGAACCAGTTCCAGCTCCTGAAATTGCTTCCATTGAGGTCAGCAAAATGTAGCAAAATGTGGCAAAATGTAGCAAAATTCTAAGCAGTTGCTACATTCTGCTGACCTCTATGGAAGCAATTTCAGGAGCTGGAACTGGTCCAGGGTGGGTTGCGGCAGAACCCCATCGTCTACGTATACTACCTCCTGTAACCCGGAATCCCTACATGGGTATATCATAAGAAATGTATAAGTGTCTGTACAGATGTGATGGAGTCACTCACTTGAACTTGTCCATGGAGCCTGCTAGCAGGAAGCCTAGAGCATCGACAGCCCGCTCCGTCATACACGGCCCACCAGCCAGACCCTGCTGGCCTGATCCCTCTGTAGAGAGAAACAATGTTATACACAGCCAAGTAACCAGACCCTGCTGGCCTGATCCCTCTGTAGGGAGAAACAATGTTATACACGGCCAAGTAACCAGACCCTGCTGGCCTGATCCCTCTGTAGGGAGAATCAATGTTATACACGGCCCACTAGCCAGACCCTGCTGGCCTGATCCCTCTGTAGAGAGAAACAATGTTATACACAGCCAAGTAACCAGACCCTGCTGGCCTGATCCCTCTGTAGGGAGAATCAATGTTATACACGGCCCACTAGCCAGACCCTGCTGGCCTGATCCCTCTGTAGGGAGAAACAATGTTATACACAGCCGAGTAACCAGACCCTGCTGGCCTGATCCCTCTGTAGGGAGAATCAATGTTATACACGGCCCACTAGCCAGACCCTGCTGGCCTGATCCCTCTGTAGAGAGAAACAATGTTATACACAGCCAAGTAACCAGACCCTGCTGGCCTGATCCCTCTGTAGGGAGAAACAATGTTATACACGGCCAAGTAACCAGACCCTGCTGGCCTGATCCCTCTGTAGGGAGAATCAATGTTATACACGGCCCACTAGCCAGACCCTGCTGGCCTGATCCCTCTGTAGAGAGAAACAATGTTATACACAGCCAAGTAACCAGACCCTGCTGGCCTGATCCCTCTGTAGGGAGAATCAATGTTATACACGGCCAAGTAACCAGACCCTGCTGGCCTGATCCCTCTGTAGGGAGAATCAATGTTATACACGGCCAAGTAACCAGACCCTGCTGGCCTCATCCCTCTGTAGGGAGAATCAATGTTATACACGGCCCACTAGCCAGACCCTGCTGGCCTGATCCCTCTGTAGGGAGAAACAATGTTATACACAGCCAAGTAACCAGACCCTGCTGGCCTGATCCCTCTGTAGGGAGAATCAATGTTATACACGGCCCACTAGCCAGACCCTGCTGGCCTGATCCCTCTGTAGGGAGAAACAATGTTATACACAGCCCACTAGATAGACCCTGCTGGCCTGATCCCTCTGTAGGGAGAAACAATGTTATACACAGCCCACTAGATAGACCCTGCTGGCCTGATCCCTCTGTAGGGAGAAACAATGTTATACACAGCCAAGTAACCAGACCCTGCTGGCCTGATCCCTCTGTAGGGAGAAACAATGTTATACACGGCCCACTAGCCAGACCCTGCTGGCCTGATCCCTCTGTAGGGAGAAACAATGTTATACACAGCCAAGTAACCAGACCCTGCTGGCCTGATCCCTCTGTAGGGAGAAACAATGTTATACACGGCCAAGTAACCAGACCCTGCTGGCCTGATCCCTCTGTAGGGAGAATCAATGTTATACACGGCCCACTAGCCAGACCCTGCTGGCCTGATCCCTCTGTAGGGAGAAACAATGTTATACACAGCCAAGTAACCAGACCCTGCTGGCCTGATCCCTCTGTAGGGAGAAACAATGTTATACACAGCCAAGTAACCAGACCCTGCTGGCCTGATCCCTCTGTAGGGAGAAACAATGTTATACACGGCCAAGTAACCAGACCCTGCTGGCCTGATCCCTCTGTAGGGAGAAACAATGTTATACACAGCCAAGTAACCAGACCCTGCTGGCCTGATCCCTCTGTAGGGAGAAACAATGTTATACACGGCCAAGTAACCAGACCCTGCTGGCCTGATCCCTCTGTAGGGAGAATCAATGTTATACACGGCCCACTAGCCAGACCCTGCTGGCCTGATCCCTCTGTAGGGAGAAACAATGTTATACACAGCCAAGTAACCAGACCCTGCTGGCCTGATCCCTCTGTAGGGAGAAACAATGTTATACACGGCCAAGTAACCAGACCCTGCTGGCCTGATCCCTCTGTAGGGAGAATCAATGTTATACACGGCCCACTAGCCAGACCCTGCTGGCCTGATCCCTCTGTAGGGAGAAACAATGTTATACACAGCCAAGTAACCAGACCCTGCTGGCCTGATCCCTCTGTAGGGAGAAACAATGTTATACACGGCCCCCTAGATAGACCCTGCTGGCCTGATCCCTCTGTAGGGAGAAACAATGTTATACACAGCCCACTAGATAGACCCTGCTGGCCTGATCCCTCTGTAGGGAGAAACAATGTTATACACGGCCCACTAGCCAGACCCTGCTGGCCTGATCCCTCTGTAGGGAGAAACAATGTTATACACAGCCAAGTAACCAGACCCTGCTGGCCTGATCCCTCTGTAGGGAGAAACAATGTTATACACGGCCAAGTAACCAGACCCTGCTGGCCTGATCCCTCTGTAGGGAGAATCAATGTTATACACGGCCCACTAGCCAGACCCTGCTGGCCTGATCCCTCTGTAGGGAGAAACAATGTTATACACAGCCAAGTAACCAGACCCTGCTGGCCTGATCCCTCTGTAGGGAGAAACAATGTTATACACAGCCAAGTAACCAGACCCTGCTGGCCTGATCCCTCTGTAGGGAGAAACAATGTTATACACAGCCAAGTAACCAGACCCTGCTGGCCTGATCCCTCTGTAGGGAGAAACAATGTTATACACAGCCAAGTAACCAGACCCTGCTGGCCTGATCCCTCTGTAGGGAGAAACAATGTTATACACAGCCAAGTAACCAGACCCTGCTGGCCTGATCCCTCTGTAGGGAGAAACAATGTTATACACGGCCAAGTAACCAGACCCTGCTGGCCTGATCCCTCTGTAGGGAGAATCAATGTTATACACGGCCCACTAGCCAGACCCTGCTGGCCTGATCCCTCTGTAGGGAGAAACAATGTTATACACAGCCAAGTAACCAGACCCTGCTGGCCTGATCCCTCTGTAGGGAGAAACAATGTTATACACGGCCAAGTAACCAGACCCTGCTGGCCTGATCCCTCTGTAGGGAGAATCAATGTTATACACGGCCCACTAGCCAGACCCTGCTGGCCTGATCCCTCTGTAGGGAGAAACAATGTTATACACAGCCAAGTAACCAGACCCTGCTGGCCTGATCCCTCTGTAGGGAGAAACAATGTTATACACGGCCAAGTAACCAGACCCTGCTGGCCTGATCCCTCTGTAGGGAGAAACAATGTTATACACAGCCAAGTAACCAGACCCTGCTGGCCTGATCCCTCTGTAGGGAGAAACAATGTTATACACGGCCCACCAGCGAGTGAGTGAGTGAGTGAGTGAGTGAGGTTTTATCAATATTCCAGTCATATCACGACAGGGGATACCAGAAATGGGCTTCACACATTGTATCCATTTCTATTAGTCCATATGATACCTTAACTATTGGGGAGTTTGGTAAGGACTACAGGACCAGTGCTGTTGAAGTGATTGTCCATGGCAGCAAATGAACAGCTATATATTAGAAGTCACCCAAAACAGTTTCAACCAGAAATATATTTACAAAAGGTTCACTCATTGGTTTAAAAATACCCAATAGATGGACCCAAGGGGATAAAATAATTGAAAACTTTACAATAAATTGCCTATTTATATATTCTTCCTATCACACCGTGCACTTCTCTTTCTTCTTTCGATCCTAAGTGGAAACGTATCTGGCCTGCGTGACCTAGATGTTGGGAGGTGACCATGGTGATGGGAGGTACGTACGGGTGAATTAATTTTAGAACCTGGAAACCTTTGTTTCAGAGACATTTCCCCTTAGGATCAAAATCGAAAGAGAAATGTATTGTGTGAGATAGGATAAGTTTAAAAATAATCAATTACCCAAAGAAACTAGCAATACCCAAAATGAATCATAACATGTGATTAAATACTCAAGGGCTCAAACATTTATCTGGAGTCCTGTTATATTCAATATAGTCTTGGGTAGGGAGGGGTTTGGATTTCACTGTACAAATTTGTCATCACTTTGTTCAGTCTTCTAAACGATCCACTTACCATGTTCTGTGAGTAGCTCGAGAATCTCTGGGAGATGTGACAGGACAAACACCATGTGGCCGTGGTCGTCTAGAGACTGGAAAACAGCACAAAATCCCTGACTCAAATGTAAATGTTGTTTTACTCCCGAGCAGACAAACCAGTGATCGATAGAATGAGCACCAACCAGGTAGCTGGTGACGGACGACCCACAATCAGCACGTCACATCTAACCACAAGGAAGATATAAAATGAGATCATAAAATATTAATTACTTCATGGGATTTATTGAAAATTTAACATAGCAGACAAGGACTCCTTGATTTCACTGTCAGTTTTGAACACTTGAGTTTGAAATATCCTACCTTTGTTCCTCTTGGAGTGGATCGGCCTTCAAACTCAGAAGAGGAAGTCATTGACGGCCATCTTGCATTTGTCAAGGATTATTTCACACTCATATTGCTGTGATTTATCCAGTTCAAAGACAATATTCAGTCCCAAGTCTGAAGATAATATCAGTCAATTTCCCGAAATGGAATTAAACATTTCCCAAGTCTTGACCAATGTTAAATCTTTGTACAGGTGGCTTCTATACAGGCCCAATAAAGAGAACGAGTCACTATATCATTGCATTCAATGTCAAAATAACCCTGAATATAAGAAGTAAAAACTTTTTCAAAAATCCAATTTTGCACAAAATTGCTAAAGGCACAAAATTTGAAATCCTAGATAAATCCAGAGTCTGCTCTTATTCATTTCAGGGACTATTAAATACACTGCAAGATCTATTCCCATATTTAATACTCATACATAAGATAGCTATGCGATAAATTGGAAAGAACAAACGAAGAACGCAGCATGGTTTTCTTTATGAAAAAATATTTTCTTTTTTGTTTGTTGTTTATCTCAGCAATATTCCAGCTATATGACAGTGGTCTGTACATAATCGAGTCTGGATCAGACAATCCAGTGTTTGACATCATGAGCATCGATCCACGCAATTTGGATACGATGACATGCATCAACCAAGTCAGCGAGTCTGACCACCCAATCCTGTTAGTTGTCTCTTACAACAAGCATAGTTGCCTCTTATGGCAAACATGGGTTGCTGAAGACCTATAGTGTACCCGGATCTTCACGGGGCAGAAAAAACATGGTCCTATCATGAACATGCGCTCGCAACTTGATGACGTTGTAAATTGGACATTATTTTTTAGATGGAAGTGTCCAATAATTTGTCCCCCATAGTTGTAGCTGGCCAAGGCAAATGAACACTACAGCAGAACTAACGCATGCCAAAGTGGGAGAGATGTGACAATCTGTATTGGGGAGAAAAGGTACAGAAAATGGGCGTGTAAATTGTGAAAATCTTTGGGAAATACCAAACTTACTCCCCCTGTTCATAAAATGGACATATCCGACATTGCAAAAGTCAGCCTGTATTCTGGGAGTCATCATTATTTAAATACGGGTAAATATTTTGAAAGCTTGTACATATTATCAATATCCTTAAGAAGCTGTACATGTTGACATTTCATAAAAGAAATAAACGACTCGTGGTCGTTGTTTATTGTCAATAAAACACTGCAGGGAGAATGGTTTATTCTCCCATCAGTGTTTTATTGCACGATAAACAACGACCACGAGTCGTTTATTTCTTTTATGAAATGTTCTTAAAAAAAGTTCTAAACAACAGATTCCCAGCTGGACAATCACATCAGTTACACGTTGCCAGACCAATGTCAGACGAGTAATTAAGTAACATTTTTTCTCCATAGTCAAGTGTTATTCAGCAGAGTTCATTACAAAGTACATGTAATATGTTCCAGCCTGGATCCAGCAAACCAGTGGGTGATAGCATGAAGGTGGGTCTGTGTAAGGATACTCGTCTCCTGCGACCAGCGACGCCCTCAGTGACACCCGGAACAGCTGCTGGATGTACAAGAACAACACAAACTTGTACGTGTCCACACACAGCCGGCTCTGCAGGTCATCTGCAAACACATTACCTGTTTAGTTCCAAAGAAGATGAAAATAATGAAAAAACTACTGATAAAAGTCTTGAAGGAACATGGGGCAAGATCAGCGGCGGCGCATTTTTAGAAAAAAAAAATCACACTAGTGGCTTCATGTTTGCCCCCACTCCCTCCGCCACCCCCAAACTGCTGAAACTGACCAACTGATACAGTCAGCACCTCACACGACAATCAACTATTCATAACATTTATTTATTTATTTTACAATCAGTCGCAAACAGAATCTTAGCAAAAAATGTAAATTATATGTATTTTTTGTTGATTTCATCAAGGCATTGTTCTGGTGAACAGAACAAAGTTATGGTTAGTTTTTGCTTCAAAAATGAATAAAGCTCCAACTAATTGCTCGACTGTATCAGCAGCACTTATTTATCAAGTTTGGACCAGATAATCCAGTGATTGACATAATGAGCAACAATCAACACTATCTCGGAATTTCATTCCATCAACGAAGTCACTGAACATGACCACCCGATCCATAATTTCACCTTGGACAACCAACATAGGCTGCTTGGGTGTGAGTGAGTGAGTATTGTTTTATGCCGCTTCAGCACTATGTCAGCAATATCATGGCAGGGGACACCAGAGTGAGTGAGTGAGTTTTTAACAGTATTCCAGTTATATCAGCTTAATGTGGGAGGAAAGCCCGAAGTGTTGCAGGTCTTAGACGTTTACCACTTCGGTGAAACTCACCAGCACGGGTATGGTGCTGACAAACCTAGAAACATAATCGGGACGAACCGGGATTCAAACCCACAATCATAGGTTTCTGGAGTGCCCAAGGGATGCAACTCTGCACAGCGAATCGCGGCGCCTTAGACGACTGGGCCACCTGTGCCCCAGGGGACACCAGAAATCGGCTTCACACATTGTACCCATGTGGGAATCGAACCCAGGCCTTCAGGGTGGATAGTCAACTATTAGGCTACCCCACTGAACCAGGATGGTTGGGACCACCTCTAACCTGGAATCCCCACGGGGAGACGATCAGTTCCTACCTCTGGTTGACCGCGACTCTGCTGTGAGGTACGTCTCGTCCCACTCCAGACGTTCCACGGGGTACTTGGTATCACACAACAGATGGCACAGGGAGAAGTACCTGTGCATTAACAGCAGGAGCAGAAGCTCATATTTACTGATAAACAGTGTTTGAAAATATGCATGGAGAGGGAGAGATAATATTCATGATAATAATGGGCATCAAATACTCAATAACACCTGATCATTTTCCCATTCTTCCATTCAACCTCTTAACCCTGAGTGTACTTTGGGCAACAAATTGAAATAAAGGTTGTATGGGTTCTTCATCCAATCAGATGTCAGCTTTGTAAAATGATTGGGCTTCATTTCTTTTGGGTGCCGATGCCCTGGCACTCAGAAAAGACATATCCACAGCAAACCACTGGCACTGCCTTATTTATCTACATTCAGAATTTGTAGTTTTAGTTCGTTTTCAAGATACAGAAATCATATATGCTGGTCTGAATGCTTTACTCACTGGTACCAAGAATAAGGGAGCCTCAACACTGATTGGCTGATTAGAAAGTTCACCCAACGAGACCCCCTATGGAGGCGCCCTTAGATCTACATGCAGAGCAGTAACGTTTCGGGGTAAAAGATCGGATATTATGAGGCTGACATTCCACTCACATCCAGGCCAGGTCTTCTGAGAGATGGAGCTTGTTGCAGGCAATGTGCTTCCATACGGAGTAGCTGGCAATGGAAGAAAACATTCAGTTTAGTAATATCTACTTTATTGTATATTAATACTTAACCTGCATTACATATTGCATTCTCATCTGTTTCATGAAAACCTGACTGGAAATAACATCCCTTGAAAGAACTGTTCCAAACAAGTTTTAAACTACTTGCCCAAACACAAAATTAATTTTATAGTTTTGATTTATAACAATACAAAATACAACTATAACCTGCATACTAATCTCATTGAATAAATACCTTTTTCGTTAGTATTGTTTTTTAATGTCTTTTCTTTGTACAAGATACAAGAAATTCTTTTAAATTCTGCTCTTGCAACAAATCTGATTCATTTCATTTTGCACACATTGAGAGTCAACAATAGGTCATGTGATATCGATCATAATGTTGTACACGGATCAATCTCATTAAAATCAGATCCTAGTTCTCGCTACCGCCAAACAAAGATCTGAGGACATCCCATTAGGGGTCACGTCAGAACAACCTTTCATCCGACCAATCAAAATGTCGCTTACCAGATCACGAAAGTGACAGTCGGAATGTGTTTTCGAATCATGCAACCTCGAAAACGTTAACACGGGGTATTCCGAACGACAGTTACAGCCCGTACGACTGATTCCGTCAAAATCATCATCTATCTCTCGCTTCTGTGGGATAAACATTTGAACGGAAGTGGCGTTGCACAGAACTAGGGAAGCACTGCCATACAATCTCAACCATATATTAGACATTCCGGAATGTTGGTTTGTTCAGTTTTCAAAATTTTAATCGAGAACTGTGTCAACATATTTTTCAAGCGTAGTCTGAAATGGAAGTCGCCTGGTTGAAACGAGTGATGTAAAGCTCGAGGAAGCTGCTTTCTAATTGGCTGATGTCGACTTCTCGTTAGTCATTTCAGTTCTCGGTCAAAGTTCGCGAAAGGTCGTTTTGACATGACCCGTAATGGAATGTCCTCAGTTCTTTGTTTAGCGGCAGTGAGAACTTAGATCTGATTATAATGAGATTGTAAGCAGACTTAATGAAAGTTACAATTACTTAAATATTCCTTTAAATTGATCAACACACAGCAAAGAAATCTCTAATCTGTATGAGTGTACCTGATGTTTGGAAATCCTGGAGACCCCTTGTTCTTTGCATAGATCACAATCTTCTTGATGTTCTGTCAAAAATATGACAAGAAAACCCATATGATATATCATGTTTATAATTAAATCATTATATGGATTAAGACAAGAACATTCATTCAAGGTTCATCTGTCAAACATTTACCTGCAAGTTATGCGATGTCGTCAAAAGGTTCCTGAGCTATGATATTCTCCATAGCAACCAGATAGCAACAGATTTGTTAACTATGGTTAACATCAATTAATAGCACCATGTTGATTGTTTGTTGTTTCAGGTAAATTAAGAATGTCATGACAGTTGACAACTATATTTATCATCCAAAACTGGCTCCCACAGGAGATATCGCTAGGTTGAGATCAAGCGATATCTATACTGTAGATATCGCTGCAATGAAATTGCATCACAATGCTTTGCAGACCATTGTGACGTCATTGGTTACCATGACGTCACAATCAAATAACATCACTAATGGCTCTGCTACTGAAGTTGTTAGCAGTACTTTTTACACTGAAGACACTGCTTATTACTGTCTACAAACTGAAAAAGTTGGAAGAATGATGTTGAATAATAAATAAAATCTCACCCTCATGAGTTTTCCCACTTTTATCAACTCGTGTTGATATATTTGATATCAAAAGATACTCGGGTGAGATTCTCTATATATATAACCAATAATTTATACAAACCAATATCTTTTTATTTTGGCCTACTTCAAAATTTCTAACTAAATCTAAGTTACTTTAAAAGAGAACTGCTCACTTCATACATCAATGATAATTGCGACTAATAAATTGGCTAATTCTCTTTGAAAATAAAAGTTAATCAGCAAATTTTGGATGGAAGAAAACACAATAAAGGATAGGTATTTTTCATCTCATTGTAACAGCATCTTTTGAGTTTAGAATGCTACATTCAGGGTTTAACATATCTCATGAAAATTACTAACAGATATCTCAAGATCTCAAGTTACTTATTAATAAATATAGGTGTTATAATTTTACTTATATACATCTTCCTGAGGCAAGGGAGTTAACTGATTATAAAAGTCCAGTATCCACCCTTGCTGAACTAGGCCGGAATTATGGAGTCATATTTTGGCTGGACTAACGAGTCTATGCATAGTCCAATCAAAATTGTGTATTGAAACCTGACATTCGGTTCGGAAGCTGCAATTGCAAAACATGTCCTGCCAATTTGGCGTCAACAGATATTTTCCAAATCTTTTCATGTTTTTAATCAAGGTGATCACATGATTTGATGCACTTCATGAAGTAAAGCCGTTAACATTACAAAATAGATTTTGATTATCGATCAGATCGTCTTGATTGGGGACCGCCATTTTGTTTGAAGCAAATGCAAGTGATATGAGAGGTGGAATCGGACTGGTCAATAGGAGGGACACAGAAGGGACATAAACCGTAATAACCACTGGTGGAACTACGATTGAGCCCAAGAATTCCTGGACTTTTATAGTCAGTTAATTCCCTTGCCTTGGAAGATGACTTATAGTTATCAATGTTGATTGGGGTGAGGTGATGCAGTCTAAATAACATTCATACTTCTGAGTGAAAAAGTGTAATATCTTTCACTTGATGTCTAGTGACATGAAGGGTGTATGGCCCAGTTATCTAAGGCTGCAACTTGCTGTGCAGGATTGCTTCCCTTGGGTGCACCAGGAACCTATGATGATGGAATTTTGATTTTCCCTGATTCATAGTATGTTCCTATATTATGTTTGTTTGCACCATTTTCACTTAACTAATAGATGTATAAGATCTGCATCACTTCAGGTTTTCCTCTCAATCAAGTGAGTGAATGAGTATGGTTTTACGCCGCTTTTAGCAGTATTCCAGCAATATCATGGCGGGGGACACCAGAAATTGGCTTCACACATTGTACCCATGTCGGGAATCGAACCCGGGTCTTCGGCATGACGAGCGAACGCTTTAACCACTAGACTGCCCCTTCTCAATCAAGATGACACGCAGAGGCATAACTGAACACTGTTCAAATTGACGGACTGTTGGGCTTGGAGTGTGTCCTGTACTATTCTGATCTTACACTGTGAGTGAGTTTGGGATGTGGTGCCACCGGAAGGGCACCATAGCTGAATGGCTCGGCCTTCACCCAGACCCGGATACTTCTTGTCAAAGACATTTTCTCCAACTGTCGTCATCTGTGAAATGTACATAAGATTTTATTGACAATTTGACAAAAGGATCACACATCATTTGTAACAACACAATATAATCACAATATCCCTATCAATGTGGGATAAATGGTGTGTTATGCCATAGTTAGTAATATATGGGGCATGGAAATCTTTATGAGGGGATTATTATCATTTGTCATATACCCATTACTGATATAAGGCATTTTGGATATGCAATAGAGCCATCAAAAAGATTGTCATATCATGGGAAATTAGAGCTACGTCACTTAGTCAGCTCTTCTGATTTTTCGACGACAATGTCTTGCAAACTAGGCGAAAATGTATTGCATTCATTTGCAAATACTTGCCAATATAATTTGATGTTATGATATATGATAAAAGGGTACGACCCCAACCCGGTATGGTGTGAAGACTGCCATATAATAGCGCTAAGTTTTACATTAGTGTTTTATGCAGCGCACAAATGTGCATCCAGTACGCACAAATGTTGAGATTTGACGCACAATGATACAGGTTATACCTACAGCGCACCAAGAGCAGTTATGGGTGTCTCTCATTTCATCCATCAATCATTACCAATGAATAAAGAATAAACGAAATCACAAGCTGCAGTGGAATGTAAGTTATCAAATCTTGACCAGATAAAACTTGTTGGCGCAGATCAAACATGCACTGATCGGTTCGATCCAGTGTTTTGTTGCAACTGCCCTTATCCCTCTTACCTGGCATCTACAATCATGATCACCTCGCCATTGACGAATAAAGAACGTGCGAACAATTTAAAGACAAAAAGATTTTCATAAATCGACAAAGTCTTTTGAAACAGTTTGTTTGTGGAATGTCAATTTTAGAGTTAGCGGCCTTTACGTATTCACTTCCTGTGCGTACCTAACAACACTAACCATTGGTTTATACGCGATCAACTCCATGACCAATGAAAACTCCGAACTTAGCTGGCGTGGCAAGTGCACGCGTATTGTCATTATCTATAAAAGCGGACTTCTGATTGGGCCACCTCATCGCCAAGACTAGCATGGCTGACATGAACATGTGTGCCGGTGTTTTCCTAATATTTTTGACCGTTTTGCACCTTGTGCAAAGCGACATTGTTAAAGGTTCGGTACCGCTTAATTCAGGAGTGTTTGACAAAGTAAGTTGTTAATTTTGTCCAACTTTGCTTTGTGCATTTTTGCAATATTCCGTTAGTTTATGGGCTGGGCGCAAAAATATTCTGTAATCATGATAATCACACCCGAAATGCCGTCTGCTGTAGCTCTTTTATGAAGAGTATTTGCTTCTATTTCGGCAATATATGCACGGGTAACACCTACATTATGTGTGTGGCCACTTCCTCATGTAGCGGTGTTTTCGAAGATGAAAAATGGTATTTATACTCGACATGGGCCTGGTTACTTCAAATGTTGGTAGGCTAAATGGACAATTCAACAAAGGCCTGGAGAGTGTCTGGGTAAAATAATGGTGCACTGCCTCCGAACAGTTACCAGTATTAAGATTCATGGAGATGTTGGTTTCACATAATAAAAGTTGAAATAAATACATTACAAGTTCCTGCTACATTTAAAAGAAATTTAAATATTAAGTTTTATTCTTTGGAGCTAGGCCTGGGACAATCCGATACTCATGATACCGTGTTCAAGGTCCGATCCTTATCACAATGCTTGCATGTGCTCTTATCTGTGGTGCATAAGCCATCTCCTTCATACACAGGATGGCCAAAAACCTGGCACACTAACGATTTACAGTTGGCAGTATGGCACAATAGATGAACATATTTAAGTTTTCACAACTCATTTTCGCTAGTGATTAATGTTTGGTGTAACATTTATTAAAGAATACTTTTAAGGTAAGGATTGATATTTTTATTAAGTGTGCGATTGTGATCTATACTTTTATTGAGAAGTTTAAGAATCGTCATCCACCGATGCATCATCCCACTACTATTTGGAGCACCTTTAGAATACAACACCACAACATGTTGTGAGGATGATCTCGGCCGTAGATCACCTTTCACTAATTAGACAAATGACCTGCTTTTGTGAACATCTGTTGAACTCGCGACCCTCGGGTTGTTGCAATGTTAGCCCAGCAGCTAACCATGCTAACTGACTATCTGAATTGATTTAGTCATGCCTAAGACATTACAGAAATGAACGGAAAGGGTCGAATAGGTGACTGACACTTATGAAGGTTACAGGTTGTCATGGTGTTTCATGACTTTAGTCTACATAAAAAGTTCATTTATTTGTCCATGTCAGTGTTTGAGCTCACATCCTTTACAATACATGAGAAGGGGGTACAACCACCTTAGACCCCCTGGAACAATTCTTACCCATCGTTTTCATGACAAAACAGCCTATAAACTAGTTTCAGAATTAAAACAAATAATTTATGTACAACACTTTTAGCAAATGTTTATACCTCCAGCACAGATCTTAACCATTGTTTTCATAACAAAACCAGAGCCTATAAATTATACTATAAACTTTTTAAACTATTGCAACAGATGTCCCATGGTTGATAGTGTTCCAACCGTGATGTACAGCATCAATAATTATATACCTAATAAATTGCATTCCTGTATATAATAATAAAAGTTACAGAATCAGTAAAATAACATGTGTTAACGGTTAGTTCTCATGTTTAGTGCCATGAATGAAGCTGAAGCCAATATATACAATGTACTAAGTTCCAGAAGAAACGGATGTCTCATGTTGCAACTTCCGATCTCAATATCCAATAAATTTTTGATTGCACAACAAAAGACACATTGATAGAATAACGTGTCTTGAAATGTTCAGCTCATCCTTTTTTGCATTCAGTTCTGAAGATATAGACTCGTCATATCCAAGAGACAGACTAGCCAGTGCATTTCTTTCTGAGCCCATACTGAGAACATCATGCATGCTTTTAATGTTAAAGGTACACATAGAAGCGTTATGTGGCAACAAATGTCCGTCAGTTCTTTGATTGACACAGAATGCACCATGCCCGGATTGGGCATAAACAATTGTCTTCAAGTATTGGGCATGATCAAAGTTGGTATGACTCTCACTTGTGTAAATGCCACCTATCAGCACTGCTTCCTGTATCGGCACACGATACATCAGCACTATAGACAAAGTACTCACGGAAATGAAAAAAACCTTCTTTTTCTTTATCTCAGATTTTAAATAAATGCAGTTAATATACAAAATATATAAATATTCAAACAACTCAATTAGTACTAATTGGGCCTTGGCACAAATACAGCGTATCAAAGGTTTTTATGTCTTTTACACATAAAAGTGTGTAAAAATATGAACAAAACAGACTATTGTGAAACTGAGCACAACCAGGTGTCAGTAGAACAAGGTGAATGTCCATGACCTATGACACCTTGACGACAGGTGAAAACAGGTGCTTGAAACCCACGTGCATGTGATTTGTTAGTGATTTGTGAGTGGCATTGTGGGATAGTGAATCGTCAAAATAGCAGAACGTAAGAGTAACATATTCCCTTCTCAAACAACTTACATGTCATTATTATTATGTACATAAACATAGCTGTTATTTTTATTTCTTGTTTTGATAACCTTTTTCCAGGCTAATTTGCATAATGCCTATAGCCTGTTTCTGCCATGTCAATTTGGACTTAGTTTAATTTTTGAATGTTGAAAGTGCCTACAAATTACCTTCTGTAAAGTACATTTTGTAATGAACACTGAGATAAAACTAGCAAATCCAAACTAGTACTTTTCCAGTTGTTTTGTTATTTCGTATTTACATCTACGTAATGCTTTGTGTCGATTATTAAATCCAGCAAAACAGGTTTTATTCATTTCCATGAGTACTTTACTACCTGTATCGGCACACGATACATCAGCACTACATCTCAGATGCCGACTTCCATACATGGGTTTGCGTTACTTTTGGAATTGAGTATTAATTGAAAATAAAAGTGCTTTCATTAACTAGCGCTTGCTATTAATTGCCAGCCACAAGCTATATTTCGTCAACAAATATATATTGAAAACTCAACATCGCTGGGCTTACACACTGACAGTGCGCGTACAGATGATGGATCATTGAGAGGTATTTATGCACACTCAATGACCCCAGCAACTCTGTTGACCAACGTCACAGGGCATTGTTTTGCCGGTGTGTTCTGGAACCAAAATTCACAAATTACGTCATAGGGTATTCTGACATGTTTGTAAACTTTGTGGTGCTGAATTCTTTTGTGAATGGCCCATTCTTTTATGAATGTGCCAAAGTGACATTACTGGACTAGAAACATCTAGCCCTTCCCTGTGATTTTTCACCATGAGCCCCAGCAAAATATATCCAGATACTTGTACATGTATAAAATGGTCTGGTCAAACATACACTGAAGCTTTATCTGTATTCCGACATATAAAATTCCGAAGGACTGCGTGCATAGTCAGAGATAAATGTGTACATTAGTGACTGGTAGTGTAACCATGGTGTTATAGTGAATTTTTTAGATTTATTATGGACCATAGGTCCGGGTAGTCCTGTCGATACGCAGGTACTACTCAGTACCCACCCGAACTGAGTACCCGAGTTACCCGTCTCAGTTCTAGACTGAGGTAATTTCATACCCAGTAAGTGTCACCAATCAGGTTAGCCTCATGGACTGACTTCAGATGGGTTAAAGAACGTCATGAGTTTCATTATTACAACTCACCAATATCATTCTGGGCTTTTTATTTTACATATTTCTGTTGTTTACAGCAATATAGTTTTTAAAGTGACATTTCCTTTCTTAGATCATCAGCAAACATCAAGTTGTTCTGGTCAAGTTTGATGAAACCTATCCTTATGGTGAAAAGCAAGATGAATTCAAGAAGGTTGCCGAAGCAAGTTTTTCCCAGCCGGACCTCCTTATTGCAGAGGTTCAAATTGCAGGTACGTCATTGATTTCACACAGTGTAGGAATGACTGCTTGGTCCCTGGTCAGTACCCACCTATCTATAGTCGAGGGTGTCATTGTACAAAGCGATCTTTGTGCTAAGGTGATCGTAACTCCTATACATTAACATAGATCAGTGCTCCCATTTACCAGTAATTACCAGATTTCTACCGGTGAAATAGGGCTTGGACTGGTAATTCATGTGACTGTCAGTCCCTGTGGATCGGCAAATAGTCCCTTATAAATCTTTGTTGTTGAACAAAATATCGGCGATATTCATGTAAGTATATTATTCGAATGAAGCATTTTCGACTCATGTTTATCAGATTATGGTGACAAAGATAACGCTGACTTGGGCGAGAGATTTGGCATAAAGAAGGAGGATCATCCTGTCTACAAGATGTTTGTGAAAGGGAAAGACAAGCCACTCACATTCCTGGGAAAAGATAAGAAAGCAGATGATGTAAAAAAATTCATCATGAAGGAGTCTGGTAGGTATTAAACAGGTTTTACCTTCAACACAATATACCTGGTTCGCACACACCTTGAAAAGGCCTGGAATTTAGATGTTTGTCTGAAAAAGTCTCAATGCAAAATTAACCTGAAAAGGCCAGGGATTTTTACACAATACCTTGAAAAGGCCCGGAATTTAGACACAAGGCAATTCATCAGCTACGAGATGGACAGCTAGGACAGGAGCCTAAACTCAAGCATGCCATTCACATCAAATGGCTTTTTCCACATAGCCATTCAAATCACCTCGGCTGTTTCAGACTTTGCCAGAATGACGAGAATGTTGAACATGGCAACAATTAGAAATATGTTTTTCATTATTAGGGCCTTAAATCTGTGTGCAGGAGACTTGAAAAGTCCTTAAAATGGCCCCAGAATTGGAGACGGATAATTTTTTGAGGATTTTCAAAGCATTGTAGTAAAGCGAGACTGTGCTTATCCTGCAGAGAAGTCAGTATGAATACATCGTTTTTGGACAGTAGGTGTTCCACATGCAGCAGAAAAATCAGTGTGAACACATCGTTTTAGGACAGTAGGCGTTCCACATGCACCAGAAAAATCCATGCTGATGTCTTTATATAAGTACAGGTTTATCCCGATGCAAGAAATCTGTGTATTTGACATAACTGACACACACTTCTTTTTCTCTCGCGACAAAAAGGTTTGGGAGGCATCGTAAAATAGTAAACAATGAGCCTAATATGTTGAATGTTGAATTTCAGGTTTGTGGCTGGGTCTCCCCTCCTGCCTGGAGGAGTTTGATCAGCTGGTGAAGGAGTTCCACGCCGCTAGTGGTGACGCCAAGAAGAAGGTGATCGAGAAGTCCGAGGCCTCCGCCAAGGCAATCTCAAATGAAAGCGAGAAAACCTCAGCTGAAATTTATGTCAAAACAATGAAAAAGGTTTTAGAAAAAGGGGAAGGGTTTATTGACTCAGAAATAGAACGGGTTGAAAAATTAAAGGACGGAAAAGTCAGTGACAAAAAGAAAGAACAGTTGGGAAACCGCCTAAATATTCTGACATCTTTCCAGCTGAGAATAAGGGATGAGCTTTAAGTTGGTGATTTGGGTTGAATTATGCATCCAGCTTTCAATCTAATGCAAATGTTTTATTTTGTCATTTACTCTTAAGCGTTTTAACAAACATATCCTTTCCTTGATTTCAATCTTTTTCTAACTTGAGATTTGTGCACCAGTCTTACAACTGCTGAAAGGTTATCACTTGAATACAACAGAACGTTCCACTTCACTGCTTGCACTACAGGTGCTGAAAAGAAAACACGCTGACTTTGATTCTGTGAGTGATCTTTGGCCCATGGTTGCCTAATGCTGGTACAGGGAGGTAGAGCTGGTGTTGGTTGTCAAATGCCCATCTGTTTGTGGTAATGACTAATTAGCGACACTTAATTTGAGAGAATCTTACCAGTCAGGATGGCTAATGCTTTGGTGATTCTGCTTCCGATTGTTATTTTGATAGCAACATGTGTTTTCCCATATGTTGTGAAATTCATGTTTTTTACAATTTATGGAATCCTTGGGATCTCATGTTTGTAATTTCTATTTAGAAGTGAAACATAAATATGTCCCTAGACTTACACTGTTTTGTGTAATACTGGTTTGAAATATCCAGCTACGACAGGGTACTGTGTGACACGGATCGTTACAACAGGGTTCGATTTCAGGAATGTGATTTAACTTGCGTGTTGACATGAAAAATAAGTTACACCAGACATTACCAGGTTGCACCCTGATCCATAAATTGATCAAATTTGAAACATAGGTGCATAAACTAGTCTGAATATGTACAATCTCGGATCTCTCAATGACCGTGTCATGAATTACAAACAACACGGATTAGTGACGTAATAAGGTAAATAAAGCTAAGGAGATATTGAGTGTTCAAAGATTGATGTGTGGACAAGGATTAGTTGGACACAATTTCTTTTTTACATGCATTTGGTACATGTAGACATGAACATTAGGTTGCGTTTTTCGATAATAGGTTGCACTGACGTTTTATATAGTTAAATCGAGCCCTGTTATATGCATATAAGCATATCGATGTACGTGTGTTGCTAGCTGAGCTTACCAAAGACCATGAAGGAAGTCGCCATATATTTTCCCATTGTTTTGTCTATCACTGTGAGTAAGGATGTTTTGGAACTAGTTGTCATGAGGTCATTTATTTGCATCGGATTACACTTGTTGCTGAATTTATCAACATGAATCTTTGATAGGCCCCTCTGTTGTTTGAACTTCTTCATGTGCAGCAGAATAAGTGGCGATGGTCACAGTTTTGGTCATGACAAATAGGTATCCATGTTTGATACTGCCTCTTCATCATTTGTGTAGAATAGTAATATTTTACAAAATTGTTTTTTCACACTGGAAATGCAGGAGTGGTAATTTCCATTTGCTTACAATATTTGGTCAGTATTGTGCATTTATTTTATCTTCTTGTGGTTACATTTTACTATTGTTATTGTCATCATAATAAGTTATTGTTGTGGTAATGTACCAGTAGTATAAAATTAAGGATTTACATTGCATACTCTTGTATTAGACTCATCTAGAACGAGACAGTGTAGGACCCAGCTGTTGATCGCGTACCTGTATTGCTACCAAAACTTTGCGGGCAAAGACTGAAGAAGTTGAGTCAGCTCTCTTCATAGACAATGTGCTGTGATTGGTCTTTATTGTAAGGTTAATTGATTTGGGTTCATTCTGATTGAGGCACCTGAGGGTTTCATATTTGTAATACATGGGTATTGTAAATCCACTTATATTTTGTAAGTTTATGATTTATTTTATAGATTTCTTTTGAGATGGAACTGTGAGCACAACAATGGTGTCTGACAATTGTTCAATGCAAATGTTTTAAATTATTATCAGCAAGCAATGCTTTTGGTAAATATGGCCGGTGAGAATTAAGTACCTGATTATCAGTGGGTATCTGGTATCTTGATCACAATCAATATTGTCTCACCACCATTGTCAAGCTGAATCAAATCGCTTCCTACATAGGATACTTTTGTTACGACTTTTTACTGCCCAGCAGGGAATCTGTTAAACTAATATTATTGACTGAACTTTAGAGATTGTTTTAGTTTGAGGGCATGAATGATTGTTGTAAGATCGACCAATGAATGTTGTGTGTGGGATATGTCAAGTAATAAAAGAATTCCTAAACAAATATTGGTTTTCGTCTTTAAAAAGCTTGTGTGGTCATTGATCAGTGAAATTCAAAGGCATGGGTTTTGACTTTTAGACTTTCAGTGTCACTTCTCTCTCATCATTGGGGATGTCACGATACAACATTTGTGGCAATTTTTCCTAATTTTATATATTCCATAGGGCATAAACACTTAAGAAGGCTTAAACGTTCTGAATATCTGGACTCATATTTGAAATAACAATCAATAATGTATTTCAGATATATAAAAAAATGGTAACTAATATTTTCCAATTACATACAATACCAATTTCCCTTTTACGAAATACCTCAGATATGCATTCATAATTTGATTTCAGTGTACAGGAGGAAGATATGAATTGATACAAATAAGTTAGCACATCGCATGAGAATATCATCGGTGTATTTTTCAATTGTGACATCCCTATTAAATACCCAGGACCCACTCACCACCTGACAGCAATTCACTGTGCAGAGTTGCTTCCCTTATGCACACCAGATACCAATGATTGTGGGTTCGAAAATCCTAGTTCACCCTGATCATGTTTCTAGGTTACTCGACAACTAACTGGTGAAGATGTGAGACCTCCATCACTTCGGGCATTCCTCCCACATCAAGCTGACACTGATACAACTGGAACACAGTTTAAAGCAGCATAAACCCAACTCACTCACTCACCATCCCACAGGTGTTTTGAGTCGGTCCGTTTGTGGATGGCATGAATGTCTATTAATGCAAATAGTTCATACATTCAGTCCCACCCTTAGGTCGTTTTATTAATGCACATAGTCCATACAAGCAGTCCCACCTTTAAGGATGTTAATTAATGTAAAGAGTTCATACATTCAGTCCCACACTTTAGGGTGTTTTATTAATGTAAAGAGTTCATACATTCAGTCCCACACTTTAGGGTGTTTTATTAATGTAAAGAGTTCATACATTCAGTCCCACACTTTAGGGTGTTTTATTAATGTAGAGTTCATACATTCAGTCCCACACTTTAGGGTGTTTTATTAATGTAGAGTTCATACATTCAGTCCCACACTTTAGGGTGTTTTATTAATATAGAGTTCATACATTCAGTCCCACACTTTAGGGTGTTTTATTAATGTAGAGTTCATACATTCAGTCCCACACTTTAGGGTGTTTTATTAATGTAAAGAGTTCATACATTCAGTCCCACACTTTAGGGTGTTTTATTAATGTAAAGAGTTCATACATTCAGTCCCACACTTTAGGGTGTTTTATTAATGAAGAGTTCATACATTCAGTCCCACACTTTAGGGTGTTTTATTAATGTAGAGTTCATACATTCATTCCCACACTTTAGGGTGTTTTATTAATGTAGAGTTCATACATTCAGTCCCATACTTTAGGGTGTTTTATTAATGTAGAGTTCATACATTCAGTCCCACACTTTAGGGTGTTTTATTAATGTAGAGTTCATACATTCAGTCCCACACTTTAGGGTGTTTTATTAATGTAAAGAGTTCATACATTCAGTCCCACACTTTAGGGTGTTTTATTAATGAAGAGTTCATACATTCAGTCCCACACTTTAGGGTGTTTTATTAATGTAGAGTTCATACATTCAGTCCCACACTTTAGGGTGTTTTATTAATGAAGAGTTCATACATTCAGTCCCACACTTTAGGGTGTTTTATTAATGTAGAGTTCATACATTCAGTCCCACACTTTAGGGTGTTTTATTAATGTAGAGTTCATACATTCAGTCCCACACTTTAGGGTGTTTTATTAATGTAGAGTTCATACATTCAGTCCCACACTTAAGGGTGTTTTATTAATGTAACGAGTTCATACATTCAGTCCCACACTTTAGGGTGTTTTATTAATGTAGAGTTCATACTTTCAGTCCCACACTTTAGGGTGTTTTATTAATGTAGAGTTCATACATTCAGTCCCACACTTTAGGGTGTTTTATTAATATAGAGTTCATACATTCAGTCCCACACTTTAGGGTGTTTTATTAATGTAGAGTTCATACATTCAGTCCCACACTTTAGGGTGTTTTATTAATGTAGAGTTCATACATTCAGTCCCACACTTTAGGGTGTTTTATTAATGTAGAGTTCATACATTCAGTCCCACACTTTAGGGTGTTTTATTAATGTAATGTTCATACATTCAGTCCCACACTTTAGGGTGTTTTATTAATGTAAAGAGTTCATACATTCAGTCCCACACTTTAGGGTGTTTTATTAATGAAGAGTTCATACATTCAGTCCCACACTTTAGGGTGTTTTATTAATGTAGAGTTCATACATTCAGTCCCACACTTTAGGGTGTTTTATTAATGAAGAGTTCATACATTCAGTCCCACACTTTAGGGTGTTTTATTAATGTAGAGTTCATACATTCAGTCCCACACTTTAGGGTGTTTTATTAATGTAGAGTTCATACATTCAGTCCCACACTTTAGGGTGTTTTATTAATGTAGAGTTCATACATTCAGTCCCACACTTTAGGGTGTTTTATTAATGTAGAGTTCATACATTCAGTCCCACACTTTAGGGTGTTTTATTAATGTAGAGTTCATACATTCAGTCCCACACAAGATGCAGAAATAATTTTCACTCAAAACCCCAGATTCTTTTACTCCATAAATTGATCTTGGTTAAATTGTCTATACTGATATCGAAGACATAATAAACATACACTGAACATCTCAGCTGTTTTCTTAAGCTATACAGATCAGGCTTAGTCGTCACACAAATGAAGAAAACATACGGGAAAACTAGAAATTTGGTCAGTTGGGTTGGTGTCATGAAGAGTACAGTTGAACTGATGCAAGTGCTTGACAAGCAGAGACAACAATGTTCCACGCTATCAGGTACGTTGAATCACGGTCAGCCAGGCGAGGTGGCCTCATCCATTGGTAACACTATACATGTTCTTCACTCAACAACAGGGGCGGTCGGGTAGCCTAGTGGTTAAAGCGTTCGCTCGTCACGCCGAAGACCCGGGTTCGATTCCCGACATGGGTACAATGTGTGAAGCCCATTTCTGGTGTCCCCCGCCACGATATTGCTGGAATATTGCTAAAAGCGGCGTAAAACCAAACTCACTCACTCACTCTTCACTCAACAGATGTACTGCCCAGGTGATTCGACACCTGCCACATCCGGTGGGGGAACAGGGGACACTTATCTGAGGTATTCATCCCTCTCATTCGTGGCCCCTGGGGCGGTCAGGTAGCCTAGTGGTTAAAGCGTTAGCTCGTCACGCCGAAGACCCGGGTTCGATTCCCGACATGGGTACAATGTGTGAAGCCCATTGTTAGTGTCCCCTGCCGTGATATTGCTAAAAGCGGCGTAAAACCAAACTCACTCACTCATTCGTGGCCCCTATGGTATAAGCTGCTGCAACTTCCTGTGTACAAGACATCCTTCAGGCATGCCCAGATCTGATGAACGTTCAAATCCTAATGCGCCAAACAACTGGGGACAATTGGCAGGGAGGAATAATTGCAGCCTGGACCAAAAAAAACCTGATGACATTTTTTTAACAATCAATAGGTACATTAATGATGAGAAAGTGTGAATTACTATTTCCAGTTTTATTCCTCAATAATCATGTTATATCAACCATATCACACATTAACACCGGTACCCGTCACAGCATTTGCCAGTAATAAAGATTCTAATGATTATGGATAAACTGTACACAAGTATTTAAAACAATCCAGTAATATAAATACAACTCAATATCCAGCCATTCCACCAACCCTAAGATATATATATATTACCATACAGCTTCATTCAGTAGTAACTAATACTTGAAACTTGTTCCAGCTGAAAGTCATCCGTCACAAGACGTCTAACAATACTATAGTGTATTGTTACACGTCTTGTGACGGATGTTTGTTTGTTTGCGGTTTAATGCTGCACTCAGCAATATTCCAGCTATATGGCGGCGGTCTGTATATAATCGAGTAGTGACCAAGACAATCCAGGATAAGATGACATGCATCAACCATGTCCACGAACTTGACCACCAGATTCTATTTGTCGCCTCTTACAAGCATATTAGCCTTTTACGGCAAGCATAGGTTTTCTACCCTGGATCTTCATGGGTCGTAACAATACATTGCCCTGATCTCAAAACAACCTATCTCAATAGTAAGGGTGCAACACGATATATACCTCAATAAAATCTTGAAACAAAGTACATTTTGGCAAATTATGTTTGAGATCTTGCACTTCTCTGACTCAGAACAGACAATCTGTTTGTAAAACTCATGTTTGGCATTTTCAAGTGTACGTTTCATATCCATACCATGTTACGCATACTTCTGAAATACTGACGCAATGAATATGCACAATCATGTTTTCAAGCATTAGGCAAGATGTGTTTTTGTCCATCTCGAAACACATCGAATGATATTTAAACCCGAAAGATGACATTGGTGAGTGTGTATTGAGACCGGAGATAATTGAAGAACAACTTAATTTGATTTTTGTGGCCATTTTAAAAAAAATGACTAAAATCTTAATATTTCTTTTCAAAGTGTCACTATATAGATACTTGCATATCATATAACAAATACAACTTGACTTAAGAAGACAATGTCAAGCTTGTATCAAAGCAGTGGCTCAGTACGGCAAGAAGCGTAAAGGTCAAATCAGGGTCAAACTTAAAGCATCGCAACTAAACAAATCCCAAATTACAAATACCGTATTCGACGTAATAAGCACCCCGTTCAAATAAATCCCACGGCGATATTTGCTCATATATTGACAAGTAAACAATCATAATTAGCATTAGCATTGATAAATGTACACAAGACTTATTTATTCGCATATAATACGCACCCTTAATAATGGGCAATTAAATTCTGGAATAATATATCTGTCGTATATAAGTACCAGGCTGTCAGCATAAACCACAAAATTTATCTTTCAACTCTTGTTTTCACCAAAATAATATTCTAATAAGAGCCCCCTATTTCCAATTTTGAGAGCGCCCTGGGCGCTTATTGCGTCGAATGCGGTAACCAACAATTAAATCAATGCGTAGACTGTAACATACTTAAACAAAGACATAAACACAGCACACATGTGCCTAAGTTTCAAGTTCAAACATAATGTGTGAAGCCATTTCCTTCCTTCCTTCCTTGGCTTTATATTCAATACAATACAATATTTCTAACATTATCGTAAAACCATACCCACCCACCCACTCACTCACTGAGTTCAGGAAATCAATGACATACTTGTATAATTAAGAATTTGATTAATTTCTTGTTGGTTGTTTTAAGCTGTGATCAGTGATATTATGGCAGCCTGTATGTGATCATTTGGTTTGGTATGTTTGTTGTTTAAACTCAGCAATATTACAGCAATATGACGGCGGTCTGTAAATAATCGAGTCTGGACCATACAATCCAGTGATTGACATCATGAGCATCCATCCACGTAATTGGGATATGATGAAATGCATCAACCAAGTCAACGTGCCTGACCACCTGATCCCATTAGTCGCCTCTTACAACAAGCATCAATACTGAATCGGACAGATCAGTCACCTAATACTAATAACACTGTATTTAATCATTGCATTTAACTAACTAACGCTCCTCTTCCACTTCATAATTCCTAAGTAAGGATAGGATTTATGGATGAACAACTTCTTTATTACAATTAAGAGCGATGTTTTGATGTAGGTTCAACTTCTAAATGCCTATCAAAGAAGTTCATAATTCTTGTTTTCAGTGAACCTACAGGACACCTCTACAACGTCAAAACATTAGCTGTAACAATGTTAACAGGATATGTGGAATTCAAAATTTGGAATTGTTACTGATATGTGCAGAAGACTTAGTGCTGCATATCTTCCCCTGAGCAGTTCCCGATAAATCCCTGATAGCATCTGTGGTTTAATCTACAGCAAATCACGCTGACAGTCTAATTCGTGGTCTGCACACTGCAGTGGTGTGTAACACCCTGATAGCATCTGTGGTTTAATCTACAGCAAATCACGCTGACAGTCTAATTCGTGGTCTGCACACTGAAGTGGTGTGTAACATCAGTTTGTTCTCGTGTAACCATGGCAACCATTGCAAAATCAAGTGTTGCCCCGAATCTGCCTATACTCATCTTGGGAGGACTGGAGTCCCTTTCTTGATTGTCTTACTAGGGGCACACAACAAACCCTTTAGTAACATGAAGGTATCTTGACAATGACAATATGCTAATATATGGCAGTTGATGTGCCTTGACAAGGACAGCATGCCAATATTTGGCTGTTAATGTACCTCGACCATGCAACATGCTAATGTATGGCAGCTTATGTACCTCGACAATGATAATATGCCAATATATATGATAGTGAATGTACCTGGGGAATGCATCATGATTTGTTGTGAAAACATCATTCTTACAAAATATCCCTCATAAACCATTGTAACACTATCACCAATATATATGTGGTTATGACAAAACAAAGCCCAATTTGATCAGAACGGGCTCTGGACCCTGTTCCACACTGCGATGTTAGCATTACGTCTACTGGTAGCCTACGACCATCTTAGAGCTTTGTGGAATGGGGCTGTGGTTCTTCGGAAAGTTCCCTTCGACACATAATGGTACTTTCACCAGGCTCATGTCTCTTGTAGAGAACTTGGAACCAGTCTGCATCATAAAATAACATATAACATAACCTTCTTGCAACTCGACAGATTATCGGCCCTCCATGATTTAATGTCCTGCGCAAGGCTTGGGGCTTGGACCAGTGCTTCACACTCAGGACAGCAAATTGTATTTCCTCACTGCCTGTAAAGTTTATTCTCTTGACATTTCATAGAAACAGGAGCAGGAAGAATATTTTAATTGTTCACGTTTCCTTGTCGGCCACATTTTAGCTCCTGTTCTTTAAATAACTAGCTGTGGAGCTGGAAAGTCAATACACTTTCGGTACAAAGCCATAGATTTCCTCATCTGAAAACATCATTCAATATTCCACTACAACCATAAAAGGAGTTGCTGTCTAATATTCTCCACAGTTCTGTTGAGACAAAATGATTCTGTTAAAACATCATAGTTAAACAAACGTGAACCTAAAGATTGTGTCGGACAGAAACAGTTGAAGTTTGTATTGATAAAGCCTCTAGAAGTTGTGCAGCTCTGGAACATCGTAGTAGAGGTCGATGGAGTTGGGGTTGGCGAGGGCACCACGCTGAGGGACGTCCAGGCCGGAGATGGCCCGTTTCACTGCAATCTCAACCTTCTTGCCAGAGATGGTGTACTGAAGGGACAAACAGAAACATCAACACAACATTGCAGTGAAGGAAAATTATTTTCTGTTTCTGATAATCTTGATTTGTTTGAAAACATCTCTACATTGCAATTCCTGTCAACTTTGAAATTTGAACCTTGAGCAAGCAGTACCCTGGTAAGGGGTGAGCAAATAGAGTCAAAAGCTTTTGTTAGTTTGTTTGTTTGTTTGTGGGTGGCAGGGGGGGCGGGCAAGCGAGTGCTCTCATGGTCATAAAATGTACTAACCCATGAAAATCCGGTTTGGAATAGGCTTTCAGCAACCTATGCTTGCTGCAAAAGGCGATTATGCTTGTCATAAGAGGCGACTAACAGGATTGGGTTGTCAGACTCGCTGACTTGGCTGATGCATGTCATCATGTCAATCACTAAATTGTCTGGTCCATTGTCATTGTTTACAGACCACCGTCACATAGCTGGAATATTGCTGAGTGCGGCGTCAAACAACAAACAAACATACAATGTACTGACCCAATCCTCATTTTAGTCTCTCATGACAAGCATGGAATCCCGAAAAGAATATAAGGAAGGATTACCGAAAAAGTATTCTGCCCTGGAATCTCCAAAGAATATAAGCAAAGAGTACTGGGAATCTGTACTGCCCTGGAAGAAACCATGAGGTGTACCTCCCCTGAATATTAGGACTTAAAAACATAAATAATTTTATTTTTTTTAAAACAGTGCAGGCGAAATAAATACTTACGGGAATGTCGTCGATGGGCAGAATCATGGAGGGCACGTGCCTAGCAGAGAGATACATCCTAATGGAGGTTTTGATGCTGCCCACAACCTCCTTGTTGAACTCGCTGCCCGGCGCCATCTTGAGGAACAGAACAACTCTCTCGTCTGTCATGTCCCGACTACGCTGGGCGACGCACACACTGTCCTGAATCTCCTTGAAGGCCTCCACTGGCAGAAGAAAACAGAAAATACCTTTCCAATAATGTACCATCCCTCATCGACCAAGTCAACGAGCCTGACACCTGATCCCGTTAGTCGCTTCTCGTAAGATGCATGTCATCGTATCCCAATTGCGTGGATCGATGCTCATGATGTCAATCACTGGATTGTCTGGTCCAGACTCAATTATTTACAGACTGCCGTCATTTAGCTGGAATATTGCTGAGTGCGGCATTAAACGACAAACAAACTAAACCAAACCAAAAGTATCCCTCATCCTAAAATAACATGGATCAAGGGCAGTAAATCTTGAAAAAAATAATTTGAGCCATTTATTTTCAAACTCAGACTTGATAATTATCTCTTAGATAAGCATGCAAACTTTTATTCATGTAACTTCAGTAGTTTCTGAAAAAAGTCGTTCCCATTTCACGCAGTATGCACTAAGTTGAAAAGCATGGAGCAGGGGCCATAAAAATTAATTTAAGACACCTATTTTTAACTTAATTGAGATAATGACCAGTAAGACTAGTGTGCAAAATTTAATTTCTCTAACTGAAATAGTTGGATTGGATAATAATGTACCATCCCTGTTGATCAACCCGTTGGGGTATGAAGCCACACAATCACACACTGTGACCATCTGATCTCCATAAGCTCCAACAACACGTTTGATAAGGATGTGTGTTGTTTAATGCCGCACCTAGCAATAGTCTAGCTTTTGACAACAGACTGTAAATAATCGAGTCTGAACAATCCAGAAGAACTCGGGAACAACAGATGTGATGCGATGGCGATAATAAGCAGTCTGTGGTCAAACAAATTGAGGCCACTTGCCCAAATTTGGCTCTCAGCGTTATTTTCAGTCGATTTTTGTGTTATTGTATGGACTAACTTTTCTGACCTTAACTAGACTGAACAGAATGTTACAAGTCTTGGACTGAGAGCTTGTGGCTAAAGTTGCAGACTGCATAAGGCTTACCAATGTTGTATATTTCTGCACTGCCGAATCTCACACCGTTTGGATTTAGTGTTCCATCACTGCAATGTACACAATTTCAACAATTAAATATCCAACTCAAATAATTGGAAATGTCATAAATGGAAGGAGACATGGATAAAATTAAAGTGAGAGAGTTTGGTTGGATTGAAGATATTGATCACTAATTCAGTTTCATTCCCGGCATAATAAAAGATAGGGCGAGTATATTTTCACACCACTTTTAGCAATATTCCAGCAATATCACAGCAGGGGACACCAGAAATGGGCTTCACACATTAATAAAAGAGGAAAGAGATACAGGTCTTATCTTCTAACCACTTTGGTTAAACCCATTAACGTGTCATGGTGCCTTCAAACCCAGAAACATGCCTATTTCTGATATACCCATAACTCTACACAGAGAAGTGTGGCACCTTAAACAACTGGAACACCCACTTTCCACGCATGGCTATTGGGGATGACGAAACAAGGATCATGATCCGGGGAATGAGGTATTCAAACCATGATCGAATAGGCTTCTCCTCCTATATCCCTCACACCAACCAGCCCATAGTTCACACATATACCTCTTATAGCTCACACACCTACCTTCTCCCTAACATCACCACTCCTCCAGTGTGAGAGTTGATAGAACAGAAGTCCCCATGAGCCCACACACCTACAAGGAGAAACATATTGAGATCAACAGATATACTTCCAGATAAATGGAACAGATAAAAACAATAAACCCAACTACATGTACATGTAAGTATGTAAGTACTGGTAGACAAGCACGATCAAATAACTCTTCAGCTCATCCTCTCTGTTTTCCAAACAGACATCCTGTCTCGTGTCGCCATGCTGTCATTCTAACACATGTGCTTTCCTGACGTAACTCAGTGTGTTAAAAAATAAAACTTCTGTTTTAGGCTTCTCAGGCACCGTCCGCATCATCATAAATTCTGCCTCACGTTTTGTTTTATTTCCATTTTCAAAAGAAATATTAAAAATCCTAATAATAACAATGCGATCCAATATAGCTTGAAGTTACTTCTCGTGTTATGGTCATGGCAGCAATAGGAGTACACAACTGTTATTTGGTTACATACTAGTATGAACAGGCCAAAATAACCATTAAAAAAAACACCACCCGCCTGCACTATATTTTCAAAAGTCATTGCCTGAGAACCAATTTTTTTAAGCTTAATTAACAACCACAAATGTGTTGGAGACAAACCGAGGATCAAAATAACGGATCGAGACATGAGGCATTTCCATTTTCTACTAGCCAGTTTTTCCAAACCGCTTCATGGACGATAGGAATTATATATATCTTAACTCACCTGGAAACTTGTCAAAGTATGCTTTCTTGTATTTGAGGTTGTCTGTGTCATTCCAGAAGTACACCGGCATAGAAGGGAACGGAGTGAGACAGACCAGCTCTCCACTGTTGTCATACACCTGTTTACCTGGAGGAGAACAGATTCGTACACATTAACACTTAATGAACAGACCAGCTCTCCACTGTCGTTATACACCTGTTTACCTGGAGGAGAACAGATTCGTACACATTAACGCTTAACGAACAGACAAGCTCACCACTGTTGTCATACACCTGTTTACCTGGAGGAAAAGAACAGATTCGTACACATTAACACTTAACGAACAGACCAGCTCGCCACTGTCGTTATATGCCTGTCTACCTGGAGGACAAGAACAGGTTCGTACACATTAACACTTAACGAACAGACCAGCCCTCCACTGTTGTCATACACCTGTTTACCTGGAGGAGAACAGATTCGTACACATTAACGCTTAACGAACAGACCAGCCCTCCACTGTTGTCATACACCTGTTTACCTGGAGGAAAAGAACAGATTCGTACACATTAACACTTAACGAACAGACCAGCCCTCCACTGTTGTCATACACCTGTTAAACTGGAGGAAAAGAACAGATTTGTACACATTAACGCTTAACGAACAGACCAGCCCTCCACTGTTGTCATACACCTGTTTACCTGGAGGAAAAGAACAGATTCGTACACATTAACACTTAACGAACAGACCAGCCCTCCACTGTTGTCATACACCTGTTTACCGGAGGAAAAGAACAGATTCATACACATTAACACTTAACGAACAGACCAGCCCTCCACTGTTGTCATACACCTGTTAAACTGGAGGAAAAGAACAGATTTGTACACATTAACGCTTAACGAACAGACCAGCCCTCCACTGTTGTCATACACCTGTTTACCTGGAGGAAAAGAACAGATTCGTACACATTAAAGCTTTACGAACAGACCAGCCCTCCACTGTTGTCATACACCTGTTTACCTGGAGGAAAAGAACAGATTCGTACACATTAACGCTTAACGAACAGACCAGATCTCCACTGTCGTTATACACCTGTTTACCTGGAGGAGAACAGATTCGTACACATTAACGCTTAACGAACAGACAAGCTCACCACTGTTGTCATACACCTGTTTACCTGGAGGAAAAGAACAGATTCGTACACATTAACACTTAACGAACAGACCAGCTCGCCACTGTCGTTATATGCCTGTCTACCTGGAGGACAAGAACAGGTTCGTACACATTAACACTTAACGAACAGACCAGCCCTCCACTGTTGTCATACACCTGTTTACCTGGAGGAGAACAGATTCGTACACATTAACGCTTAACGAACAGACCAGCCCTCCACTGTTGTCATACACCTGTTTACCTGGAGGAAAAGAACAGATTCGTACACATTAACACTTAACGAACAGACCAGCCCTCCACTGTTGTCATACACCTGTTAAACTGGAGGAAAAGAACAGATTTGTACACATTAACGCTTAACGAACAGACCAGCCCTCCACTGTTGTCATACACCTGTTTACCTGGAGGAAAAGAACAGATTCGTACACATTAACACTTAACGAACAGACCAGCCCTCCACTGTTGTCATACACCTGTTTACCGGAGGAAAAGAACAGATTCATACACATTAACACTTAACGAACAGACCAGCCCTCCACTGTTGTCATACACCTGTTAAACTGGAGGAAAAGAACAGATTTGTACACATTAACGCTTAACGAACAGACCAGCCCTCCACTGTTGTCATACACCTGTTTACCTGGAGGAAAAGAACAGATTCGTACACATTAAAGCTTTACGAACAGACCAGCCCCCCACTGTTGTCATACACCTGTTTACTTGGAGGAAAAGAACAGATTCGTACACATTAACACTTAACGAACAGACCAGATCTCCACTGTCGTTATACGCCTGTTTACCTGGAGGAGAACAGATTCGTACACATTAATACTTAAGGAAGAGACCAGCTCTCCCCTGTCGTTATACACCTGTTTACCTGGAGGAAATAAACAGTTTTGTACACATCAACTCTTAACGAACAGACCAGATCTCCACTGGCGTTATACACCTGTTTACCTGGAGGAAATAAACAGTTTTGTACACATCAACTCTTAACGAACAGACCAGATCTCCACTGTCGTTATACACCTGTTTACCTGGAGGAGAACAGATTCGTACACATTAACGCTTAACGAACAGACAAGCTCACCACTGTTGTCATACACCTGTTTACCTGGAGGACAAGAACAGGTTCGTACACATTAACACTTAACGAACAGACCAGCCCTCCACTGTTGTCATACACCTGTTTACCTGGAGGAAAAGAACAGATTCGTACACATTAACGCTTAACGAACAGACCAGCCCTCCACTGTTGTCATACACCTGTTTACCTGGAGGAAAAGAACAGATTCGTACACATTAACACTTAACGAACAGACCAGCCCTCCACTGTTGTCATACACCTGTTAAACTGGAGGAAAAGAACAGATTCGTACATATTAACGCTTAACGAACAGACCAGCCCTCCACTGTTGTCATACACCTGTTTACCTGGAGGAAAAGAACAGATTCGTACACATTAAAGCTTTACGAACAGACCAGCCCTCCACTGTTGTCATACACCTGTTTACCTTGAGGAAAAGAACAGATTCGTACACATTAACGCTTAACGAAAAGACCAGATCTCCATTGTCGTTATACGCCTGTTTACCTGGAGGAGAACAGATTCGTACACATTAATACTTAAGGAAGAGACCAGCTCTCCCCTGTCGTTATACACCTGTTTACCTGGAGGAAATAAACAGTTTTGTACACATCAACTCTTAACGAACAGACCAGATCTCCACTGTCGTTATACGCCTGTTTACCTGGAGGAAATAAACAGTTTTGTACACATCAACTCTTAACGAACAGACCAGATCTCCACTGTCGTTATACGCCTGTTTACCTGGAGGACAAGAACAGGTTCATACACATTAACACTTAATGAACAGACCAGCTCGCCACTGTCGTTATATGCCTGTCTACCTGGAGGACAAGAACAGGTTCGTACACATTAACACTTAACGAACAGACCAGCTCGCCACTGTCATTATATGCCTGTTTACCTGGATGACAAGAACAGGGTTGTACACATTAACACTTAACGAACAGACCAGATCTCCACTGTCGTTATATGCCTGTCTACCTGGAGGACAAGAACAGGTTTGTACACATTAACACTTAACGAACAGACCAGATCTCCACTGTCGTTATATGCCTGTCTACCTGGAGGAAAAGTACAGATTCGTACACATTAACACTTAACGAACAGACCAGATCTCCACTGTCGTTATACGCCTGTTTACCTTGAGGAAATGAACAGGTTTGTACACATTAACACTTAACGAACAGACCAGATCTCCACTGTCGTTATACGCCTGTTTACCTGGAGGAAATGAACAGGTTTGTACACATTAACACTTAACAAACAGACCAATCCTCCACTGTCGTTATACACCTGTTTACCTGGAGGAGAACAGATTCGTACACATTAACACTTTACGAACAGACCAGCTCTCCCCTGTCGTTATACGTCTGTTTACCTGGAGGAGAACAGATTCGTACACATCAATGCTTAACGAACAGACCAGCCCTCCACTGTCAATATACACCTGTTTACCTGGAGGAGAACAGATTTGTACACATTAACACTTAAGGAACAGACCAGCTCTCCACTGTCGTTATATGCCTGTTTACCTGGACGAAAAGAACAGGTTCGTAAACATTACCACATAACGAACAGATCAGACCTCCACTGTCGTTATACACCTGTTTACCTGGAGGAGAACAGATTCGTACACATCAACACTTAAGGAACAGACCAGCTCTCCACTGTCATTACACACTTCTTGTTCTGATAGGATCGTCACTAGAGGTGTAACGATACGGCGATACAATATTGTATCCCGATGCACAGCCCACGATACGATGCATCGATTTGGAAAGCATGTATCGCGATACATACGATATTTTCATAACACAGTTTTACCTACCGTATTTTCTTGAGTATAGTGCACACTTTTTTTCCAAAAGCACAGCTGTGTAGAAGGGGTTGCGCATTATACACGAATTAATGAGTTTTGATGTTTTTCCCCCATGGAAAGACATTACCGTGAGCACGAAACACCGGAAATACCATGTCAACAAATCCATACTGAAATTCGCAAATTATTCATGTAATTACACTGTCTGGCTATAAAAAAAAGTGTTCTTTGAATATCTGGACTCATGTTTGTAACTTATTTCATTAATTTTATTCAAAATTCCTTTTAATATTGTTTTAATTAATTTCGGTGAAATCGTGTGTGAAGCGATCGGAAGATCGCACAACTCACCGTTATTAACAGCAACCATGGTCAGATTACCGCTATTGACGCCTTGAAAGGAATTTTAGTTGACAGAGAATGGATACATATATCATAAATGCCATACTTTGATTCGTTAAAAGTCAGATTTGTTTTTGTTTGACGATTCTATGTCAACACGTAATTCTCGCGAACACGCGATCACGTGCACGGGAGCCTTGACGGTGACTGGTCAGACTGGTTCCATGTAAATAATAATACCCGACAATAGTGATCAGCTGCTTCGCTTAGGGTTATTATTATTTAAAATATGTTTAGTAAAAGCTGCATCGAAATTAACAATATACTGGAATATATTATTCCTGATAAAAAAATAGTTTCAGATACAACTTTTGTCGATCCTTGCATTAAAATACTGTAAAGTTATATCAATGGGTGTGTCTTGACCGAATCACCGGTCCATTCCAAGAAAACGTGTACATGTACAGCTGATTGCTGTGTCCGGCTTAGTTTACGAGAAAATACACAACGTATTCTTAATCCCTGGATATAAAACAATGCCTGGCTGAACAAAAAATACTATTTAAACGGTAAATCAACAGTCTGGTGATTTTTTATCTCAAATTTCGAATTTGTGCTGACGAAGTTTCTCATCACTCGTTCGTTTGCCGGACTTCGCTGAAGGGGTACGGTGTAATTTTTTTCTGCGCATAATATTCAAATTTCTTTTTTTTCCAAAATATTGAACCTGCTAGAGGGGCGTGCGCATTATACTCAAGAAAATACACGAAATACATGGGCGGATACAGCTTTTTTTAAAAGGGGGTGTGCATAATTAAGATCTATTTATTGTCTTTGGTGGTAATTTATACAGAAATAAAGATTTTTTTCGAAATAAAAAAAAGGGGGGGGGGATGCGCCCATGAAATACGTTTAACAGTTTCAAAGCGAGTTTGTTGTTTCAGTAAAACATACTGTATTGCTGACAATTTGCTATAACAGTAAATAAACACCTTATTATATCTTCTTTAACTGTACTTGTCACATCTTTTAGATAGCAGAAGGACATCAACTTGGCTTAGCTTGTACCAGTAAACACTGTATCTCGATACGTATCGTATCGCGACCCTCCCGTATCGTTACACCTCTAATCGTCACCAATACAAAGTTTGCTACAAGAATGTTATTTTTCAAAATAAAATCGGTAGCTGAAGCCCGAGACTAACCAACATTTATTTAGTCAAGTATGCTCAGCTGATGATAACCCATGTATTGACACTGAAACTACTGAAAATGAGGCCAATTTGGGGCAAGTATTTACCCAACATGTATGGGGACAGACATGGGGGTCATGAGATTTATTCTGCAGTGTTAGAATTTGGCACTAGTCTTATAGTCCCTGCCAAACTGCCCAATAGTTAACGTATCCTCAGGACTAGTAGAAATGTGCCCTTTTTAAGGGTTTTGCTATATGTTATCATTATAAGGACTAGTGGGCTTAAACTGTTAAATCCTATCGCTGTTCTGCCCAACATAGGCAAACATAGGGGACGGGATATATTTGCCCCAGAAACACCAGGAGCCCCAGGAGAAAATTCGGAGCCCAAGGGAAAGATCGGAGCCCCTTACCGTCTTCTGTCCAGCTGACCATGTTACACCCCAGCAGCAAGGACTGGATCTCTCCTCGATACACCGGCACTGTCCAGTTCTGCCCCATGAAGCAGGCAATGATGTCGGTACCACCTACAACAAAGGAGGAAATAGGGGATGTTTTCAAGTATGCCACAATATGTTCAGGTGTGGCCACTGGAACTTAAGTGTACCAACAGTGTGTGAGTGAGTTGGGTTTAACGCTGCTTTTAACAGTATTACAGTTATATAACGGCGTGTCAGCTTAATGTGGGAGGAAAGCCCGAAGTGATGCAGGTCTCAGACGTTTACAACTTCGGTGAAACCCCACGAGCACGGGTATGGTGCTAGAAACCTAGAACCATAATAGGGGCGAACAGGGATTCGAACCCACAATCATAGGTTTCTGGCGTGCCTAAGGGACGCAACTCTGCACAGCAAATCGCGGCGCCTTAGACGACTGGGCCACCCGTGCCCCCAAATGTACCAACAAGAAGACTACTTTTGTTCCACCTTCAAACTCGGTGAATGTCATTTCACCATGTTTATATGTTTGTTGTTTAATGCACCACTCAGCAATATTCCAGCTATATGGTGGCCAAAAGTAAATACCTGTGATCGACCCTGGACCAGACAATCCACTGACAATCTAACATGCCCAAGGGACACAGCTCTGCACAGTGAATTCCAATGCTTCAGATGCCACCCATGTCCCCCTTCTGACGAGAAGACCTTACCTGTGATGGAGTCCTCCATGTCCCCCTTCTGACGAGAAGGCCTTACCTGTGATGGAGCCCCCCAAGTCCCCCTTCTGACGAGAAGACCTCACCTGTGATGGAGCCCCCCATGCCCCCCTTCTGACGAGAAGACCTCACCTGTGATGGAGTCCTCCATGTCCCCCTTCTGACGAGAAGACCTTACCTGTGATGGAGCCCCCCAAGTCCCCCTTCTGACGAGAAGACCTCACCTGTGATGGAGCCCCCCATGCCCCCCTTCTGACGAGAAGACCTCACCTGTGATGGAGCCCCCCATGCCCCCTCTCTGATGAGAAGACCTCACCTGTGATGGAGCCCCCCATGTCCCCCTTCTGACGAGAAGACCTCACCTGTGATGGAGCCCCCCATGTCCCCCTTCTGACGAGAAGACCTCACCTGTGATGGAGCCCCCCATGCCCCCTCTCTGATGAGAAGACCTCACCTGTGATGGAGCCCCCAAGTCCCCCTTCTGACGAGAAGGCCTTACCTGTGATGGAGCCCCCCATGTCCCCTTTTTGACGAGGAGACCTCACCTGTGATGGAGCCCCCCATGTCCCCCTTCTGACGAGAAGACCTTACCTGTGATGGAGCCCCCGCCCATGTCCCCCTTCTGACGAGAAGACCTTACCTGTGATGGAGCCCCCCATGTCCCCCTTCTGACGAGAAGACCTCACCTGTGATGGAGCCCCCCATCTGACGAGAAGACCTTAACTGTGATGGAGCCCCCCATGCCCCCTTCTGACGAGAAGGCCTTACCTGTGATGGAGCCCCCCATCTGACGAGAAGACCTTACCTGTGATGGAGCCCCCATGTCCCCTTTCTGACGAGAAGACCTCACCTGTGATGGAGCCCCCCATGTCCCCCCTCTGACGAGAAGACCTTACCTGTGATGGAGCCCCCCATGTCCCCCTTCTGACGAGAAGGCCTTACCTGTGATGGAGCCCAGGAGCAGATCACTCTTGATGTCCCTGTATACATAATCATAAGATTGGGGCTTGAGAGGGGAACCTGTCGACAGGATCATCTTCAAGGATGTCAGCTTGTGGGTCTGACCTGGGTTACAAATAGTTACTTATTAATAAACAATGACAAGATTTTTATACTTTCTTACTATTTAGAATTCACAATCACTTACATGGAATGAGAAAGTGACTATGGTTTTAGCAATATTCCAGCAATATCATAGAACCTGGGGGTTAGGCTTGATGAGTGAACGCTTTAACCACTAGGCTATCCCCCACCCCTTGTTCGAAAATGAATAAATGTTGGAATAAATTTCAGGTTAAGATTCAATGAAATGATGGATTGAATGGATTTCTGCTGTTGTCGTCAGCGGCAGTTAATAATTGTGATAGACCTATGACTACATTTGTAGACACAATTTCCACACAAGGCAAAATATAGGACATGACCCCAGTCAATTGATAGTGTAGTCTCAGCTCCCTGTATGCAACCCAATACTATCCCAGTATTAGAAATTTGTTTTCTTTTGAAGACCAGTCCATAGGACTAGTGCAAACTTTATTTCACTTGACCAGTGTCCAACCCAGAATTGAAAATCAAGGGTGGACTTGTCCCCCCATCATGTAGACAATAGGAGGGACTTTGAAAAAGTAGGGGGGAAAATTGCTTTCTTCAAAAATGTCTCATTTTGTATTATGTACTGGAACATCATCATGTAAAAGTGTAACAGATCAGAATAAAGAACTGAAGTGAATAACAATGCTTTGTGCTTTTTTCTATTTTGATTAAAAAAGTCTGTAATTCTTTTGTTTTTTCGCGACATGGTCATTCACTATTCAAAAGATCGTCTGCTACGACAGTCGGCGATTCATATTGTGTGATTCCAGAAACGAAACTAAAACGAACTAAAATGCTCAAAAATATTTTCAGAACTATTCAAGATAGAATATTTATTGTTTTTAAACATCTTGTCAAAGGTTTTTGATTACTAAACAACAAAATACAACATAATTTTGATCAAAGTTCTGATACGTTTTCTACTTAAGTAAATCAAATTTAGTTTCCTATGCCAATCCTATCAATAATTTATTCAGCAACCCAAGGGACGTCACTCGTGGTCGAACTTCCGGTTGTTATCGATCGGTCCTCGACAGTTGTTTACAATGTTTGCTGTGAACTGTCTTTCTTCGTTAATTGATTAAAGGTTTAGTGAGTATTGAATCTAAAGGTAGGCATAAACAGCTGATAAAGTAAGTGACTGTACAAGAAATTACTGTGCGCGACAGATGGTGCTTTGATTTTTTTTATGAGGGGCGATTTGATTTTTTTTAGCGTGAATCGCGCAATCGTGCGGCCTGGGTTGGACAGTGCTTGTCCTCAAGAGTTTGTATGCAGCTAGTCTCCTGCTTGCACAAGACACAAATGTTACTATGTTAACATTTTCTGTCAGTTTTATTCAGTTCCAATATTGAAGCACAATTGAAGCATTGAGAACTGGTTCAGAATCATGACCCTCAAATGCTACTACCATCATTGGCTATTTACTTGTCCTCAATACAATTTAGTAGTCTCGGGCTAGCAGACTAGCATGAATTTCAAGGGCTGTTTTGCTGTGTCAGGCTAGAAGTGGGTCCTAGATACTGTTTTGCAGTGTCAGCCTTGATCCCAGTAGTCAGGTGCTGAAGACATACACTTACAATCTGAGCAAAAATGAGCACATGACCAAAATAACTAAAATATTTCACAAACAAGGGATGTAGTTTTATGGATATCAAACATCTGGTGAAAATACTAACACCGTTATCAAAGCAAGTAATGTACAGAAATGTGAAGTAGGGAGGTTATACACACGTGGATAATAATGTTTATACACGATAATGTTTACAGAACAGAAAATGTTAAAGTATAACGCCTGATTGATGTACATGAATAGGATTTACAAGGAATGCTGGGTAAACCAATACAGTGATGATATGGACCAGTTGATATAAGAAGAAAGGGATTTTGATGTGGATGGCTTCAATGAGATGCAATAATGAAGTTGAATATCCATAGAACAATATCCCTTGTTTATCATACCAACTTCTCACTGCCACTCAGAGAAATACCTCACAAGGTCAAATTATTTATATCACTTTATTTTCACAAAATCATAATCCCATAAAGACTAGTCTCCACTTGACAGTAAAATGGTTACCTGGTTTGACGTCCTTCTCCTCAAGCACAGCCAACCACTTAGCTCCAGTACCCAGAACAGTGATGCCGATCTGATCCACCAGGTCCCACAAAACGTTGGGGTGTGGCACCAGTGGCGAGCCGTCATACAGAACAATGGCTGCCCCAACAGCCAGGACAGACACCATCCAGTTCCACATCATCCAGCCAGCCTGCGGACAGTCACAGTAGGAGATAGTAGACCTGCAATACTGCAGCTGTGACCACGGGAGACAGTCACAGTAGGAGATAGTAGACCTGCAATACTGCAGCTGTGACCACGGGAGACGGTCACAGTAGGAGATATTAGACCTGCAATACTGCAGCTGTGACCACGGGAGACGGTCACAGTAGGAGATAGTAGACCTGCAATACTGCAGCTGTGACCACGGGAGACGGTCACAGTAGGAGATAGTAGACCTGCAATACTGCAGCAGTGACCACGGGAGACGGTCACAGTAGGAGATAGTAGACCTGCAATACTGCAGCAGTGACCACGGAAGACGGTCACAGACAGAGCTAGTTGGTGCAATACTGCAGCGGTGACAACGGGAGACGATCACAGACAGAGCTAGTTGCTGCAATACTGCAGCAGTGACCACGGGAGACGGTCACAGACAGAACTAGTTGGTGCAATACTGCAGCCGTGACCACGGGAGACGGTCACAGACAGAGCTAGTTGGTGCAATACTGCAGCCGTGACCACGGGAGACGGTCACAGACAGAGCTAGTTGGTGCAATACTGCAGCTGTGACCACGGGAGACGGTCACAGACAGAGCTAGTTGGTGCAATACTGCAGCTGTGACCACGGGAGACGGTCACAGACAGAGCTAGATGGTGCAATACTGCAGCTGTGACCACGGGAGACGGTCACAGACAGAGCTAGTTGGTGCAATACTGCAGCTGTGACCACGGGAGACGGTCACAGACAGAGCTAGTTGGTGCAATACTGCAGCAGTGACCACGGGAGACGATCACAGACCACGGGAGACGGTCACAGACAGAGCTAGTTGGTGCAATACTGCAGCTGTGACCACGGGAGACGGTCACAGACAGAGCTAGTTGGTGCAATACTGCAGCTGTGACCACGGGAGACGGTCACAGACCACGGGAGACGGTCACAGACAGAGCTAGTTGGTGCAATACTGCAGCAGTGACCACGGGAGACGATCACAGACCACGGGAGACGGTCACAGACAGAGCTAGTTGGTGCAATACTGCAGCAGTGACCACGGGAGACGGTCACAGACAGAGCTAGTTGGTGCAATACTGCAGCAGTGACCACGGGAGACGGTCACAGACAGAGCTAGTTGGTGCAATACTGCAGCCGTGACCACGGGAGACGGTCACAGACCACGGGAGACGGTCACAGACAGAGCTAGTTGCTGCAATACTGCAGCAGTGACCACGGGAGACGGTCACAGACAGAGCTAGTTGGTGCAATACTGCAGCAGTGACCACGGGAGACGGTCACAGACAGAGCTAGTTGGTGCAATACTGCAGCTGTGACCACGGGAGACGGTCACAGACAGAGCTAGTTGCTGCAATTCTGCAGCTGTGACCACGGGAGACGGTCACAGACAGAGCTAGTTGGTGCAATACTGCAGCAGTGACCACGGGAGACGGTCACTGGCAGAGCTAGTTGGTGCAATACTGCAGATGTGACCACGGGAGACAGTCACCGACAGAGCGAGTTGGTGCAATACTGCAGCAGTGACCAGGGGAGACAGTCACCGACAGAGCGAGTTGGTGCAATACTGCAGCAGTGACCAGGGGAGACGGTCACAGACAGAGCTAGTTGGTGCAATACTGCAGCAGTGACCACGGGAGACGGTCACAGACAGAGCTAGTTGCTGCAATACTGCAGCAGTGACCAGGGGAGAAGGTCACAGACAGAGCTAGTTGGTGCAATACTGCAGCTGTGACCACGGGAGACGGTCACAGACAGAGCTAGTTGCTGCAATACTGCAGCTGTGACCACGGGAGACGGTCACAGACAGAGCGAGTTGGTGCAATACTGCAGCTGTGACCAGGGGAGACAGTCACCGACAGAGCTAGTTGGTGCAATACTGCAGCAGTGACCAGGGGAGACAGTCACCGACAGAGCTAGTTGGTGCAATACTGCAGCTGTGACCAGGGGAGACGGTCACAGACAGAGCTAGATGGTGCAATACTGCAGCAGTGACCAGGGGAGACGGTCACAGACAGAGCTAGTTGGTGCAATTCTGCAGCTGTGACCACGGGAGACAGTCACCGACAGAGCGAGTTGGTGCAATACTGCAGCAGTGACCAGGGGAGACGGTCACAGACAGAGCTAGTTGGTGCAATACTGCAGCAGTGACCACGGGAGACGGTCACAGACAGAGCTAGTTGGTGCAATACTGCAGCAGTGACCAGGGGAGACGGTCACAGACAGAGCTAGTTGCTGCAATTCTGCAGCTGTGACCACGGGAGACAGTCACCGACAGAGCTAGTTGCTGCAATTCTGCAGCTGTGACCACGGGAGACAGTCACCGACAGAGCTAGTTGCTGCAATTCTGCAGCTGTGACCACGGGAGACGGTCACAGACAGAGCTAGTTGGTGCAATACTGCAGCAGTGACCAGGGGAGACGGTCACAGACAGAGCTAGTTGCTGCAATTCTGCAGCTGTGACCACGGGAGACAGTCACCGACAGAGCTAGTTGCTGCAATTCTGCAGCAGTGACCACGGGAGACGGTCACAGACAGAGCTAGTTGGTGCAATACTGCAGCAGTGACCAGGGGAGACGGTCACAGACCACGGGAGAGGGTCACAGACAGAGCTAGTTGGTGCAATACTGCAGCAGTGACCACGGGAGACGGTCACAGACAGAGCTAGTTGGTGCAATACTGCAGCAGTGACCACGGGAGACGATCACAGACCACGGGAGACGGTCACAGACAGAGCTAGTTGGTGCAATACTGCAGCTGTGACCACGGGAGACGGTCACAGACAGAGCTAGTTGGTGCAATACTGCAGCTGTGACCACGGGAGACGGTCACAGACCACGGGAGACGGTCACAGACAGAGCTAGTTGGTGCAATACTGCAGCAGTGACCACGGGAGACGGTCACAGACCACGGGAGACGGTCACAGACAGAGCTAGTTGGTGCAATACTGCAGCAGTGACCACGGGAGACGGTCTCAGACAGAGCTAGTTGGTGCAATACTGCAGCAGTGACCACGGGAGACGGTCACAGACAGAGCTAGTTGGTGCAATACTGCAGCAGTGACCAGGGGAGACGGTCACAGACAGAGCTAGTTGGTGCAATACTGCAGCAGTGACCACGGGAGACGGTCACAGACAGAGCTAGTTGGTGCATTACTGCAGCTGTGACCACGGGAGACGGTCGCAGACAGAGCTAGTTGGTGCAATACTGCAGCAGTGACCACGGGAGACGGTCACAGACAGAGCTAGTTGGTGCAATACTGCAGCAGTGACCACGGGAGACGGTCACCGACAGAGCGAGTTGGTGCAATACTGCAGCTGTGACCACGAGATGGTCACAGACAGAGCGAGTTGGTGCAATACTGCAGAAATCACCGATTTAACAGATGTGATGCTGTAGTTCAGCTGTGTCACTGAGATAGTCACAGACTGGGTCAGTTAGAGCACAGTAGTGCAGCAAGAGGGAGAGTGAAGAGAGAACATGACCCCCACCCTCCCTGCCCACGACACCTACTGAGCCCCCTCCATGAATGAATGTTGTTTTATGCACCACTCAACATGCCTATAAATCCCATCGATCACAGACCCCAGATCCACATTAGCTACGTATACTGCAACAGTACTGTAAGTAAGTTTGGTTTTACACCGCTTTTAGCAATATTCCAGCAATATCACGGCGGGGGACACCAGAAATGGGCTTCACACATTGTACCCTTGTCGGGAATCGAACCTGGGTCTTCGGCATGACGAGCGAACGCTTTAACCACTAGGCTACCCGACCGCCCCACAACAGTACTGTAATAGCTGGACAAGTATCTGCCCACCATGTGGTATTACAAGGGGTATATGTACACATGTGTAGTACATGTCACAATTCCTACAGCACACCTGGGAGGCACCTTTGGTACTTACAGTTGTGTAGTACAGCATGATGTCATCCCGCGTCATGTCACTCTGAATACAGTGCTCTTCTAAGTGTTTTAACAAGGTGCCCTGCAAAAAATAAAATATAGATCAATTTCAGACGATAAATTCTAGTATTCTAAATGATAAAATTTGCAGCATGGATATTGAAATGCAAACTTAAAAAGTAATCTTCAATTGATGTGCAACATCTGAACATGAAACAATCAATTCCCTGACTAGACAGACAACCTCATGCTTCTGGTACATGAAGAGCAGCTGTCTGAATCAATCAGGCACGAAAGCTAAGCAGTGAAGTGGAATTTGTTTTGTGAACACCTGGTGTCACTGATTTTCCATGATCCATTAATACACACAAAAGCCCCGCTCTCTGGATAAAATAATTTATGGTACCAATTCCCGAACTCAGTCTTGATAAGTATCTCTTAGATAAGCTAATTTCTGTAGTTTCTGACACAATGCCAGCAATAGAAGGTAACAGTTGTAGTCCACTAGTCCTTTTGATGATAACATAAAGCAAAACCCTTAAAAAAGGCATATTTCTACTAGTCCTTATGATACATTAACTATTGGGCAGTTTGACAAGGACCATAAGACTCGTGCCAATTTCTTACGCTGTATGCACTTTGTAAAATAACATGGATCAAGGGCCGTAACTGTATGCTCAAAATCTAAAAACACATAGCAAGGGAATTAAATCTGTAAAAATATCAGTTACGACACCAAATTTATCTCTTAGATAAGCATGCAAAGTATCATACATGCAACATCAGTAGTCTTTGAGAGAATTTGTTCCCATTGCAGACACTATGCAGTAAGTAAAATTGCATGGAGCAAGGGCCATAACTCTGTAAAAAAAACAACTTACGCACCAATTATCAAACTCAATCTTGACAAGTATGTCCAATTTAAGCAAGAAGTAGCGCTGAAAAGTTGTGAAAAAGAATAAAAGAAGTTGCTATCCATAAAAGTGTCATGTATTCATGTTCTTCCAACCTCTGAGTGACTATCAAAGATTTTGATGAAGCCTGGAGGCACAGATGTGATGCAAACAAACATCATATATCACCACAAATCTGGAATTTGACTTAACAATCAGCATATCATGACACGAATAAGGGATACAACTCTGCACAGCTAATCGTGGCACCTCAGTCTGGGCCTCTCATGCTTCCAAACCTCCAGAAGCCAGCCAACGTGTTGCTTAGCCCAGCTGAGTGGACCATACACTTACCCCAGCTGAGTGGACCATACACTTACCCCAGCTGAGTGGACCATATGCTTACCCCAGCTGAGTGGACCATACACTTGGGTGCCCCGGTGGTCCCAGAGGAGTACATGATAAACAGGGGGTGGTTGAAGGGCACCTGCTCGAACTCCAGCGCTGGAACCTCACCATCCTCCTTTCCATCATTCAAGAAATCTTCCAACAGGCACCTGTGCAAAAAATAACATTGTTTCTAATGTGGGCGGTTGTTGAGCGGTATGGCGAGCAAGCGTTCGTGATATTCATGCAGCTATTATTATTCCAGCTAGTTCATGGCCTCATAAATTGTACCCATGTGGGGAATTGAGCCGGGGTCACATTAAGCATGAGGCTACCCCATCCCGCTTTGACCCGAAGAAAGTGCAACACATATTGGATTGTGTATCTGTGAAACAGGTCCTTTGCACATTGATCTATAGAGATATAAGGCTTTTCTCATGACATCAATTTTTTCATGAAACATTCTTTTACATCATTACAAATTTTGATAAGGTGAGGTGGGTTGAAATATGGTATTACATTGATTAGTATTGCACTTATATACTGAGTTGCATGTGTGCGTGTGGCTGCTTGTACTAGTCCAGACTAATGCCAGATTAGTAGTGCTAGCCCACTGAATTCCACAGTTTATCCGGGATACCCCATACAGCAGCTGACTCCAAGCTGACCAGTCCTTGTTTTATCCCTTAATCCCAAGCACCAGGCAGGGCAACATCAAGTACCATCTTTTTTACTTCTTTAGGTATTATGGTCGGGCATCAAACACCAACCATCCTATCACCGGGCAAATGTCCTATCCACTGGACCACGGAGGCAGTCAATTTTATTAAGAAACTTCTGATAATATTGAATAATATTAATGTCCTAGAATTTGAAGTGCAACATTATAATGATGACAGCACTGTCAGTACGGTAAACAATCAGCAGTTAGTTTCTCCTTTCCCATTAGTTGTTTGTTTGTTGTTTAACGCTGCACTCAGGAATATTCCAGCTATATCACGTTGGTGTGTAAATCTTCGAGTCTGGACCAGACAATCCAGTGCATCGATCACGCAATTGGGATCGATGACATGCATCAACCAAGTCAGCGAGCCTGACCACCCGATCCCATTGGTCGCCTCTTACAACAAGCATAGTCACCTTTTACGGCAAGCATGGGTTGCTGAAGACCTTTTCTACCCCGGATCTTCACGGGTCTGATGACTCCCATTGAGTTTGACAGGGACACTTAATTCTGGTTTTGTTGATAATTAAAAAAAGGCGTCAGTGCAAGCAATGGTGAAATCATGAGTGAAATCTGTAGTGGATATTGTTTCAGAAAGTAATTACCCATTAGGAATGTGTGATAGGTCACATTGTGCTTCTGCCACAAACGGAATGATGATAACTTTCTCCAGATCTGGTAAACCTGAAATTAAGACGGCATTGAACTTACTGCATTCTATATCATATATGCATTCAAATTCAGGGTGGATGCTAATTTATGTGTGTCCTGTGAGATGCAAACATGTAAGGCTATTTGAATTTATAAAATTGAAATTCACAACTTACATATTACTGACATTTTCATTTTATTAAAGAAATAAACTCAAAATTTTGGGTGTCAAAGGTTTATTTTCCTTAATCTAACACAGCAATCATCATCCCTCCGAGCAAAAGGAAGATTAAACAAAAGTAAAGTAAAGTTCTTGAAGGTCAAGTCAAGCATGTCGCCAGCCAAGTCCATACCTCGGTCCCTCACAAATTATTACTGAGACTCCAATCTGAGAAAACCTTAGAGAATCTCAATTCAGACATATCAGTTGTTAAACACGAAAATGTTGCTGTCTTTTTGCTACTCATGAATTCTTTCAGGATGCATAGAAATTTGTTATCAATCCCAAATTAAAAAAACAAGGATCTTCAGAAAAAGGACAAATCCTCCCGGCCCCTAACAAATTCGAAGGAACAGACCATCTAACTGTTACTTTAAGTACAACTTGAGAGACTTTCTATCTAATCTGTGTGTAAGTATACAGGAGAAGTTACTGTGCATGTCATCAAATTCCAATTGCATAGATCGATGCTCATGATGTCAATCACCGGATTGTTTGGTCCAGATTATTTACAGAATACTGTCGCATAGCTGGAATATTGCGGAGCATGCTCAGTGTGGTGTTATAAACAAACAAACAAACAAAGGGTGAAGTAGTGACTGGCACTATTACATATTTACAACAAGGAAACAAACTCATGTAATACCTCGGACAACCTGTTGCAACTTTTCCAAGTGGTTGTGCATTCTGCCATTGTAGTTGACAGCATTCACACTAAATATCAACTTTGGACGTATTTGACAAAACCTCTCCAACACACCCTGAAAAGATACAAACACAGAATATTCACAAAACTTGTTATAACACCATCCAATATCATCCAATTCTGAAGACATTTTGTTCAAAGACAGTGGTAGACATGACTTTGTCTGCCTCCAATATGTGGAATCTATGTTTAAAGTTCACATATTTGGAAGCAAAACTTGTTCTTGTGCATCATATAAAAGTAGAAGTGAATCCTAGTGGTCCTATAAGACTTAGCAGACTAATAACTTCAGTCACAGACTCTTTACTTGTGATCGTGTTTGTTTGGTGTATAGGGCCACACCAAGCAGTATTCCAGCCGCATGACGGCGGCCAGTAATTGATAGAGTATGGACCAGACAATCCAGTGGTTTCAAGTTTTCAAGCCTGACCACCTGATCCAATTAGTCACCTCTTACCATCAGCGTAGGTTGCTGGAGACCTATTCTAACCGGAATCCCCACAGGCAATTGTGATCATGACCGTACTTGTTCTATCAATTTTGCATTACTATTCCTTTAACAAGTTCCCCTCAAAATGATTATTTATCAAAAGCATGATTCATGTATCAACAAGCATTGATTATCGTGTGTACGCCATTATATTTTGACAAATACTCTGGACCTATTTGCAAGACACGCAAGAGAATTTCTGTTGGATGTTACTGATACCAGCAATGGCGGTGTTGATGTCATTTCCCAAATGCAGAAATAGTAGCAAATGGGTACAGACTTTTTACGACAGAACAGACAATGTACTATACTTAATATTAGAGGTTGCCATATCTACTTGCCACAACAGTGAGGTCTGGTGTTGTGTTGTGGAGGTGTGGCAAGATGAATAGGGTCTAACATCACGGTCAAGATTATTGTACTTCTATAGTGTTGTGTGTGTGTCACCTTGTACTACTTCAGACCAGTCTTATAGTGCTAGCTCAACGAGATACCAAGCCGCAGTAAATAATATACACCCCACTCAGACACATTAAACTCGGTAGCCTCGTGGTTAAAGCGTTCACTCGTCACGCTGAAGACCCAGGTTCGAATCCCGACATGGGTACAATGTGTGAAGCCCATTTCTGGTGTCCCCCGCTGTGATATTGCTGGAATATTGCTAAAAGCGGCGTAAAACCAAACTCACTCACTCTCTCACATTAAACTGACTCCGAGCCGACCATTCCTTTTATGCCCTTACTTCTTAACGCCAGACAAGGTAACAATAAGTACCATCGTTTAATGTCTTTAGGTATGGCTGGGGATTGAAACACCAACACTCACCGGGCTAACCCTATCAACTACACCATCTACGTGGCCCCTATATGCAGTAATTAGGGGTGTCATGATATGCCATAGGTATCGATAGTGATCGCCAAATTTGATATATATTTTGATATAGCATCAAGATCCCTAATTTGTACTGTGTTTGTTCCATGTTGCCCACGAGGTCATACTATTCATATGTAGCTGTTTATCTCACGTGATATATTAGTATAATGCAGATTTAGCATTTGTAATGTAAACGCCATAGAGTAAAGCTAGGCCGAGTAGATTCCATGACCAGTTAATGCAAAACTATTTCGTCTTGAAAATCGATAAACTAAAACACAAATCGATGTACATGCAGATTGTAGATCACATAGTGAGGTGGTTTTTTTCCTGTATCAAGACACTGGTGAACTGTGACACAGCTAATAGTCGGGTATCTACTTACCACAACACCAAAGTCAGGTGAAGTCGAGCTCCATATTGCTCCGATACTTGCTGCTGCCAACATGGCTTCTACTGCCTCTACACAGTTGGGAATGTAACCTAGGACAAGACATACATCAGGATAAGTAGGATCACAGGTGTCATGACTTGCTGCTGCCAACATGGCTTCTACATGTGGCCTCTACACAGTTGGGAATGTAACCTAGGACGAGACATACATCAGGATAAGTAGGATCACAGGTGTCATGACTTGCTGCTGCCAACATGGCTTCTAATGCTTCTACACAGTTTGGAATGTAACCTAGGACAAGACATACATCAGGATAAATAGGATCACCGGTGTCATGACTTGCTGCTGCCAACATGGCTTCTAATGCTTCTACACAGTTTGGAATGTAACCTAGGACGAGACATACATCAGGATAAGTAGGATCACAGGTGTCATGACTTGCTGCTGCCAACATGGCTTCTACTGCCTCTACACAGTTGGGAATGTAACCTAGGACAAGACATACATCAGGATAAGTAGGATCACAGGTGTCATGACTTGCTGCTGCCAACATGGCTTCTACTGCCTCTACACAGTTGGGAATGTAACCTAGGACAAGACATACATCAGGATAAGTAGGATCACAGGTGTCATGACTTGCTGCTGCCAACATGGCTTCTACATGTGGCCTCTACACAGTTGGGAATGTAACCTAGGACGAGACATACATCAGGATAAGTAGGATCACAGGTGTCATGACTTGCTGCTGCCAACATGGCTTCTAATGCTTCTACACAGTTTGGAATGTAACCTAGGACGAGACATACATCAAGATAAATAGGATCACAGGTGTCATGACTTGCTGCACAGGGAAACATTTCGAGTAAGTGAGTGAGTATGTAGAGTTTCAGTCCAACAACAATCCCACCATATCACACCAAGGACACAAGGACCTAGTTCCACAAAGTAACCTTTGAGCTGCGGTAGGTCATGAAATTAATGCGAACAGGAAATTAATGCAAACAATGCAACCATGAGTAGATGGCATTAATAAAATGCCACATCTTTATTATGTATTTTCGCCATCCAAATTTGCGAAATTCATGATTACTTATTTTCTTGATGCCGGAAACACTCATAATAAAAAGAAAACAGCAATCACACATGAGTCTTTATTATTTTTAATTTGTTACTTATGATCGCATTAATTTCATGATTATTGTCACCTACATACACAGAAATAATTCCCAAAATGCATTTCCTTTTCTCATTTCCTGATCATCATTGAAGCTGCAGGCGGCCATATTCTGACCATTTCACAGAGCCCTGAATATAAATACATGAGGATGTTGCACCCCCTGGTAGATAACCTATGTTGTCACGGCAACATCACAGAGCCTGACCAGCCAATTACGATTTTAGTCGATTCTTTGATAAGCATATCTTTCGATATAGGAGGATCGTCGATTTCTTTTTCAAATCAATGATCAATTTCTGTCCTCATCTTTCACTAATGAACTTGACCCCGACAGAGATGCAAATAACCCTAAACATTTACCTGCCGAAATAGTGAGAACATATCCTTAGGACAGCTGGGAGTTATAAGAAATATTTTTGGGAATTAGGGTCGTATCCAGATGAATCCCTTGAAATAGGTCAAATTACTAGTTTCTAGAATGCAATATGTAGGGTAATACCCTTAAGATTTAAAAAGCATTTAGAATTTGAGGAAAAGTCCTGTGCACACTTTGGTTGCCTTAAATGTATGCGCGTGGACTTCTTTTTTTTTTTTACTCTTTGTCATATTACCCCCATGTTTGAACACAGTTTTGACGAACAGAGGATTAATGACACTGCCCAAGACAACCTGAAAATCTACTAGCCTTCAGGATATGTGAGGTAAACTGACTAGATCTAGCATGCAAAGTGCTGACTGACCTGGGCCCCATATCCCAGAGTGACAGAGCTCTAGGACTGTCGTAAGTCCATGTCGTAAGTCCATGTTGTATGTCCATCACCTAAGCACTACGATTGCTTCGTAGAAAGGGCCCTGTCCCTTTACATTGTGTAACTATGTCTTACCTACAACTCGGTCCCCAGACTTCACGCCCATCTTCTTCATGGCTGATGCATACAGGCCGACAGATCTCCGCAACTCCTTGTAGGTCCTCCTTGTCACCTCAGATCTTCCCTCACCTACGAATACAAACCTTATTAGGCTGCAATGAATAGGCTGCAATGCAATAGAACAATGTTTTTCTCTGGGACATTTTTCTCAAAAGAGAGAAGGGAGGTAGGAAATTGTATCAATTAATTAAAACCAAGACGTGATGATGGAGTAACACGTTATTGTTTCCCCCACCCCCCCCAAGAACACCTACAAATACAGCTGGACACACACTGACATCGGCTCTTTAATACAATGTCAGTTGTCAATAATAGATGTGTAACAGTGCCTGCTTCATATGACATGGACAATTTGAAAATATTGTTGTAATTAGTAATGAAAATAACCGACGAGCAGGAATAAGAGTGCCTGATGCCCAAGAAACATCTCTGTTTTTAAGCCTAATATCTCAGAGTGAGATCTGTGACAAAAGAATATCTGGTAGGACTACAGTAACTGCAACTGGACATTTCAACTTCTGACTGCACACATCTGATAACCATTATTTTAACCATTAAATGCCTACAATATCCAAGAAAAGTACATTTCTACTAAAATCAGCTCCCTCTGACATCATGGACATTCAGACGTGAAATCCATATCAGACGTGAAATCCATATCCAATCAGAGGTGGATATGACATCATGGACATTCAGACGTGAAATCCATATCAGACGTGAAATCCATATCCAATCAGAGGAGGATATGACATCATGGACATGCAGACGTGAAATCCATATCCAATCAGAGGTGAATATGACATCATGGACATGCAGACGTGAAATCCATATCCAATCAGAGGAGGATATGACATCATGGACATGCAGACGTGAAATCCATATCCAATCAGAGGAGGATATGACATCATGGACATGCAGACGTTAAATCCATATCCAATCAGAGGAGGATATGACATCATGGACATGCAGACGTGAAATAAATATCCAATCAGAGGAGGATATGACATCATGGACATGCAGACATGAAATCCATATCCAATCAGAGGTGGATATGACATCATGGACATGCAGACGTGAAATAAATATCCAATCAGAGGAGGATATGACATCATGGACACGCAGACGTGAAATCCATATCCAATCAGAGGTGGATATGACATCATGGACATGCAGACGTGAAATCCATATCCAATCAGAGGAGGATATGACATCATGGGCATTGAGACATGAAATCCATATCCAATCAGAGGTGCATATGACATCATGGACATGCAGACATGAAATCCATATCCAATCAGAGGTGGATATGACATCATGGACATGCAGACGTGAAATCCATATCCAATCAGAGGTGCATATGACATCATGGACATGCAGACGTGAAATAAATATCCAATCAGAGGTGCATATGACATCATGGACATGCAGACGTGAAATCCATAACAAATGCAGAAACAAATATATTGCATCCTAACAATATTCATTGTACCAATTTCTTGACAAGAAATATAAAGGTCATCATGGTCATGTGATTAAAGTAATTATCAAATCTTTCAGTACAGTACACTACACCATTTCATTATTTTACAGGACCTTCATATTTCCTAAAAGGACCCTTGAAATTATTGGGGGTCCCCTGGACTCCTAGCTTTGTAGGTCTACTAAAACTATTGTGATTTGAAACCTTTGATTGACCAATCAGAACAGAGTATTTTCCAACTTCATGGTATAATTTTCTTTTCAGTTTTCTGGTATTTGGGAAGGCTATTTCAAGTTCAAACCACTAATCCACAACCCTTTTTCCAGCAAGTCAACTCCCAGTCAAGGAATACAACACAAGCCATACCTGCAGCATAGATGGCCACTCTGTCATCATTGTACCGCAGTAGATTTTCTGCATAGTTGAGTCTGGCCCCTTGAAACCATTCTGGCACCTCTGATATGTTCTTGGAGGAATCTACCACCTGCAACATGTTCAAACACACATAGACACCATCGTTAATTCTCACAAATTCTGGAGGTTCCTGTTTCTGGTGGAGTTTCCAATTTCCTGATTGAATGACCCTAATATATATGGAGACCTCAACCCTAAGCCATTTTTCCCAAGCTGTACCATAGCTGTATCATACAATGGCAGGAGTTGATGCCACAATGCTATCTGATAAATTTAGATCACTATTCCTCAAATACGAGGTCACATAGCAGGAGCTACTCTAAAGATCAATACAATGGCTCCTTTTTCAAGAAACTGTTGACTAACACTTCCAGCATGTGAGGTGAGGTGAGGTGAGGTGAGGTGAGGTGAGGTGAAGTGAGGTGAAGTGAGGTGAGGTGAGGTGAGGTGAGAAGAAATGGGGTTTAATGTCGCGTCCAAGATTATTGCACTTATACAGTGACATGCATGCACGTTTGTGTGTGTGTGTGGCTGATTGTACTAGTCCGGACTAATGCCTGTTTTATAGTGATAGCCCACAGAGATACCATGCCGCAGTTTAACATGAATACCCCACTCGGACACAGTATATGGACTCTGAGCTGACCAGTCCTTGTTTCAGCCCCTTGATGCCGAGTGTTAGACAGGGTAACAACAAGTACCATCTTTTAACGTCTTTACACTCAAATATTGTATTTACCCCGGTATACAGTTTCCAAAGCTGCTTTACTGCATGAAACTACATCTTAAACACAGACTGTTGTAAAAATGGCATTCACATAATGAAGAAATGATGACCTTTGTGTGTTTCTGTATTGTAAATATCAGCATGATCTCTGGTATCATATATTAGGAACCAAAAGTATGTTTGTTTGTTTAATGCCGCACTCAGCAATATTCCAGATATATGACGGAGGTCTGTAAGTAATCAAGTCTGTACCAGACAATCCAGTGATTGACAACATGAGCATCGATTCAAGCAATTGGGATCGATGACATGCATCAACCAAGTCAGCGAGCCTGACCACCCGATCCCGTTAGTCGCTTCTTACGACAAGCATAGTCACCTTTTATGGCAAGCATGGGTTGCTGTAGACCTAAAATATGTATACAATTTATGTTTAATTATTCCAAATGTATGATATTTACAACATGGCAACACATTGGCTAATACTCTGTATGTATCATCATTATATTATCAACATCCTGGTAATGTCAGTATTTAATGCATGTTGACATGAAAAGCAAGTTGCACCAAAAAAACAAGTTGCACATTGGTCCCATAAATTTATGAGTTGAAACATAGGCCATAGTCACATTAATTAATGACGCATTAATGTAAAACGTAACAGGAACATGTGCACATTATCTTGAAGTACCGATAGTTAGGTCAAGCATGACAAACTAACACAGGCATCACAATGCAGTATGGTAAATTAACTTTAGAGGTACTGAGTGTGTTCGGAGAACAATTTTGTTTGGACAAGCAAGAGTTAGCGAGACACAAATTTTGATTTTTTTCACATGCACTTGGTGTATGTATGTAGAGATCAGGTTGCATTTTTCAATGATTGGTTGCACTTGTGCATACTTTATATACCTAGTTACATTGTGCCCTGTATGCCAATATCATCAATTTAGACATGCCAGTCATTATCTTCACAGGCTTTAACTGAAGCAGAATTTTTAAAATTACACGCAAAACATTAGAGAGAAAGAAAAACAACGCCCAGCCTACCAATCCAATTTGTGGATGGTCTGAACAAGGAAACACACATTTGTTTTGCCTGTTTAGGTAAGAAATATCATCTACAGGGGGTTGATTGTTACTGGGTGCAAAACAATCAAGGGATGAATCAAAGAATATCCAGTGGGGATGAAAACAAGGGTATGGATGATGGAATGATTGAAACTAATCAACAAAAGTATGTATGTAAGATTTATCTGCTAATTAATGGCCGGATTGTCCCTGTTAGATTTTCTTCACTCAATCACAATATTTTGATTCAACAGTAAAATCCAAAAGTATATCCAACATGTCCAAAGCAATAAAAATCCTAAGGATTTGTTTGTTGTTTAACACCGCACTCAGCAATATTCCAGCTATATGATGGCGGTCTGTAAATAATGAAGTCTTGACAAGACAATCCAGTGATCGCCATCAGGAGCATCCATCTATGCAACTGGTATACGATGACATGCACCAACTAGGTCAGCTAGTCTGACCACCCGATCCTGTCAGTCGCCTCTTACGAAAAAAGCATTGCCACCTCTTGTGGCAAGTATGGGTTGCTGAAGACCTATTCTACCCCGGAATCTTCACGGGCCTACAGACAATGGTAAACACCTGCCTACATCATGTACATATCACAGTTAGCATGGTTAGGCTATGCTTTTCAATACCAAAGAAATGTGATATTGTAAGCACAACATGAACTGACATTTGTCAATAACCTGTTTGTTTACATATGGCTGGGATTTATCTCGACCTGCTCAGAGGCCGACCTTCACCCCAAGTCTACAGCAAATGTCAATAAAACTTCCCAATTTGGACTAAAAATTTCCCAATTCATAATACAATGTATCAATATATGCAACTAATAACTTATTTTATGGCTTTGCAGAAGTACCGTCTGTTCATGTATAAAAAGACCAATTAAAACAGGGTTTAATGCTTCATCTTAAATGTTATTACTTTAAATGCAATCTCCTAATACCTCTGAATTTAAGAAAATATGAACTTTTAAAATTCTACTTGTGAACATAATGATTTTTCCAAATTTGCCTGTCAGGGGCACTAAGTTAAAAATCCTAGATAAATCCCTGATATGTTGTGTTGGTATTAAATGGCATCCAGGTCAGCTGTTTTACACATCCTAAAGCAAGCTCCGAAACAATGCATGAACTGTTATGATCGCAAAATAGGGAAGGAGTGTTGACCTGTTTGTATGGATGAGATGAAATCACGCCAGTAAACTTCCATACTTCCTCCCAAAATGCAGCGTAATGATCACATGACCATCGGTGGAATTGTTGATATGTTTCTGAAGCAAAATAAATTCTCAAATAAGTCTTCAGGATGAGAAAAGCATAAAAATAGATGGCAAGTACATGACTCAGACAGGAATCTTTCAGCGGTATTATTAGGTGGGTTTGATAAGACGGGTCTGGTGAATACAGGCAGTTGGTAGCCTTGTGGTTGAAGTGTTCGCTCGTCACGCCGAAGACCCAGTTTCAATTCCTTACATGGGTACAATGTGGAGCCGATTTAGGTGTCCCCTGCCCTGATATTGCTGGAATATTGCTAAAAGCAACGTAAAACCATACTCCCCATACAGTAGAGTCTGACCACCCACTAGTAGAGTCTGACCACCCACTGGTAGAGTCTGACCACCCACTAGTAGAGTCTGACCACCCACTAGTAGAGTCTGACCACCAACTGGTAGAGACTGACAACTCACTAGAAGAGTCTGACCACCCACTAGTAGAGTCTGACCACCCACTAGTAGAGTCTGACAACTCACTAGAAGAGTCTGACCACCCACTAGTAGAGTCTGACCACCCACTAATAGAGTCTGACCACCCACTAGTAGAGTCTGACCACCAACTAGTAGAGACTGACCACCCACTAGTAGAGACTGACCACCCACTGGTAGAGTCTGACCACCCACTAGTAGAGTCTGACAACCCACTAGTAGAGTCTGACCACCCACTAGTAGAGTCTGACAACCCACTAGTAGAGTCTGACTACCCACTAATAGAGTCTGACCACCCACTTGTAGAGTCTTACCGCCCACTTGTAGAGACTGACCACCCACTAGTAGAGTCTGACAACCCACTAGTAGAGTCTGACCACCCACTAGTAGAGTCTGACAACTCACTAGAAGAGTCTGACCACCCACTAGTAGAGTCTGACAACTCACTAGAAGAGTCTGACCACCCACAAGTAGAGTCTGACCACCCACTAGTAGATTCTGACCACCCACTAGTAGAGTCTGAACACCCACTAGTAGAGTCTGACCACCCACTAGTAGAGTCTGACCCACCCACTAGTAGAGTCTGACTGCCCACTAGTAGATTCTGACCACCCACTAGTAGATTCTGACCACCCACTAGTAGAGTCTGACCACCCACTAGTAGATTCTGACAACTCACTAGAAGAGTCTGACCACCCACTAGTAGAGTCTGACCACCCCTAGTAGAGTCTGACAACTCACTAGAAGAGTCTGACCACCCACTAGTAGAGTCTGACCACCCACTAGTAGAGTCTGAACACCCACTAGTAGAGTCTGACTGCCCACTAGTAGAGTCTGACCACCCACCCACCCACTAGTAGAGTCTGACCACCCACCCACCCACTAGTAGAGTCTGACCACCCATTTAGACACCTATCATCATAACATGCTCGGGACCAATTCTAACCAGGACCAATCGATTCTGGACCACGCAAACCTATGACAATAAGCATCAGCAACAATCCATCCCATCAAGTTTCTGTTGTTGCTGTTGGTTTGTTGTTTAATGCTGCACTCAGCAATAATCCAGCAATATGATGGCGGTCTGTAAATAATCGAGTCTGGACCAGACAATCCAGTGATTGACATCATGAGCATTGTTTCACGCAATTGTGACACGATGACATGCATCAACCAAGTCAGCGAACCTGACCACCTGATCCTGCTAGTCGCCTCTTATGACAAGCCTGGTCGCCTTTTACAGCAATCATCGGTTGCTGAACACCTATTCTACCCCGTATCTTCGCGGGTCCCATCACGTTTCTGACATTGATCACAGAATCCTCTTCTATTCAGCTCCTAAGACAAGCATGGGATACTGTGGGCTTATTAGGTCTCTTGGCATGGACAGACATTTCTTAAGGTTATCAAGTTTCTCAGCCACTTTAAAATATCATCTATGGTCAATTTTGGTCATGTTCTATCTGACACTTACTGTAGAGAGGTGAATATCACACAAGACATGCTAGAGTGAGTGAGTATGGTTTTACACCGCTTTTAGCAGTATTCCAGCAATATCACAGCGGGGGACACCTTGTACCCATGTGGGAAAACGAACCCGGGTCTTCAACGTGATAAGCGAATGCTTTAACCACTAGGTTACCCCACCGCCCCTAAGACATGCTAGACTTGTCTGCAGTCTAGTTTAGTTTTCTGACAGTATCTCAATCAGTGCTCAGTGCTCAATACAAAATGTACTTTACAGGAGGTAATTTGTAGGCACTTTCAACATTCAAAAATAAAACTAAGTCCAAATTGACATGGCAGAAACAGGCTATAGGTATTATGCAAATTAGCCTGGAAAAAAAGTTATCAAAACAACAATAAAAATAACAGCTATGTTTATGTACATAATAATAATGACATGTAAGTTGTTGTTTGAGAAGGGAATATGTTACTTTTACGTTCTGTTTTTTTGACAATGATTCACTATCCCACAATGCCACTGACAAATCACTAACCACTGACAAATCACATGCACGCGGGTTTCAAGCACCTTTTTTCACCTGTCATCAAGGTGTCATAGGTCATGGACATTCACCTTGATCTACTAACACCTGGTTATGCTCAGTTTCACAATAGTCTGTTTTGTTCATATTTTTACACACTATTACGTGTAAAAAGACATAAAAACCTTTGATACGCTGTATTTGTGCCAAGGCCCAATTAGTAATAATTGAGTTGTTTGAATATTTATATATTTTGTATATTAACTGCATTTATTTAAAATCTGAGATCGAAAAAACAGTTTTTTTTCATGTCCGTGAGTACTTTAGTCACCTAAATATTATGTAGCAACCTCTGTAGAAAAATATTGTATTTAGAGACTCCTCCCAGTCTAGTTTACGTGAGGTAGATCTACCTGGGCTGACTGCCACCTCTCTCTCTCTCGTCAGATTTATACAACCACAGCAGACAGAGGCGACGCTGATAGAAAAAAATAATAAAGTAGCATTTATATATCCGGTCCAAATAGCCTATCGGCATGACGCGACTGGTCATAAACATGACCCACCTGAGCTCATTCTCAAACAGCACGTAGATCTACTTCACTACACACCCAAATTAACTCCATATTTTTCATTGATGGATTTCCTGAGCCTGTCCATTTTGGTTGGTCTGCTCCTGTCAGGCTTCCACATGACCTTAGGGGAGTTGTCACCGACGGCATCCATAGCTTACAACTTCCAAACAACTTCGTCTGCTCAACACGCAACAACAAACTGCAGCGTGGACTCCGCAAATGGTGTAAAATGCCCAATTTCCCCGTAGCGGAAGTACTTCCGCATGAGGTATGCACACCTACAAAATAATTTATGTTTCAATAATATTTATCTCTAGTATTTTCCTTTTACGTTTATTTCTATAGTGATCTGTGTATGTTTATCTCATAATAGTAAATTTACATTACACTTTGCACTATTTGTAAATCGGACCATGGCGTATGAATATATAGTCAATAAGAAAGGGAGCTCCGATTGGCTAGTACGCTGTCAGAAGACACACACCCCCAACAGGTGACACATGTGCTTCGAAAAAAACCTACATACCTTGCATAAATGATATATTTCACTGTCGTTCCGTAATGAAATTTGATCTAGTGTAGCTATAGCTTATAATAAGTGATATTTGTGATTCATACCGGGGAGACAGTTTTAGGCCTAATAATAAATTGACAAACGATCGGCGCGTGTTCATTTCTAAATAATTTTAGCAAATATAAACTTGTTCTATTGTGTGATGAAAATGTATTAACAGTAATTGCCTCTCTCTCACAACAGATGTTATCTTAATTAAATTGAGTGTGTGAGTGAGTGAGTTGGTTTAACGACGCTTTTAATAGTTTTTCCAGTTAGAAGTTTACCAATTTGTTGAAACCCACGAGCACCAATGTGGTGCTGAGAAAGATAGAAACATAATATTTTATTTGAACTGGTAGCAAATTATATTGCGACCGTTTCATGAAAGGTATTTGCTTATGCTGAGTTTATAATGGGAGTTAAACAATTGCACTGAAATCGATTTGTGGAACGACGACCTGGACTTTGTCAAAGATCCGTAATATCTTCTCACTGGTACACACTTGATGCTGTCAGTCAATTATTCTGTCAGTTTTATAACAGCGGGCACTTAATTAATTGGATGCATAAACCTTTATTTTCATATATATCGAGGGCCTTCTTGCATAAAGCGCTCTTAGCGCTGTACTAGGACGATCGCAACTCATATTCTTTAACACAGATATACGTCAGACGTAGCTCGAGCTACGTTAGCTTGTGGGACGGTGTCCTGAACGTGCATGCAAGATTTGGAAACATTTACGTAAGACTCATTTGAATGTAAGTACAATCTCATTAAAATCAGTAGTATAGGTAATGGGGGTTCTGGACCACTTCCACTGTAGCTGGATTTATATACCTATACTGCTACTACAGATGGAATTTTTTATGTCAAAATGAATTATGTGATTTAATGATAGTCATGAGATTAAGTTAAATTGGCTCCAGTTCACCACCACCTGGGGCCAATGATATAATTTTTTATAGGTAATAAGGGTTCTGGCTCACTTCCACTGTAGCTGGATTTATATACCTATACTGCTACTATAGGAGGAATTTTTTATGTTAAAATGATAATGTGATTCAAAGATGAGTCTAAATGTGATCAAACGATAGTAAGCAATCTATTTTTAATCTCCAACCAGTTCTTTGGTTTTGACACGGAATAACTGACGCGCTTGTTGCCTCCCCTGTTCTATGAACTTTTTTTTCTCGTCTTCGCTAATACCACTGGTCTTACGAGATTTTGATCGAATCTCCTGCTTCATTGCGTTGTATTTGGTGAGTTCCGACAGCACTAAACGAAACTCATCCTCGGATATCTTACAATCGGTCATTGCTGTTGAAATATGATCCTCAATGCTGTTCAACTTTGCTTCGGCGAGTATCCGAATACTATCGTGTTTTAATGCTTTCTTTTGTAACCTACGAGAAATGAATTTTATCGCTATTCCTGCCAGTCCCGAGACTCCAGCGGTTATTTCCATGCCGAGCACGATAGGTGCGGCGATTATAGTTGATAGTAAACCGATACCCGCTACACCGAGTCCCATACCAGATACTACAAGCGCGGTGTCAACTCCGTCCAGAGTATTCACGGCTCTGCGATACCTTTTATACAATCCAAGTCTCAACTCCCTATCCTTCTCTATTCGATGTTTTATGTCGTTTATTTGATGTAATCGAAATCCATCAACAGTATCCATCTTTTCAAATGCTTCACCGAGCGCTGGATATAAACTCATAGTGTATATTATGATCATATAATAGTCTTTAATTGGTCTTGCTTAAATGTTTTGATAGTATACATCAATCTTATCAAATGTATATTATACGGCAAGAATATCTTAGTAAGAGAAATACTACCACTTTTAATAATTTGGACCCCCTCGAGGGTTGCAACGGGTGATGCTCCGATATGAATAATACTGCAACGTTGACGTTGGTGTTTCTTAAGCCATTTAATTGATAGACCTGGTAATATTTCGAAGGCATCTACCGGTACATCTCCAAACAAGACTTCAATAATAAGCGTAGAAATATTAGGTATTGCACTCAGGTTAACTTTAATATCTTCGAATTCAGTAACCAAATTTAAACTAATGTTTTTTAAGGCCGGACGACTATATATCATATGACCTGGGTTTTCTGGCAGGGGAGTAACCAACACACTTTTTCGTTTTGATGGGATATAAGCCGCGAGTATGATGCCACTATTTATTATCTTAGTTAAATTATGTCCCTTACCCATCATCACATAAGGTGGGATAATGACGATATTCAGTAGCCACTCGATGTTTGCTTCGACCATAGTCCATTTATTATCATCGTTGCGAGTAATATTGTACGAAGTGTTTTTAAGGAGTCTACTAACATCGACATCGCTTAAATCTTCTAGATTACCCGTGAATGTGACTTCTTTCCGCTTGTATACATTATCGTGTAAGTGTAAAGCGTATATAACTTACCATTGGTACCGGGTTTACTAAATCCTTCCGTGTCTCCGAGATCGGAAAGCGCAATTGTATTACATTGTCTTACTGTTCCAGGGCCTGATGCATCAACCATTATTTATAATATGGAGTGTTACGCTTAAGTATCCTATATGTACAGGTTGATGTTTTACATCTAATACAGAAATTTTGAAGTCTGAAATAATACCCCGCTTCAATTTTTTATATTGTAATGATGAGAAAGATTCCGTTCTACCGCTATTATATTTTTCATCTTTCACTGGAACACTTCTAAGCAGAGTTGAAGGACTTTCTAGTTGAATATTATTTGTTGTACTGATTTGATCAAGATGGATGCACAACTCTTTATAGGGAACTAAATCGGGTAATGTCTCTCCATCTTTTAATGTATTGGATATTTTTAATATTTGTGTAAATCCAAGTGTGTTTGTTAAGTTATTGTAAGGAAATACACTTTTTTTTTCTCCAGGGTATAATTTCAGTCTCCCATTCGCCTCATTTTGTGTGAGACTAGATCCATTAGGTTTAAAAAATTCATCATTGAGTGAGCATACGCTGTAATACCCATCAGGTATAGTAATGATTTTAGGAATATCATTTTCAACTATTAATAATTCATTATTTTCTTTCGCAGCATTTATATTGGTCCACCGTGGGTAATACGTTACATCACATAGAGCTACTTCGAGTTGTCCATCCGAGTTATCGATAGTATGAAGCAGTTCAATAGACTGACCATTTGTTATTCCTGGGAGTGTAACATACATATTAAATATACAATGATACTATATCATAATTTAAATATGAAATCGAGATATATTACTAATCAATCGATTATAGTAACTGCCTCCGGTGCTGAATTTTTCGTTAAATTCCCAGATATCTTTGAAAAGTACAGGGTCACGGCAACTAGCGATAAAATGGTGCACGATTGGTTTCACAATCCGATGCAATTTTGGCAGAATCAGTTAAACTTTGCCATATGGTGTGCCACAACGGGATGTGGTGTATCTGTTAATGCTCCAGGATATATGCTAAATAAGTCTGTTTTATTATTTCATGTGTATTATCAGATTAGACGTATACTTAAAGAAATTAATGCTCCATTACCACAAGATCGAGCGTGGAATGTATCAAATAATCCGTATAATAGGGGGGTGTATGAACGTATTTGTAATGAATTTAATGTTTCTACGAGTAAAGATTGGCGTATTAAAGGAGCAAACCATGGTCTAGGTATTCCGTACGCTGGTGCACACTCTGTTAAAGAAGTCAGCGATGATTTACTGAAAAGGGGTCGGCTCCTTCCGAGCTTTGCTCTCTCAAGTAACGAGTGGAGAGATGATCGTATTAACTTTAAGGGTGGTGTTGCTTTCACCATCCAAAAGGTTGAGCAACCACCTGGAGACGCTTGGAATGAATTTCTTAATGATAAAACGGAAAATAATTTTACTAACCCAGGATTTGTAAGATTTAATGAATCGATAAGAACTTATGTATGGGCAATTCTCGGTGCACAATCGCAAACACGAACATCCATTATCGGTTCTGGGACGGCGCTCGATGCGCAAAAACAGTTTGTCGCAAACGTGGAGGACGCCATTAATTCACCAGTTGACATACCATCGTCTATAAAACGTTTTCAAGATGCATTACAGTACGCTCAATCCAAAGTGGACTTTGTTTATGCACCGGGACTATACATGTCTCCGAGTAATATGGAACTTAAGATCGGTCAAGTGATAGGCTATAATAATAAAATTGTTATCGCTACCGATCAACAAAAACCAGGCATTAATTCAGATATTAACGTCGAATTAATAACGCAAACGATCACGGGCGAAAAGGGAATAGTCAAGCCACAAACACCAACTATCGCACAACCATCTTTTATCGATCAACCATCTACTAATGCACACGCACAAGTACCACCGCATATTGAGGCTAAAAATCAACAACATATCGATGAAAAAACAGCGCTTGTAGTGGGTGGAGTCTCGGTTGGTTTACTCATGATTTGGTGGATAAATAGTTCTTAGCGAATACGTACAACAGCCCTGCAATTGCCACGATCAGCCCCCACAAGTTTTGACTAAGCCAAGTGGTGGTCTTAGCTAATAAATTCAATAGCCAGGAAACTATACTCCCTATTATACCAGGAAGTGCGGCCGCGGCTTTCTCAGCGAGCTTTCCCAGTGCTGAACCTAATGCTTTTAAATGTTTTT